AAACATAAACGTGTACAAAATAAATTTAAGCTAAAAAACAATGCACGGAATTTATCGTAAACGCTTCGACCTGTATCATTATAATACAAAGTCGGAATTTTAGTATACCCAGATGTACAGTATAGCGGTGTAACGAGTATCATCGCCGTTATCAGTCAGATAATGACTCTTTGGAATCTTCTTATTGATGCCGAAATATCTGATTACCAAACGCGTGGGAGTATAAGGACGTCGTAAAACGATTATGACCGATTCTCTTCGATCACGTGGCAGAATTGTTGATTGATTCGAATAACTGTTACTCGTGTTCGAATGAAATCGAACAACATTATCGAAAGTCCATTGAGCCTTCTAATTGTAAGTACTGAGAAGTGTTAACGATAACTCAAGAGCTATTAGAAACACTCTACGATAAGAGTGTAGACGATAAAGGAAAACGTTTTGAGTAGAATGTCTATTAGAATCTCTATTAAAGTGAAAGAAAAAGCAAGAAATCAAATCTAGTTTCAGTTTCAGTATACTCCATACTATTTCGATATTTACTATTAATTTTCTGATTATTACGAACTATTATTATAAGTAAATGATCTAACATCCACAGGATGATTGTTTTTTTTTATCGAAAGAATGACTGATAAATTTTTGTGCTCTCACATTCTAGCAACAATTTCTAAATTCGAAAACAAGTACATCAACGATCGATGACACGTGGTCGTGCTTTTATCACGATTCATTAATAATGATAAACGTACTCATGTAATCATTTTGCAAACAAGAATGCATGTACAAGGTCTTCAAAACTGGACTACCTATCACGTGTACAGCGATAGGTTCGGTTTATCTAACTGACAATATGAAATATACGATACACTGTTGTTGCAAGAGCGACGATATTAGTAAAGGTTAATACCGCCGGATTCGCGTATGTTGCTCGATGAATTATTCGAAGATTTATTGCCACGCTGGGAAAGTATGGATGCATTTCTACGCTTTTCTAATAACACGTCCATATAGTTTTCCAATATTTATACACGTGCGCTACAACGTTTCAAACGGTACGTTTCGTCATCTAAAAAAAATCGTCCAACGTTCGGGGCAAAATAGAACGTACGTTTACTTCGCCGTAAGACGCTAAACAAACGTAACCGCGGGCAAATATTGGCCCTCTTGCCATAAAAAATTATTACTGTGTATTTCCATAATCGACTGATGTCAAAGTTGCACGAGTACTCGCTTAATTGGCCTGTACATTTCCACGGATGCCTCGTAATAACTGATACCGTGAATTGTAGCTAAACATTGACATACAGATCACGAGAATACATAGAACTTACTACAACGCGCAAAATAATTAGATTATCTGCACGAATAATTTTATCATTGACGAGTCATTGTCGATCGAAAATTGTCCAACGCGATTAGCGTCGATGGAACGCCTACTGGATCCTACGCAAATGCTTCGAATGATCCTGATCGATAGTTACAGGTTTGTGCCTCGCTAAAAACAGCACTCGATCCACTCAATATAGCGATCGATTAATTGCACACGCAATAGAAGAGTACGATCGAATGCTTCTTACTTTAATCAACTAATATTAACACATTAATTTTCTACAGACTTATTCGCTGTCTTTACACGCTATTGGGTCCTCTTTTTACGAAGAAAATATATGAGTAAAGCTTGTGCCATAATTTGATTTCCAACAAATTATGTCTAAGATGATCAACCTTAGAAATACGTTACAAATTGTATTGTGATGCCTATAGACGTTTCCGCGACGTTGTGACAAACAGAAAAACAGAATTAAGTTTTATTTATAATTGTTTAGTACTTAGCCACGTTTGTACAAGTGCGACGACACCCACCTTATCCTGTTTCCTGATACATGAACAGAACCAGCGATTTAATCAAGGTCTATTCAGTAAATTTTTAGTTCACCCCGAACGAACAGACAAAAATCCTAAACAATGGGTAACTCAATTTATATACTTTATATATAAATTGTATGTACACGTCTAAGTAGAAAATATTCAAATTGTACAATTGCAGACAAAGCTACGATTCTATTTATAGCGATTGACAGAAATACCTACGAGAATTGATCCGTCCTAAATGATTCTCAATTATTCTTTGATCCGTTCCATCCAGAAAATATAGGAATATCAACGTACGGTACTTTCAAGACGAAATTCGTGTTTCTTTTTTCTAAAAAGCACAAACAAATCATTAGCTTGCGTAGAAAAGTGTGTCAAAGTTCCGGGCGCTTCTTACTATTATTTTCTCTATGATATTGTGCAGTTTTGTTCGTTTCCCATCCTCTTCCGTAACTGTTCGTTCGTCTTAAACAAAATGGCGGCATTTCCTCTAACGGATCAAGCTATATGAAGACGTTATTTTCCATCGCGTAGATCGATCTCGACGATCAAAATTTACACGAGTAACAATTCATCGGTCACGTTGCTCGCCGATAATCTGATTTGCTCATAAATATGCAATCACGACGTCGCCTACTGACAAAATCGGTTTATCCGGCTCTTCGATCTAAAACAATTCGAACAGCTTCCCGCTGATTCGTCCAATTCGATAACTTTAACGAAAACAGATATCTCACCGAATCGATCGATTCTTCCATTCGGACGAAACGTTACTCCCTAAAAAGTTCCACGGCCAAGATGATCTCAGTACTCGAGTCATTATCAGATGGTCACGATCTTCGAAAACAAGAACGACACACAGAGGATAGGTAGAACACGATTGATATAAGCAATCGACATGACAAATATTTGATATCGTAGGTGGTATTGTTATTGAGGAAAAGGTACTATCTGTTTTCCTTCTTCGACTCTCAACGTTTCGAGGTGTAACGAAATCTATTAGATCACACCATAACTTCGTACCGTTCGACATTCTCAGATCGACGAGGATAGATTACGTACGTAACTCGGTAGGGGAAAAAAACAAAATTCGTCGTTTCAGGGAATTTCCAAAATTTTAAACTAATTAAACTTTGTAACCTCTATATCTCTTCAATACTACACTTTTTGGGCGTCGAATGAATCATAAAGACTAGTGAATCATAAAATACGAGAGTCAATATGTGAATTCTATAATACGACTTCCGGTAGTACCAGTTGTTCGATAACCTCAAACATCTGCTAAACAATCTGTTGAATATATTTGTTTTCCCCCCCTTACATTCCTTATCCACTTATTTATTTCTAATTTTAGAATATTAACACACACAGATCATCAATCCCTGATATAAATTTCACGAATTACTCGATGTCCTTGCTACATGTTACGGAAATGACGTTGCATATAGAAACGAAGTATTTCCGGTACATGTGAGAAACTTAACCTAAAATATAATTAGTCAAAAATACCAATTGCCGCTGGGGGAACGATGAATAAACGTAGAACTAAAGTGTAATTATACGAAAATTGCTCGATTTCTCTAGTTCACGAAGTTCGAATTCGAGGAATCCCCGACATAAACTGAAACCCGCAAAACACGAGAGCGAAACGATAGTTGCACTCTACCACCGTGATAATCGCGATACGAAGGACACGCAGTTTCGCTGACCGTTCGAAAGAAACGATTAATTTCTTTTTTCTATCCAATTTCACGTCTTGATGACGCACAAGCCGAATGAAAGAACATGCAGATACTCGATCTGGTTTCGTACGTAAGAAAATAAAACTTGCCCCCGATTTAAATTGTATACTTCCCGTACATTCACGAGCAATACATCTCGCGGCACGGCTGTTGCGAACAATATCGTCCTTCAACGCGCTGAATTTTTCGTTCGGTCAACAGACTTTCCCTTCCTCGCGATACCTATTACTCGCGACTGATCAATTCCACGGCGATTACGAGGCTCTCTAGCAACATTGTTTCTCGCGGAAATTCAACGAGAAAATCGCGATCGCGTCACCTGACGGATCGAAACGACGTTAGAGAGAAAATATGGACCACGTCGATATCGCGCGTCCGATGCACAACATTCGATTATCTTGAGATACAGGTTAAACGAACTTCCAATATTACGCGTATACAGCACCGAATACAGTTGGGCAAATATTATTCGCGAATAAAAATTTTTTAATGGGTTACAATTTACAAATAAAACGTATGGGGAAGTTACGTGGAATAAAAGCCCAACTACGGTGCGCGATATAAAAGTTATACATACCGAAGAGATGAAATATTGTATCGACTTGATAAGCAATGAAAATGTACGAGATACGTACTAAGAGAACGTTACGATGAATTACGGTTATCGAACTATCGCTTCTTCGAACTGTTTGTTTACATTGAGGTTCCTTGCGAGTGTTCAAGGCTCTGGAAGTCTATTGCGAGAGCGTCTAAAATGACTACGCGATACACAACTTGTAAATTACTATATTATCGTATATACTCGGTAAGTTAGCAACAAGGTGAAAATGAATTCCTTCCACGGCAGTTTAAGAAACCATCTGGCTCTGCTATGGTTAAAGTTTACCCGCAGAAAGGAAAACAAATAACAACAAAGTACGGAACCTGTGACTGTCATAGAAGTTCCATTATCAAACAGAATTGAAGTAAGGCAGAATTTGCTCGCGAATGAATTCAAACTACGCAAGTCAATCGAAAATGTAATTAATTTTGTCTATGTTAGATTTAATCTACTGGTATAATCAAGTTCACCAGACGTTACGTCAACATGGATAACCTATGATTTATTTACAAAATAATCGTGATCTTTGGCCAAACGAATTACATTCATACGAGCGTGGATTCGATTCGATACCGTTCACTGTTCGATTCTAACGTTTGGTGAAACAAATTTCAGTTGTTCGATTGATCCACTGTATACCGTTCGTGTAGACCAAATGGTCGTAGGCGCTGATTCAAATATCGTTTAATTCTCGATGACGAGGAGTTAAGAAGCGTCAAAACATCGCACGCAGAAAAGGTAAACGAAGCCAGAGGGTAAAGTACGGGTACAATGTCACTCACCGTGCTCGATGTAAATCCCAAATTGTCGTGCGACATCCCGCCAGGTCACTTCGGTACACAAAGAGGCTATAATTCAACTGGATGGCTGTCGATGTCGTACGAGATATAAAAGTGTTTAACCCGGTCGCAGGCAAGGTTATGGTAAATGAGAACACGAAGTATCGAAAGATGCGGAAAAAAAGGACAACCGGTTCGTTTAGTTTGTTGTGATACGATCCATTACATTCCGCTGCGACAGGTACAGCCGCCGCAACACGACTGATCGGGGTTCGCGCCAAGTATTGTTTATATAGCATCGTGGCACACACGGCACACCGCACTCTTGCCATTTCGTTTGCTGGTCACTCACGGCGTGATTCGGATGCGACGATGCGGCTCGACTACCTTACGAAGCCTACTGAAGATTGGAATCTAAGACAAGCCGGTTTGCCATAGAAACACTTTACCTTTCGTAATTCCCCACTCGACGACGCTGACAACAAACCGATTTACAACCAGATTTGGGCAAATTTACATCCAAATAATAGAAACAATTAATGACAAATTTAAATCAAATTACAATTAAGCAATTCGAAACCTAAACTAAGATGTTCTTTTAGGCAATGAAAAGTATCTATAAGTATCTAAAAGTAAATATAAGTATGAAAAATATTAAAAAAAACTCACCTATAGAAGTTTAAATTTATATATTATATTTGTTTTAGATGTTTTTTGAAGCAGTCTCCACGTCTGAAGAGGACCTGAAAAGATGAAGAAAAAAAAAATAATTATCGATTGTCCATTTCTTATTTATTTATATAATTTATTTACTCGCGACGTTCGCTCGATAGAACAGTTAAATTGTTATTTGTTCATTGTGAAATGTCTCGCGTTTATTCTTAAATCGGCTGGCTTCTGCAAATAATTTATCCGAAAGTATATTTGATTTTGGCAAATTGTTGCGTCTAGTAAGAGACGATAATGACAGGGATGTATTATATCTTAAAAATGTACATCTCATTGTCGGATATGCATCAGCTAGAGATAGGAAAAATTCTTATCTGGATTAAAATTTAAGTAAACATTCTACTCATTATTCGCTAATAAAAAATTATAATTTGGAGTCATAAAATGACATTACGTTTCACGTTGAACGAAAACTGATCTGTATAACTGTTCGAACAAACATCATAATTAATGTAATTGTAATGGTTAATACACTGTCATTTACAACGAGCGTTTGATACAAATCAAGCAGGTACTTGGTACGCGTATCCAACGCTCGGTGTAAACTAGCTCAGTGTTTCACGAACGAGAATCGCGCACCGATTGCCGCCAATGTTCCCGTCGAATCGAAAATCAATTTCTCGAACGTGGCGACGCGAGTCATCGTCGCGAAATCCATTACGAACCACGTACTAATATTTAAAACAACGAGAATTCCCTTTTGCGAGACCACTCTTTTAATTCGTTGTTTCTTTTATTTCAGGAAATTTCCTACTGCCGCTGATAACACTGCAAAGGAATCTGACGAAGTTGGGCGCCCCATCGCGACGGAATTAAATTTATTGAAACGACCAAGGATGTTTTAGATTTAGTAAAACTACGCGTAGAATTTGCAGAGGACGAAACAATAATATTCTAAATAATTTTTTTCTAATATAACGTCGATCCATTGCTCTCCGTTCATTCTTATTTCCGAGTACCTTCTGTACAAATCTAGAACGCGAGATGCGAGAAGAAGAACGGAGAAACTTCCAGATCCGGGTAGTCGCTTCCTTTAATCTTTCCATCGAACGTTGCGTAGATTTTTGCAAGAATCTATACACTATGTTGTTCTTCGATCAAAGACTCTATTTCCGTTTTCCATAACTTCCTATTGTATGTAACATTGATCATTGTCACGAAAAAATGTAAAAAAAACGAGGCATAAAATTATTGGCAAAGTTAGAAAGTGATTGGGGAACATGAAGAGTAAATTTTTTAAGAGGCTGTTATATAACTGTTCAAAGATCATATACACCACCTGAATCATCGAATCTAAATCCTATTGAGGTGGTACGAGACAGACTGCAAGGGTACCCTACAAAATATTAAAATAATTAGTTTCTGTAACGTGTGTCAATAATATTATGACTCACTGTACAAATTAATGGAAACGTGATTATAATCTTTCGCGAAAGGGAGAACCTATAGATCTAAAGCGTCAATGAAATGATGAAGTTGATTTTTTTAAGCTTTAACTTCTATTTGAAGAACGTATTTTTCTATTTTGTATTTATTTAATGATTCTATTCGCACATGATGAGGAAAAAAGAGGAATTAAACGCAGGTACAAAAGAATGGAAAAAGTAAAGTGAAAGGGTGAGGTTCAGTCGATAATTGTTTTGCTACCTAACCCTAACTTTGCATTTTCAATTCTCAAAATTTCCAAGGAAATTAACGATTTGAAGTTCTATCAAAATTATGAAATGTGATCCCCTTTGTTACATATACAAAAAATGGCTCGATTTGTCTCGATTCGAGATTCACAAAAGAGGTGAACGCTACATGTTTTGGCCTTTCAAGGCCATTAAATAATAACTCATTATATTACTTAACTACTCTACCGTTGTGACTCTCGTTTCCTTACGGCAATTTGGTGAACCACGAATAGAATTATTAAGGTCCTTCTAATAATTGCATTATATGATTATTATATTCGACTATCATTGAATATTTCCATCCAATGGTTAACATTACGTCGATAGACGGCGGTAAGTTTATTCAGGTAATGTCACAGGAATTTTCCTGACTTTCTGAACTTTCCGACGACGACATTCCACAGCTTTAGATTCCGTGTAACGTGTGGTTTTTGATTTGCGTTTAAGATTAGCAGAACAGAAAAAACCCCCAAACGCAAAGGACAGCATTAATTACAGTATTGATAACGCAACATGATAATTACCGAGTAATTGCCTCGATAAACGTGCCGTCTGAAAGTTGTAACATCCATAAATTGTATAACACATTTAAACATTCATCCGGAACACTCGAACAGAAATCAATGAACATATACTTTTCTACAACTTGCATCCGGAAATTAGGGATAACAAACAATCGACCGTCACCCTTCGTCGCAACAATTACTCTTACGATTATACAATCGTTAGGATCATTAATTGTACATAATTACGTGTATACATACTTAGTGGAAGGCGGGAAAGTTAGCTGAATGACGTCACCGGATTTCCCTCTCTTTTTACGTTGCTACACCTGCAAGCATTTTACAGATTCGTCTTGCATTTCAACTTCCGGGGAGTTAACAACCACTATTCAAGAAAGATTAGTTTAGCGAACAATAATTTACTGCAAAGAATTTATTGCCAGAAATTTATGATATTTATTAATAAAATTGCAATCGATCAAAATGTATTAATTGAAGTACTTGAATAATACATGGTAAATAGAATAGGGTATATAGACACATTAGTTTATAAAAATTATAAGATGTAACCTTTAGTTGAAAATTGATTGCTGCTCCTTTCAGTCTACAAAGAGCATAGTTTTTCAACGGACGAAACTGAAATCAAAACACATTGGTAATCAGACAAAATTCAATCTATTTATATAATCGTATAATTTTACGTTCAATTTACAGTAATTTGATGAAGAAACAATTAATTTAATTACAAAGCATATATTAAAAATGTATAATATATTTTGAAATACTCGTTTATATTTGTTGTTAACATCTGATCAAAAGTTCTTCATTCATTTAATTATGCAAATTACCTAAATTAATATCCTTTTCATACAAGTCTTACTGGAATTTTAGTAAAAAATGTATTAGAAGATAATAAATTAATTTCTGATGAGCAGCGTAATACCTTTAATGGTTTTGTACAATAATCAAGTAATCTCTTGAGGAATGTGTATACAGTAAAACCAAATAAATATGCATTTCGACGTATCATTCTTATTACGTTCTATTTTTATCGTATAATTTTTTTTTTTGTTGTTGTTCACTTTCAGGTCTTTGCTCTTTTCCATGTTACTAGTAAGTATTGTGCAGTCTTAACCATTTTCATCGGATTTTACATTTAAAAATATATAATTAAATATTCGAACATAGACACAAGCACAAAAAAAAATAAAAAAATTAAGTATGAATCTAAATATATGCTTATATAAATACAAGAATGATTTAATAATCGGTATAGAAAATATAAATTGAGTTTGCGATTCATAAATATCGTAGATTACAATTGTGTACACATTTTCGCGAAGGTTTCGTACATGCAACCATTAAATAAAAAAAAACGTGCGATATAGAATTGTTTAAATCGGACCTTCATCGTTTTTTTTTTGTGCAACTGTAACAGTATTTTATCACAAAGTTTAAGGATGCATATAAAAATTTGTCAAATATTCTGCTAGAAAAAAATATGTTTAAGTAAAAGATTAATTTTTAAATTCTATGTCGCTATCCGCTTCGTTGTTTGCCACTCCATTACTCGTCCTAGCAGTCTTTGACCCAGCCAACGATAAGGATTTACTGTGTTCCAAACCTAACGTCATCTTAAGTAACTTCAGTATACTCTTTTTGTCTGTGCTTTCGTTTTCTGCGAACAAATTCTTGTTTTCAACGAGTTATGTACAAAACACAAATTTACGTCACATACCTTCGTTACGAGTAATTTGTTGTTCAAGATGCAATTTATCCTTGGCTATTTCGTACATATTTTCTTCTATAGTACCTTCGCTTAATAATCTAATTATGGTAACTGGTCTGAAAATAATTGTTTTATTACGAATGAATTCTTACACTATTACATTCTGATCACATACCTTTTCTGACCTACTCTGTGACATCGATCCTCTGCCTGTTTATCATTGTATGGGTTGAAATCAATATCATGAATTATAACCGTATCCGCGGTTGTTAAATTGATCCCTAAACCTCCAGCTTTTGTTGATAATAAAAATATGAATATACTTTCGTCTTCCGTGAACTGATTTATCAAAAACTGTCGATCCGTTACCGGTGTACTTCCATCCAATCTGTATTTTCGAATTTATATAAAATATTTAAAACTTTACGAGGCTTAAAATTACGAAATAAAATCAATTTATAGAAGATACCTTGTATACGTTTTTCCTCTAATTGTCAGATATTCCTCCAAAATATCCAATACCATTGTAAATTGACTGAAGATCAATACTCTATGGCCGTCCTCTTGTAACTTTGGTAATAAATCGTCCATTACTCTTAATTTGCCAGCTTCGGGGATGAGTTCTTGTTGCAAACCTAGACCAGCTAAGCTTTTGTACGTTCTTGTCAATTCATTTATTTGATAATCAGTCATCCAGTGCAGATCGTCGAATATGTAATCCGGGTTCTTTTCTTTATAACCGTGTTCTTTCGCCAGTCTGTCCGATATTAACTAACATAAAATAGCAAAGAATCACAATTCTGCAGGATGAAATATAACTCTCGTTCCATAAAAATATAAAAATTTACTTTTAACTTGGATTCGTTAAACTGATCTCGCGCCAATAGTGGATGATTGGCCAACTTCCTCAACTGTATCATCATCCCGACACCATTAACTTCAGTGCTCTGATCGGCTTCCGCCGAAAATTCCTCGATCAAATTTTGATACAATTTCTGTTGTCTCTTCGTCATCGGACATCTTATGACACGATCAGTTTTCTCAGGCAAATCTCGAAGAACCTCCGCTTTCAAACGACGAAGCACAAACGGCTTCATAATTTGTTTTGCATTCTTAACTTGATCCTGCTCGAACAATGCCCGTTCGCCATTTTTGTTAACTGCTGATACCTTCTAAAATTTCATCCGTACAATTACGTGAAACATCATATCCTTTGTAACTGTGTTTTCCAAAGCCACAGTTTTCTATTTAACACTCACCGCATTTTTTGCAAATAAACTCTTCAAGTCCGCTTGTTTGCTGGCAAATAACGAGGGCATCACGAATGTCAAGAGCGACATCAATTCCAATAAATTATTTTGTAGAGGAGTACCCGTTAACAGAATTCGATACTTGGCCTAAAAAATAATTGATATTTGTGTTATTTAACAAAGTGAACAATGCACATAACGAGAGAATACGTACGTTGACTCTAACGAGATTTTCGTATCTAATGGTGCTCATATTTTTCAACATATGAGCTTCGTCGAAAATTACATAGTGTATCGGCATGACACGAAATAATCTCCGCTCTTCCGGTGTACTGCTAATTAAATTATACGTAGTTAATAAAATGTCAACGTCATCTAGATCGCCGTTCCGCCATCCCATTCTCATCTCTTTCCTTTCTTCCTGAGACCCAAAGTATCGCACAACCTTCAACCCGGGTGACCATTTCTCCATCTCGTTGTTCCAATTTTCTACGCAATGTAAACATATATTACTAATGGAAATACATGAAAAATCGAAGAAATCTACGATGTTTATTTACCCATTGTTGAACTGGGAACAACTATCAAGTGTGGCCCATCTTTCTCATCTTTGAGACCAGCTTCTTTCAAGTATGTAAGGAAGGCTATTACTTGGATCGTTTTCCCCAGACCCATTTCGTCTGCAAGAATGCCGTTCACGTTTTGCGCGTGCATCACAGCCAGCCAATTCAAACCAACCATTTGATACGGGGCTAACATTAGATTTGGCGATAATCCTCTTGGTTGCTTTTTAATAGCCGATGCTCCTACAGCTACAGCCTTCTCAATATTTGTAGATAAACGAAGACACTTCTTCATGAGAGTTTCGACTTCGTGTCTTGTAGCTAATAATTCCTGTTTTATTTAAATAATATTATTAAATTTGATCCCCTACTCGCGGAAGGCATACGTATACGCCCTAAGAAAATAGTCATTTGCATAAGACATATACAGGGTGTCTCATTTTGATCAACGCACATATCGAAATCCTGTTTTTGCTAGGTTTTAGTAAACGTCTATCGCTATACTAGAAATAATGTAAATCGAGAAAACTTATGTGACTGCAGGGGTACGACTGCAATTTAAACGCGACTATCATTCCATAAACAGTGGACAGCTTTCGGTTGAAGTATGCTACAGTTGAAGGGTTAATATGGAGTACTGATAGATAATAAAGATACGTATATAATTTCTATTACTCACTTGAGCTGAATTCAACAGCTCTGTATCTAAATATTTATAGCTTTGGAACTTTTCAACTAAGTCTCTCCAGTTATTAAACGGCCTTGCTTTTATAATAGCATTAGCCCTCTTTTGAGTACAATGAGACATTAAAAGTAATTCGGACGCAGGAGAGTTTTGCATAAATTCCAAAACTGCTTTTTTGTCGCCGGTAAGTTCATTAGATACTTCCATGTCCGAATCTTCGTCGCTATAAACACCACAAAGAAAACAGTTAAGATTATTGGAACTTGCTAAGTTATTGGATACATACCTATTAAATACTTTGTCCTTAAAATTTGTTTCATCTGAATCGATATCTACGTCTTCTTCGTTGTTCAATTTTCTTCTTTTTTTCTTACTCTTTTTAGAAGGACACTTGTTGCTTCTCTTTCTACTTTTTCTAGAGACTTCACTACCATCGTCGTTATTCCAATTTCTGTTACTATGGACGTCCTGCACATATACAACAAATTTCTTAGTATCTATTTTGAGCCATCCTGAGAATTCAATGCATAATCGATTAACGTTACCTCATCTTTGTCAACAGAAGAGCCTGTATTTTTAGCCGACGGAATACCTGCATCGCTGTCGCTGTCCTCAATTACATTCACTGCCTTACGTCGAAACTGTATTTCAGAACTTGTTAAATTACTGTCATCATCCGCTAAAGAACACAATTTATATATACAATCATACAATAAAGAAATCATTGATACTACTACCGTATCTAATGAAAATAAAATAAGTATTTTTTTTTATACTTTTATGTCAACATCGAGATACAGATTTAACAGACAAAAATCTCATTGTCGAAAAAATGTAGCAATCACGTAAGTATCTATTCTCGATAAAATGACAACAAAACATGGACATCGGTCGTATCGACCTGTAAATTGAAAATCGAAAGTAATGACAGACTTACACATATTTAATGGTTTCAGTTGTTTCTTTTGAAATCGAAATTGCCGTAAATTTCCTAAAAGAGTCGGGCTGCTTGCATCTGTTTTCGGTGAATTCGAATCCGACATCTCGTCAATCGAATGAGAGACGCTGGCGAAAACACATTTTTATAAAGGTAGCTTTTAAAACTCGTTTGACAGGTGTATTCGGAAAAGCTCCGAACTGGGGGAAAGACGTACGTCCAACAGGTTAATATAGTTACCTATTTAACAGTTATTTAGGTTATCTGGATTCTGAATTTTTAGTGATTTTAAAGTTGCCTCGGACGGTCCTGTTATTTTCCAACAATTATCAACGAAAAGGAATATCTAACAGAAACCTATGACACTCGCAATATCACTTATAAAATTACACTTAACAAAGCTTCTTAATCGCATGTCAGTTGTATTTTGAACCGACGACCGTTCGACCATTATAGCTTGACAACATTGATTAATGCCGCGCAAAGGAGAAATCACCAAGTTTTGTTTTTCTTGTTTCCTCTCTTAACTTTGTAACTGCTTATCTACCCAATAAACAAATTACTATTTATTAAATACCCATTTCAACCCGTTGAACTCTGAGAATTTTTTGTAATATGAACGATTAACAACTTCAGAAATGTGCAAGAAGTTAATATATTTCTGTATAAGATGTTTAGAAAAAAGCATCTTTTCGTACATCGTTCGTTGCGTTAACCGGAAGAACCGCTATCGATACATCGATCTCGATTATAATTACGTTCAAAATAATTAACGATATTGATGTTCAATTATAATTTCTGTACCATTCATGTATGTTATTAATACGATTGACTATGAACAACTGATTAAGTTTATACTCAATACGTGAGAAATCGATTTTTGGAATTCTTAACATTAAAATCATTACACCAAACATTAAATTTTTTTCTTGAAAGTGCGTAGGAATTCGAGGGTATGACTATTCACCAAAAATGATTGTAATTTACCCCCGCAACCAGAAATAATTTTTTTAGAACGATTTGCAAACATTGTACTATGTACGGTAATTCCATGTACACGCGCCAAAATTTGTAATAATGCAGAAACGTTTTATACGTCACCCCTAGGATTCCGTATTTGTTGATACACACAGTTACGACAAAATGTACAGAATTAATCATATAGTCGCACTATCGAGTGAAATGCTCGTGTGTCGCTTGCTGAGGATTTGTCATTCGACGCGTTTATTTGCACAATGCAACTTCGAATTTGTTTAAACAGAAGTGACATAAGTTGATATACTGGAAAATCAAGGGACGACAAATTAATATAAGATGATACTGTACTCGGTAATCGGAGGCTATATGTTAACGTCGATGATACTTTTTAAATATCCGACGTTAATACACAAAAAGAAAAAAGTAAAATTTTTGTGTCAACATATCAGCCACAGGGGAGGTGCGTTTCGTAATTTTTTATAATTCATTAACTATGATTTCCGTAGACGTTGGGAAACGTGTTCGATTGCGAGTTATATTTTTTTTTTTAGGCGCAGGCGAAGGCTACGAAAATACAATGTACGCGTTCAAACGGTTAGTCATAGTTTACTTAATGTTCCAAGAATGCGCAATAGATAAGAATAACAATGAATAATAGCCATATTTGAAGGAACAGTATGTTCCAACGAATGATACAAATTTAAATGAATTTGTTGCTTTAGAGCTGTTGCGATTGGAACAGAAATGCTAGAATTGGACTGTCATCTCACCAAAGATGGAGAAGTAGTTGTGTCTCACGATCAAAATCTTTTGCGTAGCACAGGCATAAATAAGAACATTTCTGAAGTGAATTACAAAGATCTACCACTTTTGAAACTGTGCCTTCCGATAGATTTTGATCCAGGTAATTATAAATGATATTTCTAGAAATTAAATTGTGAATAAAATTATTCAAAAACTATAGTTCGACAGGTGCAGAATATATTGGACCGGAGAAGGAGGAAGAGAGACGGTTTGCTCTCTTGAAAGAAGTATTCGAGGCATTTCCCAATCTGCCAATCAATATAGATATTAAAATTAACGACGACCAACTTATATCGAAGGTGTCCGACTTGATAAAGCAATACAATCGCGAGGAATATACAGTATGGGGGAATTTTAATGATGAGATAACACAGAAGTGTTATAAAACGGTAACTAATTAATATTCTAAACTCTAAACAGTTAAAAAATGTATGTTGTAAAATGATAAAAGCGCTAAATAATATTTTTTGTACAGAATCCAAACATAAATGTCTTATTTTCCATGCAACGCGTAGCCTTGTTAATACTTCTTTTGTATACTGGTTTATTGCCGTTTGTGCCTCTGAAGGAAACACATCTGGAAATATTTCTACCTTCCATTTATATAAGGTACCTTGAACACATTAATTAATGCATAATTAAATAAAATTAATAACTATCACGTTGCTATAGGCGCCAGAGAATTCCAAATTCAACGTTTATACCTTTAGGGAAGGTACTTGTGCGTGTTATTAATGTACTACTAATGAGGCCATGCTTATTCAATCATTTAAGAGCTCGTGGGATACATGTAAGTCGATATAACGATCAATTGTAAACTCATTTGAAAGTGTTTAAATATATGTTTATAGGTTTATTTTTGGGTCTTGAATAAAGACGAAGAATTTCAAAAAGCCTTTGATCTTGGAGCAACGGGTGTAATGACAGATTATCCCACAAGATTACAATTGTTTTTAAAGAATCATTCATTTGATAAAACAAATAATGAATAGTGTACTACAGAAATGAATGTAAAGGTTTTATGGTGCAGCCAAAGATCAGAACAGCGTAATCAACAAATTCCACGCGCAAAAATATCTTATAAAGTCACTATTTCTGTACGTTTTATATTAACAGTATTATCCTTTTGTATATTCTACGATTAACAAAGTGCAATTCAGTGTTACTAATAATAGCTACTATAAGTACCGCACACTAAGCTTAACTATGAAATACTAAATAATACTTGTCTGAAATTTGTTGCAACATGCCCTTAAATATTAAAAATTTATTCGTATATAGATACTTTTTTAATTGATACAGCAATCAATTATTATTTCTATTATATATATATTCGTTACTAATTTTAATATGACATTTTTATGAACTAATAAAAGGGTGTAGAGGCTTATTTTTTTAATATATAGAAAGAAGACATTTCACCAATATTGCAGATAGCTTTCTCAATCAAGATCACCCGTTACAGCCCTAGCCGCGAAAGCTTTGAAAATCTTATAGAAAAACATTTTGTAACATTCAATTATATTTATTTCTAACTTTCCACAACAATCCCACAGAACTTCAGTATTAATCTATTTCCTATTTAAATTATATGTTCTTTTTTTATTGTTTAAGCAGTCGTTAATAATGTTGCAAGAAATTACCTGTCATAGTACAATTTGTAAATTCAATGCTATTACAAACTAATGTAAAATAATATATTTTTTACAGTTATTTTAGATATAATTACAGGAATGCTAAAAACGTGTCTTATGTATACTGATATATTACTTGTATGAAAATAAGCTCGAGCTATGTACAAATGTAATTTCGTATCTAGAATAAATTTGAACACAGTCATCAGTTCAAACATATATTATTACTGGTGTTAAACATATAAAAATAATTCGATACTGAATTACACCATTTATAAATTTCCTGTTTGAGAACTGCTTCTATAATTTTAAAGAGATTTCTATTCACCGTTACTCACCATTATATTTTATATTGTACCAACAGGAATGTAGAAAAAATGTATAAGAAATATTTTTTAAATAAAAATACTAATGTATAAAGAAATTCTTTTGTACCTCCTTTGTTAGCAATTGCACTTAAGAATTAAACTTATACATAATGTATTTCATGACTTATTGCACTTATGAAAAACGACTGTCTTTGGTTCCTCTATAGAGTCATCGATTGGCATTTGTATATAGACAAATACTTTGCCTTTACAGTAAGTGCAATATTCCTTAGATGGATGAGAAGGTTGAAAGTGTCTATCGATAGCAGAATAGTTTCCAACAATGTTTACATTACATATCTCACAGTACACTTCAACTGGTCGAAATCTTGAATGCACAGCATCTGCAACAACTCGTTCAATGTGCTCTGAGTCATTTTGATTGTTAGATTCATCATCTCCCGAAGACATTTTATTTCTGCAACAAATAATAAACTATTATTACAATATGAAACTACTACATTGCATTTGACCCAAAATTTCAAAAACACTTCTTACACACAGAATGAAATTCAAAGAAGAATAAGATAAGAATTGTGTATTTTAATTGAGAAGTAATAGAATAACAAATACAACGTAATGAATTAAAAGTGTACATATTCTGAAATTCGTTTAGATTTCTAATATAATAGTTAGAAAATTATAACCTATAATTACCTATTTCCACAAAACATCCTATTAATAAATGCGACGAACTATTTCGTTCAAACTAGTCTTCGTTTAATATGATTAGGTAAAGTGAATCATTAAAATTCTTTCTAACTACTTCATATCTTTCATCAATCATTTTTTTACTTGAATAGAATACATATTATGGACAGGTTTCTCAGATACATTCACAAAATAAATGTTACAATAGAAACTCTGTATCTCCTTATCTCTTGCTTCGTAATTCTTAATACAATAAGTACTAACAAAGAAAGTAAATGCAAAGCTAATTAAAAATTATCATATATTTCCTTACAGTCAAGTAATTACATTAGATTTACGTGAACCTGAAGTGGATTTGTAATATAATTATACATATTTATATAGGTTTTATTTTGAAATGAAGTCCTATAAGAGAGAATACTAAACATTTGAGATCCTGTACAAGATAATAGAAGCAACGTAGCCCCTCTGGATCGCGTGACTGATTCACGTCCAACAGAGAACCAGTCTTCGAGGTTGTAAACGATATATGCTCATCCCCAATTACAATCTCTAACTCCTGACGTCCGACGCGATCTGGCTGCGGCCACAGAGAGTCATCCTCCTGCATAATTTCGGAATCCTGAATAATCCTTTTCAGTTCCTCCATCACGCACTGATGAACGTACGCTTCTTTCCGAATCATAGTGTCGTTTTTGTAATTCGAATTGTTAGCGTATCGCAATTTACCGTCTGGTCTGAACTCGAACTCGAGAAATTCATGACCGAATTTCCCCTTGTGACCGACGTAGTAGCGTATATAAAAGTCCGTTGACATTGTAAACACGCACTCGACGCAACTTTCGGTTAAATTTGACGATATTCGACCCTTACGAACTCACCTAAAAAGAAAACACGTATGTGATTTCGAAACCGAAATATCGAAGTCACACAGATCAACGAGAAATGATTTACGTACCTTAAAATTCGACTTTCTGTTTTTGTATAACTGATTCCAACCTCTTTTCTCGCAACACAACTTGTTCCCGATTTCGATAAACGCGTAAACAGCCATGCGTGCGTCACTCTACAAGTCCCGCGAGCAAATGAAGTTGGATGCGAACGAAGCTTGTCGTATAACCGACGTTTCATTGGTCGCCATATCTAGGGATATTTTGTTGATTCGACACAACGGCAGAAACAATAAAATTACATTTTAACTCGTCTAGATGCAAATTAAAAATTATGTAGCCTGGTATAAAACAACTTCAAAATTTAGCAATATGAAAAATCAATTTAGTAATTTATTAGAAAATGGGTCACCTCATCGATTTCAATAGTATCGAACTATAGCAATTTTGGCCAATTTTGTAATAGAATTAACTTTACGAAGTAACTATCTTATATTTGTATGCAACAATATTTAAATTAACTTCATTGTACGAAGACTTACTAATTTATTGCGTACAAGCGTATCCAATAGATTGTCAGAGTTATTTCGTAAGTCTTGATATAACGAATTTCAGTATAAACTGTAATTGATTGAAATGGATCCTTAAATCAAGATACAACGCTTTCTAAGTATAATTATATTAAAGAAATTGTCCAAAATATCGTCACGTTGCAACACATAGCTGTGTTACAGACTCGCAATTAATCGTGTACACTACAATCACAACCACATCCTCTAATTTTCAAAATTCTTTTTCTCGATAACGGGAAGTGTTACAAGAAATTCTATTCTACATTTTCGATTGGTTTTTTTCACGAAAAATTGCTTGCTTTCCGATTGTACTACGATTATTGGGTCACTTGTATGTGTGTGGTAGAGTTTGAGCCAAATGCATAATACAAATGAATTCAGAATTGCTAACGAAACTTGTACAATAAAGACCCGCTATATGGGATAAATCATTAAGTTTCTATAAAGACAAAGCTGCAGAAGAGTCTGTATGGCAGTAAATTTGTTTTATACTGAAAGAAGATTTCGAGAAATTGAACGACGACGACAATACGTCGATCTTCTCGAAATGTAAATAGCAGGATGGACAAATAAACAGGGAATAGACGTATCTACACGCGTAAAAATTAAATTTTTGGTGCAGATATGGAACTGTGCGAACGTTGCTTTCAGTTCGAGACGGTAAAATGTTCAAATCGGTAAATAAATCATATCTTGTGAACAGGCTGTAAAGCACCTTAAACCCGAATTTTGAACGAACTTCATCGCACTTGTCGCGGATCGGCCTTCGTGATAGGACATCGTCCAGTGGTCGTCCGGTGGCACCTGAATTGTCAAATTCTATGCCACGCAATTGCCCCCTTTTGTCTCGAATTTATAGATCTGATTTCACCGTCTGATCAAAGAAGCCTTGCTACTTTATCGTAAGCTTTCGCAATGAGAACTAATAACGACGAACGCGACGCAGTGACACGCGCGAGTGTTGAAATTACCACGTAAACGAGTGAAATGTTTATAGTGTTCACTTTGATGTATGTACCAAGGTAGTAAGCTGAAGGATGAAATTATTCTCCTCGACGAGTTCACGTAACTTAAACTCGTCATAGCAAAAGCTCGGCCCAAGGATTACTTATTAACGATGAACAAAGCTCACATGGATAAAAGACTGAATCAATTGCCAACTTGGCTGTGGACTAATTCCACTACTTTACCGCCGATCTATAAGATGGTATGGGAAGCAGTGCGAGAGGATAAGGTCAGATCGAACGGAATGCAAATAGAGCTGCTCGTCGACACCAACAAAGTCTTTCCATTGTTGCTCACTAGTCAACTACCCACAGAAGTTCTTGGTCACATATGGAACTTGGCAAATCAAAAGTACGCTGGTCAACTAACGGAGCAAGAACTATACATCGTTCTTGCTCTTGTCGCCGCAGCACAGGCTTCTTACACTTTTAATAGTCTAGATATATTACATTTACTTCCATTCCCGCCTACCCCGTACTTAAATATCGAATGTTTGATGAAACTACAACCTGTCACACAATTGAATTCTGCGGCTAAATTTCAAAGCTTCAACGAAAACACGGAAGTTAATTTCCTCGGTCCAGACGGAAGATACTCCGCGGACATTAAAGGAAAGACAAAATTGCAACATGGAATCATATCTTCGGATTTAAATACACAAATGACAAACAACGTACCTGCAAAAGTTTCATGTTTTGATAATAAATCTCATGCTTCTTCTAACGCTGTGTGGGATTTAAATAATGTATTCAAAGAAGGAAAGCAAATTAATCGCTCTCAGTTAGATTCTAAGCATTCGTCCGCGGCAGATACGTGCGATGACTTTTCTGATTTTCAAAGCGCTCCGATTCCTAACATTCCCAGTGTTCCTATTTGGGATACTAAACAAGGCTCGGCTATCGGCAGCAGACTCGCGAATCACAATTTAGGTGTTAAGAAACCCGTGGAGAAGTCAAAGAAAAATAACATTAATGCTAAATCTGTGCACGGTGCTATTCAAATGCGGGTTACGTCTGCACCTTTAAACGCAATGCCTCAGAATAAAGATCAGCCTACACTAGATTCACCAGAAATATTTCCTAAATGTACAATAAAGAATCAATCTAAAACAGTAATACTTAAGGATACAGTGATAAGAAACAATGATCCGCCCAAGGACCATAGTGAAAATGTAAAAGATCATACAAATACAGAGATTATGAATTTAACCAATGATAAAGATCTATCGAACAAATTAGAATGGTCAGAAAAGGTATGATAGCATTAATAAATCATGCTATTTGTAAGTATTGTTCGATTTCATTTTTTAATATAAAATATTTAAATATCCAAAGGTTTCAACAGGAACATTGCAACCTACTCAACAGGACCTTATGAGTCTCCAGCTTGTCGAAGATAAATATAGTGCCTTGCGCGCATTGGTTCAAGAAGCAACTGTACCCACAGAACCAGATTTAAACGCAAGTTCTAACAATCAATCGACCGACGAGTTTGGAGAATTTGTATCTGCAGAACAGCCTGCTACCAATACTCCAGACACTAATACTTTAGACGCCGACATACTTACAGATTTTGAATTTAAATCTAACAACGGTAACGCGAACACGGAAGATTTCAATCTCGTGCCAGAAATTTCTGAATCGTTTGACAATCTTAAGCTTGAGGATACAGTGGAAGAACGGTCATTGGAAACGGGTAAATAATATTATTTATACTATTTGATTTTGTACATTGCGTTGTAAACAGTATCGCGACGATTTTTTTTTTTAATTTAAGGAAAAGTTCTTCAGAAGGAAGACGCCATATCAATTAATAGTATAGAATTCATGAATGGTGCACCAAATGCACTGACTCGATCAGGATCTGTGCCTAGTTTAGATCTTAAGTCTTTCTTACCTTCAAGTGTGGAAGATGAGCAAATAGCAGATACCACACATCAGGTTTTTAAATTACTCTTTTATACACAACACAAAGAATACATTATATATATATATATTGTATTCACAGGCTGAATATTGGGAATGGAAACAATACATGGAAAGCTGTGTATTATTGTTACAAGTAGCTGCAAATATATTTACAAGTATTAATTCCGAACTTGTGTTGCACGAAGTGTTAAATTCAGTACAAGGATACAACTTCCTTTGCAGTAAGTAACATTATAAGAATTTAACTCATTTGTTGTGTTTTTAAATATTTTTAAATATCCTTGATTTCAGACTTAGCTGAAGTCGCGGCTGTTTGTAGGCGTGTTAATTTTTCATATAAAGAAATGGATATCAATATAGTAGGATTCGACGAATTGCTAATGGATATTGACCGGATTTGGGCAGAAATGGAACCATTTTATGCAAATATACCGGTAAGAAATAATAGTATTATAGACCCATTAATAGAAAATAATTCTTGAATTTTTTTAATAATTTTTTTTATAAAAATTTAAGAAACTAATGCATGTAGAAATCTTATACAGATCTTATAAAAAATTCTAGATCGTTACGGAACTACCAGCTTGGCCTTTGCATCAAGGAGAAGCCATTTGTTGCTCACTTTGTTTAACGGTTATTACCAGTGGCAGGATAGTATATAATGAAAATAATTATCACGTTACTTGTGCTAACTTATGGCTTAATTGTGTGAATAGTCATTTGCCAGTGATGCGGCATCCGTCTTTCTATACTCACTCGAACATATGTCCAGGTAACAATCATATTTGATACTGATCTGCATAAGGAAAAAAAAAAATTTACGTTCGTAAATTTTTAATGTACACACATTAACTTATTACATGGAGGATTTGTAGAAAACAAGAACAGACTAACTTTACATTTCATTAACAATTAGAAAATCAAACATTGACATTTTGAAATATTTATTGCGTAATAAGAACACAGAATTAAAATAACTAAAAAAAAAAACGAGCATGTGTATGATATGGGAGAATGAATTCCATATAAGTTGTATATATTCTTTAAATTTGAACATTTTCAAGATATTACTGACTAGTTTGTTCGAAAATATTGTACAGACAGTGAAAAGGCTAGACGGAAATATTAATATATAGTCCATTTGAATAGGGTGAAAGTAAATTACAGAGAAAGCTTGCAAAATCTTAAGTGTAGTGAAAGAAAAGGTTGAAAAGGGATAGAAGGGAATTCTGAAACCTGAACAAAAGTTCATATCAATCAAATCGAGGTAATATTTTCGAGAAAATCTTATAAAATTCATAACGAATTTCCAACGCGAGATAAAAACTAAAATATTATTCTATTATATGATATTACAATAAAGTATAGTAGTGTTCTTACATTTACAAGTTCAAAATTATCGTTGACTTGTATCGCGTGGTCTATATACTATTCCTCTGCTTTTCATCTCTCTTATAACACCTGCTGGTAATCGCCCCGATACTGATATCGCATATACACCCTTACAAAATCGATCTGAAGGAAAAAATGAATCTCAATTATAATAATAAACGTGTTATAACTGGCAAGGAAATTTTAACTTTCGTTTATCTTAACTTTAAAAAAACCATAAAACGATGGAAAATAATATATAAAAATTATTGCAAAATATACGCAAAATTAAAATCTTGTGTACGCACACGAGCATGTTCCTTAATAAATTATACATACAGTCATACATATTAGTAAAAGTTCTGTATAAATGTATTATAGTATTTAACAAAGAATCTCAGAGGCAAATGAACTTATTAAATTGCAAATATACATGCTGCATTGTTTTGTATTAACGCGCATTGTTTGTATCAAAATATTGGCTTCACAAACCTTGTACAAAACGCCACCTTTCAAATACACTTACAAGCGTAATGCAAAACGTGATTCACATTGTCATTTGCACTGCCAAAAAATAAGAATTAAAGAAAAAAATATAGAAATTCATTTATTAGGTGCTTGAAGAAATGTTATGAAATTTTGAATGTCGAGATAATGTTGGACAGAGGGTAACATTTTATATTATGATTTACTATAAGAATGTAACTGTTATAATTTTGTAAAGGTATACAAGAATAAAGTAACAATATTTCTCTCGCTTAACCTTAACTTAACGAGTTCAGATATGAATTTTTTACTCACTTATTCTTTGCCATTTGCTAACCCAACTGTCCTCGGGACTCATTGCAGCAATCATACTAAAAATGATACGTAAGAACAGATTTTTAAAAAGCTAACAGTTACGATGAATTGCTGTTTTATGTTTTTTACTCGTCGAATAACTTACCCATCGAAATTGGAACTTGTGCAGTCAAAAACATTGTCCTTATTATTTTTCATTCGCAAGAATTCATCGCAATTGTCACAACCATCAAATTCAAATTGATCAAACGTCTATGGCGGAATTATAATGTAGGTTATATACACGAGTTCCAAATAGCAATTCGTATAATATTATATAAAATTAATGTCAAATAATTCGAAGTTTCTGAATAACATACCTTAATCAGAGAACAGACCAAACAAGCTCTTAGTCCTCGTAAGTCTTTAGGAACTGTTTCCATCGATATGGTTAATACTTTTGGTTTCTACCGACTACTTACAGTTCCTTTTCAATATTAATTATACGAATATCTTGAAATAATGACTCCAATACGTGACAAACTTAGCTACAGAACATAAAACTATGTTTATGTAGCGATCAGAGGTTATCGTTAGTAACAGAGATAACGTATGTACTGAGCTAACGAATTATTCCAGCGTGCCGCCATGTTGGTTTAGTTTCCTAACTCGTCACCGTTGAACAATGGCGTTGTAATTCCCCTAGTTTCGCTGTTCCTATAATTATAATTAATTCCAATTAAAATAAGTTGAATTTACTTTTTTATTTGATATTTTTCTTGTATGATAATTTAAAAATAGTTAATCAATGTACATGGACAGTTCAACAGCAATGTTGGTGGATGAAAATGGAGGGAATGACTATTACTATTACGCTGTCATGAACTTTTACCATAATAAAATTCATTATTTCTATTGTCATGTAAAAACGAGTCTTAATGGCATAAAACTTTAAATAACACAGGGGTTCTCAACCCTTTTTAAATCAAAATCTAACTTAATTTACCGATCCTTCTATACATCGATACAAAATAAGAACAAATTACGAATAATCTAACACGAGTAGCAGAAAAACGGAATATCTTTTTCGTTTTTATGCTTTCCTATTGCAAATTTAAGTTCAGTCGCTACATGTAATTTAACTGTAACATCAGTAGTACCAATCATAAAAAGATCTATATTATGGTAAAGATTAAAGTCCGTTTTAACACCAAAATGGGATTTTGTTATAAAATTATACTTATTAATTATTATAGAACTTATACCTATTAATATTTAAATCGATCGTTTAAGAATCCATGTATTTTGAAACCTATGTAAACATTTTATTCAATAAATAACATAAAATTACCATGTATACTGTTATATTTATATTTCAATTGATTATTAAAATGATTTTAATATTTATAATTATTTCACTAATTTTTATAGAAACTGTTCTTTTCGTTTTTCATTATCAAATATTAAGGCGAAATTTAACAGGCGTTTAAACGCGGGAAAATAATACGTTGTGTGTAGAATAGGAGTTGGGTGCATGGAACGAGGGTGAAACAGTATGTTGGGGTTTCATCTGAAGTTGTATATTAGAAATATCTGAATATTTATTACGAGAACAGTGTAATTTCAAAACAGACACAATAATTCATCGATTAACTGCTGGTTGCGTGAATAGCATTGCTATATTTTTTTCGTATAATCTCGTTGACTAGCGTTTTTAACGGACACTATCATGAAACCTGGAGGTGGTACGAAGGTTTCTGCCGCCAAAACTGTTACCTCTGAGGTTAGTAATTTAATATAATTCCTTCATTATACCCCATTTGGTTCAGTCTTTATGGAAAGTAATTTATTAAAGAACCATCATGTTTGATAGTTCAAGACTAGCTTTTACAGTTTCAATTAATTAATGTTCCATGTTATATATTTGTAATTCCAATCTTACTTCATTGCTCCACATGTTCTAATTATAATATTATTCTAATTAATTAGTTTTAAATGATGCTCGCGAGATTCTAGACTAGCACAGAATAATTAATTGCATGCAAAAGCTTGAAGGACCATCGTACATTTTTCTCTTTTACCTAAACAGGATAAGGTCAGAAAGTCTTTGCACGTTTTGCAGCCAGCGGCCAATGACAAAGAAAACTTGGTGGGTGGTGGGAGAATGCTCAGATCTGCTCTGTCAGCAAAGGAAACAGTTAAATCGTAAGTAAATTTTATTACTCACGGATAATTGTATTACTTCAAGGATTTGAGCAAGATAATCTTTATGATTCAGCGAATTGCACGATAAGAAAAAGCAGGATGATTCAAAGCGTAAAAAAATAACATTCAGGGATAAGGGTGTACAAACTGCGAGAGGGGATAAGATTAAGATTGAAGTCGAAGATTTGACATCGGAAGGTATGTCAAACAAATTTGGAAACTGAATAGTCGGGTAATGAATAATTTTTAAAATGTCTGTTATATACCTACAATAGCAGGACCTAGTGAAAACTACTGGGAAGTGTTAGCCGAAAGACGGCGGATAGCATTAGAAGATGCTCTAGAAGAAAACAAAGAACTGTTCGATCGCATAGAGAAACTGGAAGAGGAGAATCACGTATATAAAGAAATGTTAGATGAATCTAGAGCACTTGTAGAAGTCCTACAGGTATTATCAAAAGTTTCCCGTTGTTCATTATTTTTTTAATCGATCTATGAACTCTAACGATGATATCCTTTTACAGGAAATGATCGGCGAGGACAGAAACGATATAAATAATTCTTTAGAAGATAGTACTCTTTAATTTAAGATTTTGCAATCCTAGTACCGAACGGTGCCTTCTGATTCAAGATATAGAGATGATCATCTCCATATTGGAGATAATATAATGCACCCGTCCGATACGACGTGTAGCACGATAAAGAAAAAGTCTGAGCGGAACCTCAATGAACTGAAAATGGAAGAGCTTTTATATTACTCTTTGTACCCGCGATAGAAACGTTTATAGGTTTCTATATATTTAACATACGACAATGGCCGTGACTATAAACATGTTTACGTTATAGAGTACTATTCATTATAACAAAAATATTATATAATTTTGATTTCAATTAATAAACGGATTTTCTAAGGACTTCGATTTCCGTTTATTGTACTTCAGTAATTTTCGATTACAAGCGGACTCTAAAGCTGCGTCGTCGGAGACTTTGATAACGTTTGGGGTCGATCTATCGATTGAATTATATTTTGTGGAGTATTTCGTTCTGTCAGGAATTCTTTTAATCGAAGTGTTTTACGAAGGTTGTTAGATTTCAAAGCCCGGTAATTCTACATATTTCTTGTTTTCAACTTTTATATTTGTATATATGTACATTGTTTATTAAATATGTAATCCAGAACGAAATGTTCTACAAAGGATCATCGCTTCATCCCATTGAAAATCATTAAAATCTCTGGCGAGTCGGCTATAGGGTCCCGTTATGATTAAACACATTTCTGTCCGCGTGTTAAAATGTTCGAATTCAATGTAACTACATCATAGTCTGTTTCAAGATAATGTTAACGACGAGGAATAACTGTGGAATTGAAGAGATTGCTAGTATCACGTATTTATTTCACAAATCTTTGGCATAGAAGACCTTGAGTTCCATTGAAAAAAAACATCAACGCTAACATCGGTTTTGGCAACGATTGACGGTGTTTCGTTGACACACCAGTCACAGCACTGTTATGTTCGAGGAAGCCATCATCTGCTGCATCATCGTTTCAGTGAAAAGTTACAAAAGTTCGGAAGGCTGCCAGGACGTTGTGCGTAAAATTGTTGCTGGACGCACACGCATGAATGCGGGACGCGCAAAAGCGAACATACGAGTTCTTCACTATTCTTGCACGAGGACATTCGCCACGAGTATTTTCATTTTTTTTTCCCATCTCGTTCAAAGGACGCGTCGTTTCCTTGATGACCAATTAAACGGATAGTGGACCGTCTCACCGGAAACTGAATCGTGAGAGTCGGTGAACGTCGGGTTTGCACTGCGGAACGCCGTCGAGAAGCGTCGAGGCCAGTCCTTAATCTTCGTCCTTGAAACGGCGATAGATGGACTGCACGTAGGTGAAGACACACTTCCAATCCGGTCGACGCATCATCACCATGTCCTCGACATCAAGCAACGGTGCGATCCCGGCGAGTTCGCTACAAACAACGCGACACTTTCAACAAATTCTCTTCTCGCGTTACAGATTTTGTTCTCCAAACAACGCCTACAAAATGATCTCAAAACTTGATTCGCAAAAGAGTTAATTTGGAGTGCAAAACCTGTACCTTGGAAAGCCAAGAGTGAACGTGATCCCCAATTGATAGAATTTGGCATTGACCAATTGGAAGCTTAGTGCCATATTTCCATGACCTCACAATAGATTTAATGCCCTCTAGAATCTCTATGTTTATAAGTTTCATACAATAAAGATATATTTTTAATCTAATAAACGTGTGTCTTGTATTTTGCAATACTCTTAGGCGCAGTTTCATGAAAATTGGAATGTGTCAATTGGGTGACGTTTCTCATTGGAACAATTTCGTTTTCAGACGGTTAAAGGAAATCGTGTTGCCTACTCGGCTTTTTTAAACGCCAGGTCGAAGTTCATCCTGCGATTCTCCGGCCGTAATGAATTATAGTCGAAAGCGTCTGGTCTGAAGTGATGAAGCAAAGCGCAAAATGCCAATCCGTTGTTCCAGCTCGTCGAGAAATTATCCAGCTGCACGTTCTGCAATAGGAAGGAACTCCGTTACTCTTGATCGGTATTTAGCGACCAGAGTACAATACATTGTATGTTCACTTTTCGTTAAATTTTTATATGTTACGAACAGCTGTTTCTTGATATCTTCGAACACTGTATAAATCTGTTATAACGAATACTTTTCTTTGTTCTATGTATGTTCCTGCACTGGACGCTCTATATTGATGTTATAAAAAACTTCTGACTCCATAAGTCTAGCATGTTTATACCGTAATTGCGTTTATGAGGGAACAAAGATGAACTGAACCAGTAATTTTGTTCAGCGGCATAGCGTTGAGATATTTAATTTGTTACTTTTGATCTTGGTCTGTGCTGTCTTTTCTTATGATCCGGGGGGATGGTAAGTTTAACAGTGAGTCAGTTTTAGCCGTTGACACGGAATTATCCTACGTTTCTGTAAATAACGCGCGAAGCACCGTTTTACAACGCGGATTTACCTCGTACTCTTTGGTCTTGGAACGGCACCACGCCAGTAGCCGCTCTTTTATTTGCGCCGCGTTGTCCCGCACCGCTGGCTCGGTAAACTTGAATCGAAACTCTGTTGCCGGTGACTTTACGGGACTAAATATAGAAAGAAAAGGCACGCGTTAAACTTTTGAAGGAACCAGCTGCGTGTACGGATTCGAGACTTCGCATTGAAAGCGAATACCGTTACTATTGCGAAGCCTCGAACACGAGGCACGCTCGACAAGTTAAGAGACAAAGTTGGGCAATTTATTCACGAACATTCGTAAATCAAATTCCATCAACGGATTTGTTCCACTGAAAATTAGAAGTACGCCAATGGTATTGGAATATTTATAACGTTAATAATATTGTACGACGGTACAAATAAATAATACTTGGACATGATTTTTAGTTACCTCGGTGACGAAGCGGCGCTATTTTGTCTGTCGAGTTCACGAAACTTGGCAAACGGCGATAGTGGCTTCTTGCGGGCTGAAAAACGAAGAAAAGGAGCTCAGTAATGATGACACCGGTCCACCGTCGAAGATCGTCAGCGCAAACGTTAGGGTTTATCATTGAAACGCATTCTGTCATCGAACCAATGTTAATCTCTATGTCTATGTTTCGAAAACCAACGTTTGTCAATAAATCGCTGCGCATGTGAGAATGATTAGAAGGATCTGGCGGAAGAAAGAAAAAAAAAAATGAAAAACTAGAAAAGAAGAGAACTTTCGTTTCTCAACCTCGTCGCGATTCATCGATCGTAGAGATAAATCTGGTCATTGATGCGATCGAATTTTGAAACTGTCACGATCTAAAGCGTGACTTCGTTCTATATGAGCTGCAACGAGGCGATGACGAAATCGCTCCCACCAACAAAGAAAAAAAAGAAAAGAGAAAAGTTAAAAAAAATGAAAAAACACGCGGAGCTGGTACTAAAAAACTAAACAGGCTCGTGTGCTCGTATGAGAGATCGTCGAGGAAATTTGAACGAAAAGAATTTCCACCGCCACCCCGTATGCAGTAGGTATTCGTGCGTGATTATACACACGCACACACATACGCACTCGTACCCACATGCAGAGTCTGTAAAAAGTTTATTTGCGAACGACGAACGAAAAAAAATGTTGAATCTATTCGTAAATCAGCTTCTGCCCCGCAAGCAGCCTCGAAAATAATCTGTCCACGGATTCTAATTTACGCGCGCGGCGTGGGGGCCGGTCCACGAATGGAACTTTACATATTTTACATTTATCGTTCGCGAATAACGTTCGTCCAAACACTGCCCACATGGACATCAAAGTGGCGGCACGGAATCGATCAAGAAAATTCGCAGAGTTTCCCCGACACACAAACGGGAATCGTTAAAAGCGCAAAATCTCGCCAGGAGGTTCCTCGTTGATTCCGCGAACGAAGATTTAGAAACTTGGCTGGCGTGTGTCCCGAATGTTTACAAATCTCCAAATAAATGCACGTGCGCGGTACGCGCTATTTTTGCGTGGAGAACGAATTACATACGTTCGACGGTCGATCGAAGGATAATTTACGAGAATTCTCGATGGAAACGGAAATAAGGGAGGGAACGAGTTCGAGTTTACGCGTCTGGATCGACAGTTAAAAAATAAAGGATCACCGTGAAATTTATCTTGACCTCGAGATTTAATGTCAACAATTTTATTTTTATACGCGTTAAAAATTCAAGAGAGGTTTGTAAAAATTGGAGGAGTATTCGTCTAAGACTTGACAACATCCAATATATATATATATATATATATATATTCCTAAAAAATTAACTCTCATTTAGTGTCAGTTAATAAAAGCAAGTTTGTTATATATTTTTAGAGTTCAAGACGGGACTTGAAAGAAGGAGGCCTCCCCGATCGGTTGCCAGCGTGTCGAGCAAATTTCTACCGATCCAGATGCGTAGAGTACCATCCCTTGACGGTCCTACGGCCGAGTCAGCCTTGACGTTCTACTCCATCATACCGGATTCTATTTTAAGCGTGAACCGCGTTGTAGAACCTCGCGGCAATTATTCATTCACGGTCAAGTTACCGTCGAGCGTGTTTTACCGAACGAATTCAGACTGATTGGTCTAGTAGGCGAAATAGGAAAGCACGTCGGGGCCCGCGAGGCGTTAATAAGGGAAATTCCAGTAACGCGCCGAACAGGTGCATGTTTCATCATTCCGCTCTATTAATGCGACACGATTGCGCAGAAAATTGTACGGTGTACAGGGCGTCTCGCCAAAGCGACCAACAGACATTTCCAGCACGCGATACAACAATTTTTGGAGTATCTCAAAATTAATATTGAGATTTATGTAATAATGATAAAACGCTTTAACTAATAATTAATATCGATTAGAGAACGAAAGCATGTTTCACGGCTCAAAGGGGCAGATGTTTGTCTTGGAACGTTGCCGTTTTTGCAGAGACACCCTGTGCACCCGTGTTCCGTCCCCATCAAGAATCCAAGCGTCTCGCGTCGCGAAAAACGGGTGTGCGTGTGTGTGGTGTGTCGCCTCTAAAAGTTCTACTGCGCCTATAGCGAGTGCGCTACGTTGTTAAACTCGTGCACAGTCCGGGTGGTGCAAGCTATACACGTTATACTGCGCGTCGGCAAAAGGATCAACAAAGAAGGGCTAGTGACTCACTGCTTTATTCGGGGTTTGGCACGACCTTCTAGCACGACTCTCTCAACGTCCGTCCGCAAAACGTGTTCGCAGAGCGCGACTCGAGGCTTATTAAACAAAAACAGAAGTAGACTAGAGAGAGAGAAATTAAAAAAAAAAAAAAAAAAAAAAAAAAAAATGAAAAAAAATAGAAAAAAAATAATCGAAGAAACCGGTGAAAAAGCACACGCGCGCGCGGGGAACGGCTGCGAGAAAGCTCGCCCCAGTTTGCTTTTTTGATGGCCGAACAACGATCGGTGCATTCAGTTCTTGTTTTCCTCGATGAGCGACGATCCTCGTTAAACGTCGACTACCGTCGCGCTTCCGTTTGTCTTTCCGTTCGCGGCTCTTGCGTTCTCGCGCACCTCGAAGCCATCCGTTTTGCGACGCCTCCCGGGTTCCCGTCCCCCTCGTTGCGTCGCTTCCCAACGACTCGCGTCGGTCTCCCTTTCGCTCTATTATTTTCTAACATCTAATGGCACTCCGGAGGGGGTCGCGACGACCGATCGAAACTACACGCGAAACGCGATACCGAGGAGAAGGGAATCAGAACGGTGAAACAGTCCTTCTATCGCGGAGCAACCGGCTGGACACGGAGAGCAACAGAACAGTCCCCCAGCCAAGGTGTAATTCCCTCGAGGAGATGAAGAGGAGGATCCAGCCGGTCAACAATGGCGGCCATCGGTCCTCGTGGCCTCCTCGAACAGATCGTCGAATACTTTGTCGACGTCCGCGGTGTTCACGTTCAGCAGAGGCGTTTGTTGGGGCGCCGGTATCGTCAGACGCAGCTTCTCGTCGGATATACCGGGCATCGTGCGACTACGGGACAGCCCGACCATTCCTTTGCTCATGGTCTTCGGCGAACGCCTGTGTTTCGAGTGATGATCCCTCGTCTCTACGGTGTCGCCGGGGCTGTCGAAGTATTGTCTGATCTTATCCTCCATCTTCTTCACGCTGTCGGCCATGGAGGAGGCCTCGAACTGCTTCGATCGAAGCCTCTGCGACGAGGGCGACTTGGGCTTGGGTGGCTTCGTGTGGGAGAAATGTTTGGAAGGCGTCGCGGCTGGCACGTTGACGCGTGGAGCTCGGGGATAGCTGTTGGAGATGGCCAGCTGGTGCCAGGACTCCGACTTGGACAGGACGATGGACCTCGAGGGCTTGGTGGCGCACGAGACGAGGTACTCCTCGCTGGAGTCGATGGGCGTTGCTCCGTTCGATATCGGGCTGCGTTCCTTGTGGACTGGTTTCGTCTGCGTGGTCGGTACTTGCTCGTAGGCGTCCCTGAGCGCGTTCACCCTGTTGGCGGTGACTGGTCCTGGACCCGGCGAGTGGGCCCGTTGCGGTTCCGGTTTCCTTTGAGGAACCGGAGCCAAGAACTTGGCGAATCGATTTGGTCCTTGAGAACTCGATGGCTGGTCGAAGTTCGCGGGTTGGTAGCTAGAGTTGAGGCTCTGCTGATGACTCTGAGCGAAGTTAGCGTGGTGGCTGTAGCTGGGGGGCTGCTCGAGACTTTGGGGGAAGCGTTGGGGGGGCTGCTCGTCGTTCAGGGACGTGATCTCGTTCTGCAGACGACGCACGAGGCTCTGTTGCAGCAAGTTGTGCCTGCGTATGTCGTCCTCGGGCGTCGCGGTCTCGCTGGTCGCCGGTCTGGACTTGGACCACGAGAACTGCGAGGGCGACGGGGACGATGACGTTCGCGAGTCCACCGCCACTTCCTCGGAACGCGGTTCTGGACTGTCGACGGAGGACGCGACGGTGGCGATCGCGCAGGTGTAGCGCGTCACCACCCCGACGTCGGGACTGATGTCCTGGTTCTGGATGTTCTGGTCGTCCAGGAAGCCCGGGTCCTCGGTCAGACTCGGGGATACGAAAGAATAGTCCTCCTTCCGGTCGATCTCGAGACTTGGATCGTCGTCTGTAGGATTTTCAACTTGCGTTTCAAGTTCGACTCGATGGAGGTTCGAATCGCTGGGTACGCTATGGTAATTTTGATTATGGTCCAGCACGAAACGTTGAGGATCCGGACGGTGGATCAGACTGGTCTCGTCTGACCCGTTTTCGGACCCCTCGTAGCGCAGAGGCCTCCATTGCTGCCCGGTTTCCGCGTCGCTGACCGATATCGTCGGTCTCTCCAGGTCGCTGGTGGTTTGAACGGAAGCGTTGCTGCAGGACAGGGTAGGACCCTTGGTGATCTTCGGGGCCACCCGGAACGACCGTCCCTCGTCCTGGTGCTCGTCGTTGATGCCCGTTTGGATCGCCACCGAGGAACTGCCGCGCAGAGTCGCGTCGGGAAACACCGCCTTCGAGGTATCCTTCTCACCGTATCGTCCACCCTTCGGCACTTGGAACGCGCTCTTTTCCACGGGTGGGTACTGCTGGGTCTGCACTTTGAACGAGATCTTGCCATCCACCACCCCGGAGTTTCTGTCTCGCTTGGTTAAATCTCGCGTACGTTCCTCGATCTTCTTGGTCTCCGCGGTACATTTGCCTACGAACGGAGCGAACTGTTTGCAGAACGATCGGTAATCGATCTTCCCGTTCTCCGTCACAGTGCTGTTCCCTCTGTTCTCGCCCCTGTCGTGGTCGATCCAAGGCGGACGAGGGAAACTGGGCTTCTCGTTGTAGTCCACGTTCGGTCTGGGTTTCGAGGGTGGCTGTTGCACGTCTCTGTCGAACATCATCCTGGCTTTCTCGCGCAGAGTGCTCGTGGGCGCCGGCACGTTCTTTGGCCAGTGATAGGAGGTGGGCACCTTGGACGGCGACACCGGCGTCTGTTTTTCTATCTTACGGAAGGGCGAGGACGGGGCATGCCGGAAACCACCGGATGCTTCCGTTTTCACCATAGGGCCGCCGTAATTCGAGCTCGACTCGGACGCTTTATCACCCGGGGAACAATAAGTTTGCGTTTGCGTTTGCGTTTGTGGCGACCCTGAGAACCATTTGTTCGCGCGAGCCTTCAACGACGGTCTGTTCTCCCTTTCCTCGTTGGGGGACGATTTGTCGAAGGTCGTCTTGATGTTGGAGAACCGACTGTTCCAGTGTTTGTTGGCCAGCGACGACATGTCCGTGATCTTGGCGTAACCGAACGGTTTAAACGGCGCTACAGGCGCGACTGACGGCGCCTCGTTGTTCTTGTTGATCAAAGCTAAGAATTTCCTATCGTTCTCCGTTTTCGGCTGAAAGGTGGGCACGATCGAGGCAGCGTTCAGCGCCTTGTCCCCCACGTTTATGGGTCTTCTCAGTGAAACGCAACCGGTGCTCTCGTGGCCGAGACTCTCCTGGAGCTTCAAGTAGCTGGGTATGTCTATTGTGTTCGCGCGTTTGATCTTCGATTTCTTCGCGCTGAACTTGTTCCCGCCGTACCTTCCGGTGGCTGTTGCCAATTCGGCGCGTTGCCTGAGCGCGGCCGCTAATTTGCTCACGCGACTCCTCTCCTCGCTCTCCTCAGCGACGTTTTCGTTCTTCTCCTTCGACTGATAACTGTTCGCTCGATATTGAGCCTGGAGCATGCTAGGCTCCGCGTTCGGTTTTACCTCTACGGCGTCCGGCTGCTGGATACCACGGTAGCTATCGCGAATCTCTTTATTCTTGTCCTCCAGCAACTGTCGCTGGTTGATCGCGTCTTTCACGCACTTGTCGCGTATCTCCTCTGGTTTCCTGTCCGTAGTTGGTACATTGGCGGGCTGTTGTTCCCTCTGTTCCAGGGGCAAGCTGCTCTTCTCCTCCTCCAGCCACTTCCTGGCGCGCGCTAATTCTTCCGTGGATACACCGATGGTGTGCCTGGTCCCGCGACGCCTTCGACTCAACGACATGGACGGTAGGACCGTTTTCTCCGGCGTTTTCTCCTGCTCGGGCACCTGCAGCCTCGACAACAAACTCGACACCAAACGCAGAAGGTGAAGCTTGCTGGTGGGATCGGACGCGGCGCCGTTCTTCGCGAGCGCCGCTACGTCGGTTCGCTCCAAGGTCTCGCGAAGCCTCGACAGAGCCGTTTGTATGTCCGACAACAGAAGATCCTCCAAGAATTTCAAGTCTTTCCTGAGCTCGGGTTCCTTGCAGTCGCCGAGCACGCGTTCCATGGACGTCCGTATCCGGAAGTCCTCCTCGGAGTCGACGCCGGAATCCTCGGGCAGCGCCGGCGGCTCGTCGTCGCGACGGCTACCCTGGGCTAGGGATAGCTCGACAGCCGCCCGTAGACGCTCTACCAGTACCGGCAACGAATTCCACTCACCGACTGGCGCGTTCTCGTTGCGTCCATCGGTGCTACCTGCCGTCCCTACCCTCGTCACCGTCTGCTCGCGTCGCGAGGCACCGTCCTCGCCGGACGCCTCTGTTCCCGTCGTCGGCGACGCCGCTGAAAAAGAAACGATACGAGACGGGGGTTGAACCGAGCCGACCTGAGGGACCTGAGTCGCGGCCGGTTCGAGGACTACAAACGCCACGCATACACTCACTCTGTTTTTTCTCTCACAAATTTTGGAACGTTTAGCGACTTAAGAATTACAGTGAAACTCCCCGTTTATACATATTGTGGCGTTGGGCTCTTGGAAGCGAGAAAAAGCGTTTCGTCCTGGGACCTGCTTCCTAGCAAGCCCTCAGACGACGATTGAGGAATGTATACAGGGGAACGGAGGTGTCAGACAAGCGCTTGCGAGAGAGCGACCCCTCTGATGGCGAGTATGAGAGGTGACGCCACAATATAAACTGAAAGGGTTCACGTAGGAGCTCAGCTACTTTCTGTCTATCGTAGTCCTTCATACGTATCACGGAGTACTCTGTTTGCAATGTTTATAAGTTTTCTGAAGCCCCCTGTTGACGTCCCTCGTTAGTAAATCGTGTTTCCGGAAATAACGAGTAAAGCGATCCTTCTGGTTGGTAGAGCAATACAGCGTTTCAAAAGTACAACAACTTTACTTTTGCAAGTTATTACTAAATTCTTGACCAATTCCACCGCGTCGTCATCGAGTATCAGGCGTTCCCCGAATAGTCGTAAATCCATTTCGCATCCAGGTCCGTCAGTATTTACATGTATCTCTGAAACAGACTGTATAAGTGTATTGCTCGACAAACCAGGATCGCGTACATTTATTTGGTAAAGAATTCTCGAGTAAAGGATGAATTAATCTTGCGTTTCCGCCTAACCGTGGAACGCTGTTGGCTCGATGGTCTTGCGTGACACTGTCTCGCGGCGTGTAATAAATGATCTATCTATTTATCCATCACACTTTCTCTCTTTCTCTCTTCTCTCTTTAGTTAGCTATTCGTCTAGTTGGCTCGCGGAGGAACGCGAGGGAAGCGCGGAACGCCTGACGCGTTTTCGCGAGGCCGAAAGGGAGGCTGGTTGACCGGCTATCGCGCTGGCTTTATTTAAAACCCCGCGGGATTCTCCGCGGGATTTATTTTCGGTCGCTCGTTCAACGCCTCGCAGCTGCCCACCAGCGAGCGTGACGGGCTCAAGCCGGAGACGCGTCGATCGGTCTCGATGTCGAGGTAACTCGAGGATGGATGGCACACCGGGTTTTCTCTCGTTACAAAAGTACAATTTTTCTAATCGCGACGCGAGCGATCGACGCTGTCGCTCGCAATCGTCGATGGCGCACCACTAGAGCTGGGCAAATTGCACCGCCAAAATTATAAGCTCAAATCGTTTTTGGCTCGGTCGTCGTCGCGATTAAAACCATCGTCTTTTTCCTTTTATGGAATTAATAAATAATGGTACGATGTTTATTGCTTATTATAATTACTTTTTTGTAACTGAGTTTATACTTTTGACCAACCTTCAAAGAGTATTTTTCTTGAAAATAATTCATTGTTCGTGTAAAAAAAACCATGGCAATAGAAGAGCCAAAAATGAACTGAACTTGCAATTTTTTGTCAGCAGTGTAGTCCACATAAATATGGCATAATACAATTACACGTAATTACTAGAGAACTATGTACACTTCAATATTAATAACAACTATGTTTTCTATAAACTTAGTGGTTCGTAACCATAAGGTACCTATTTTCCAAGATGGTGACGATTCCTCGTTTCCTACCTATTACAATACCTTCACTGTTTGAAAATTTAATTAATTTCGTGCATTTCTATGACCGCCAACGTGTTAATACTCCTTAATGATAAATTGCTTTTCTTTATCCTGGAAAGTTGTATCGCATTTTCGATTTACGATACACGAATTGCTTTTAATTTCACAAGACGGTGAAAGATTGCGCCATTTTTCCACAACTTGGCGTTCGTTCTCGAACTTTAACGGTGATCCATCTATCCACGAATTACCGTGCATCACGAACCTGGTTGCGTGGCTTCTTTCCTCTCCGTTTCGATCTTCTTCTGGTTCTCTATAAACGACTGTTCCCTCTCCCTGATCTCCTCGTTGCTCTCCACGGAGAAGCTTCTCGCGGTTTGCTTCGGGGTGTCGACGTAGCCGTCTAAATAATCCACGGAACTGGACCTCCCGCTCTCCTCCTCGATGATATTATGAAAATCATTGTTCTCCACTACGGCTCGAATATCTGGAATAATTTCATCGATACCGAATCGGAACGCAAGAACCACGGGCGTGGATTTTATACGAAAATGACGTTGGTCAGTGGGCGATTGATAAAACGAAAGCATTCAACGATGAATTCCGATTAATAAGAAATCTTGTTTGGAGTGTCCTTGGAAGTTTTTCGATTAGCGTTTAATGAAGTTTAGCGAAGTTACGACGATTTCTGTCGCGCCACACGACACGTTTAACGCAGCAGAACGCAACGAAATTAACCCCTCGACGCAACGTTTAATTAAAATTCAACATTAGGACCATTTTGTGTTTGAAAAAAAGGCAAAGCAGTACACTGTACCGCATCGAGGGATTAACGTACGCGAATGACAGAAATGGTACGCGTTTAGTAGCCACGTGCAATGATTTACTTCAATCTTTGATGAAAGAAATTTAGAAAACAATAAAAACAGAAGACAGACGAGAATGAATTTGGAAGGGTTACGTTAATAATGTTATGATCGGAACAGAAGTGTTCGAATGTGAGCCCTTTCAGCATCATCGTTCATCGTACTTGCTCCCCGGAGTTCCTCGACGTATGCTCGTTCGTTATCTATTTACGATACTCAATATTTCTAGGCCATAGACGTTCAAAGAACGTCGCGACGCCGGCTCGTTAAGCAGACCTCACCTTCCGTCTCCGACATTATGATTCCTCTGCTTCGACTGGGCTTCTGCAATCAAAACGAACGTTTAATTAAAAAAAAAATTAAAAACATCTATATTTCGAATATCTCGCGATTTCTTATTTATAACAGTTCGATGGACTATCAGTGGCGCGTTCGATTCGCGGTTTAATAATTCTATCGCGTGGATTTAGCGGCGGCATTTCATACGGCGACATTGAGCTACTCCCCATTCGATGGTTCGTTTATTTCCTCGTTCGACGCGACTGTCCTCGGATTCCTGACCGAACGACGGGATTCTCCGTTTCCTCGAAACGGTACCATGTGGCCGAGCCATGGTCCGAAACGCTAAATGACTGGTTCTAGGTCTAGCGGATTGTGCGATCCACGACGGCAGGGAAGCGTTGGCGGCTGTTTGGGGCACGGCAGGCCTCGCGCGAAAATAACTTTGACCCGTTTTCGCGCATACGGAAATTAGGAAGTCCCGCGGATTCTATGCGAGCTACGCCCGTTCCCGATACAACCGATACTCGCCAACGCGGAACGGCCACTCGATATTTTCGATCGCAATTCGACACCAACGTTTCCTCCCCACCGCCTTAAAACGTACAGTTAATCACAAAATTTTCACCCTCGACTCCGCAAATTAAAATTAAAATTAAACGCTACACTTTTGTCTATCGAAACTTTAAGTAATATCTTAACAATTCAAGACGATTAATTTTCTCTTAAGTTATCGTTATAACTAGACTGCGGATCTTTATGCAAATTCATATTTTTATTAATACTAAATATAATAATTCGTATCTTACTTTAAATATTTCTTATATTTTTGCATAACAAGTGCGTTCTGTAGTTTTCTGAGGATTAAAATTTCTCATAAATGCATAGACATCCGCAGCCTAGTTCTAACGATTGTTTGAAAGGAGCAATGGGAGACTGTCTTGCATTTACAAATGTTTCGAACTATTCTGTTTTACGGGTCTAATATTATCAGTGAAAATAAATAGCGCGTGAAAAATTGAAGAAACGTACACCGTACGTGGGACTCGGTGTAAACATCGAAAACAGAATGTTAGCAGACGCGGGGCTATTTAAAAACAGTTAATATTACCGCCCGAGTTTCGCGACGTTACAAACTATTTCGCGTTCGATTTATTTCCTATTGCACGCGGGCATCTCTCGCCGTACTTGTACAAAGAAATTAGTAAAAGAAGGCTGGAGCCACCGATCGAAATAAAACCTGTACATTATCCGCGAATATCTGGCGAGGAAGAGGTAAATCAAAGAACCGATTTTCGCACGTGTGTCGGGAACGCGTTGCTAAGAAAAGGCTACTCTAAATAAAAACGTTTCTGTCTTCGCCGGTTCCCGTATCACCGTCGTCTGCGGATCCTCCGACGAACGCGATAAACAAACACTTCGGTTGTTGCTTCGCGTATCATAATAAATATTTCCGCGAGGTGTTGCGCAATCGTCGCTCATTCATTTCTTTCGGTGTACTTTTCCAAACGCCTCCACAGTCTTGGATCAATGCTTTGTCAACGTGGGTTCGAGTCTACGTTCGTCTCTGAAACATGTAATTATAGTTTATAAAACTATCTACTGCTCTGCAAGATCGAAAAGCCAGGAATCTCTCTTTGTCAATTGGTGTTTTGGAAGAGAACACAAAGAACACAAGAATAATATAGGAAGTTCAACGCACTCGGAAGGCTAACGAATATTGTAACAACTGGTTCAAAGAGTAGGAGTGAGACCTAACGAGTTTGGGAAGATCGACTAGCTTGGAGACACCGATGGCGGAGTGGCTAGCTTGATAATGGATCCGTAAAATTAGCACAGAGAATATTAAGATCAACGCACCGGAGTAACCAGGTTCGGGTGGACCGGTGCATCCGTTGGAGATTGACGTAGACTACTGGCGCGATAAATCGGAGCGTCTCGTGCTCTAGCGCGGAATCGGGCACAACGCAACAGTAAGGAGGGTAAGAAAGCGGAGGAAAGTTCCGGTCAGTTTGGTTTGCACGCGGGCCGACCATGATAGGCAACCGTTAGCGGCGAAGATCGGACGCGCGTGTTGCCACGAGGACGCACACGCGCTTTATAAATAGTACGGGCGAGTTTCACCGCTGGTGGACGACTCCGCCACCTCGTGAAAGCACCTTCGTCGGCCTTCGACGACAGTTTTTTTACCGAAATACGCCCGGTGCCGCGACCTTCTTGCCCGCGGGCGAACTTTTTCGTGGCGGCCTACGGGTGGACGGCTGCCAGAACGGCCGCACCGCGACGACGATCTGGCCGATTTTGGCAACGGATCGTTCGCCCGACCAGTCACCCTTCTGCGACGATCGATCGGAAACAGGGACGTGGTCCAAAACCCTTTCGAATCCACACCGTCGGTGCCCCGGGTTCTCACGTACACTGCGGCGAGCGTCGCGAAATCGATCCCCGACCGTTACGATTTCTCGCGAACCAGATCTCCTCCGGTTTCTCCGCTCGAGTACGTATCTCAGCCGCTTTCATCGAGCAAACGAGAGAAAGCCGCGTATGCGATTGCTACCAGACGCGTTACAGAGAAACAGAATTACGCGATGATACGAAGAAAAATATCGTTTACCTTGAAGGGTCAGAGAAGCAGTGTCGGTGTATTGGGGACCTACGCGCTGAGGAGACTGCGCGAGTAGGCAGCCTCTCTGCCACCAGACTCTTCGTTCCGGTGGTTATTGTCGGTGGTGGTGGCGGTGGTGGTGGTGGTGGCGGCGGAGGTTGGTGGTGGTGGTAGTGGCGACGGTGGATGATGCTACCAGCGCTGCCGTTAAAAGCTTAGCGTCACCCGGCTCGAATTAGACGGCCTGAAATAGACCCGAGTTATTGCCGGCACTATGGACCAGCCTGGACGCATACCTTGCTATCTCGTCGTACGGGACGCGGTGCACGCCGGTGCTTCCGCTACCGGTACGGACACGGACACGGTGTCCCCTTGGCACCGTCCTTTACCGTCTCTGCGCGCCGCTCACCTGGCGCTGGCACACCTGGCCCATCGTTTTTCCTCGCGATCGTAGACCTCCAGCGATCGAGCAGGACCGGGTTGGCTGCTCGAGGCGATCTATTTTTATTATTCTTTTAACGGTGAATGGATTCGGGTGATCGCGGAACGTTAATTACCTTTTAATGGGCTCGACTGACCTTACTGTAACGGAGACTCGGAGGAACTTTTGCCTCTGATGGAAAACGACGTTCTTGATAAGTTTCCTGGATTGCAATCTGTAATGAAAACGTTTCGTTTAGATACATTATAATATTAAAACTAAAAACGGAGTCGAACTTCTAAAGGAATGTGGTAAAGTTCGATAAACGCTTGTACGCGACAATAGATTGAGACGTCGTTGAACGTACATACGTCATACTTGACCTAACTGTTAAAGGAGAGAAAGAAACTCGCAAAGTGTTACGCAGCGAATAGGTAGCTGCAAGATCGAAAAATGCCTACTTAACCCAGTAAGCGGCGACGTTCTACTTTGTTGGAATACATTTGGAAAAATGTTTGTTTGTAATGTTTGTGTAACACGAAGTACCAGGTGCACAGAAGCAGAAGTAAGTTTGATCGCGAGATTTATCGGGTGAGTGTCCATTATCGCTAGAAGGTCAGTAGCATACGACCGATTAAAGTCTAATTAGCATTCAACGATTCCCCGACTCCGTTCGCTGCTATTACCGAAAGAATAATAGAACTAGGCCGTTTCAAGCATCCAACTTAAGAGTTGGCAATTACTGAAAGCTAGAATCTCGCACGGGAACGAAGCAGCAGGTACGCATGCGAAGATAGAATGAAGTTATTGCCCATTAAGAACACCGAGCGAGCGTCCATTAGCGTTGGACGGTCAGTAGTACTCGACTCATTAACACGTTTACTACCGTGTCGCATGAATTCGAATTAGAATCGCTTAATATAATTCTATTCATACGTCTTCATCTTGATGATATCACTTCCATTCTTTAGCAAACTATGTAATACTTCTTTCTGTGTATCAAAAAATGGATCAAGTAAACGTTGTATAGTCTAATGAGAGGTATTAGAATAACAAAAATTAATACCATTTACCATTTATGGACATATTGAGGCCACGCCTTTCCTCCATTTGTATTCCTTTTTTAAAAAGTCTGTTACGCGCTGATAGATTAGCCCCAACGAACCGTTTAATCTGAAACAAAAATAACGCCGATAAAGCAACTCGTAACACTTTATTTGGTACGCCTTGTGTCTGTTGAAATAATTCTTTAATGCATCTATACTAGTTTCCTAATAATTATAAGGCACGCGTCAGAAGCACAATAATTAATCGTTGTATACCGAACGGAAAGGAACTAAAAATCGGTCTGGCACGTAACGTGCTCGCACGAGAACCGTTATTATTTAATTAACAAAATTACTTGGCTGTCTTTTCCGTCGCAGCGTGTAACCCGGGTTTATTTCGGTCGCGCGCAAACAATCGGCGTGACGGTCTGCGCCGGCATCGAAGTCACCCGCGTGCCATCGGGCATGCCTGGCGATCCAACGCTCACGTGTCACGTCTCGTGTCGTCATCCGGGATCATCGATCGCCGATCCGCCGAAATAAAACGACCGGGGCACGCATCGTGGAACCGCGTTTTCCCGGCCCAGCTGATCGGGACGCCTTTTTGCGCCTGTTCTCCTCCATGCGTGCTCCATCGAGCCAGCCCCACCTGTATTTCTCTTTCGTTCTCCCCTCTCGGGGGCAACTGTCCCCTCTACCGTGTACTGGAGATCACTTTCGAAGACCCGTTAACCTACTCGGGGCCTCAGTATCCCCGCTGCCTTCGGACCTTCGCGTTAGCGGTGCAGGTGAGCGAGCCTTGGTTTCGCAACGATCGTCCTTGGACGTTGGTAGCCGAGCGTGGCGATCTGAGGTACACCTTAAAACGAAAAGAAACTGTCAATTCCCATTAACCGTGATGCATGTAACCCGTACCACTCGAGAAACGACTCTTCGACGCGAATCTCCTAATTTGGATACCTCGATACGCGAAAATCCATTTTCATATTTCATGATACCGCAGCGTTTGAATGGAGAGAATTAGGGTCGTTTCCCAAGTGCAAGAGCAACCTCGAACGATTATAATTTCACGCCGATCTCACTTTCTCTGCCGAATGTACAGTTAGTGTATCTGATGCTAAGCGGTTTGGACGGAGAACCGGAACTGGCCGGTTTTCTCAGGGTTACGTGGTCGAAAATCGAGTCGAAAGGATGAAGGGATGGTTCGACGCGTTCCGTATCGACGGCGGGCCGACGCTGTACAGCTACAACAACAGAACGCCCGTCACCGGGGACGTTCCTCTGGTGATCGTCTTCGTGATATTTGGCACCATCTTCACGGCGTTCCTGGTGATATTCCCTGGCGTGCGAAAGGAGGCGAGTGCACCGTTCGTTTTATCCTCGTTCGCGGCGAAGAATGCCACTCTTACTTTGATCGTTTTTGTCGATTTTTTCAGAGACTCAGTACATTCCTTACCGTGACCTTGAGCCTCTTCGTCGGAGCGTCGATCCAAGGTTCGATCCGCCTACTCGGCGATTAACCGAGTTTTCTCTTTTTCGCCGTCCGGTATGACACGTCGGGCTCGTTTGTCGTTACAGTGGCGCAGTATGGTTCATCCTGGCACACAAGTTCCGCGACCGTGGTCAGCACGTACAGCGCGTACACGAGGCACAAGACCACCGCTGAAATCGGTGGCTACATCGGCCTGATGCACATAAACATCACGTACAGACGTGAGTCAGTGGAGCAATTATTTCGATCGATCATTCCCGCATGCCATGCTCGACGGTCATCATCAACCGCTGTTGTCTGATTTTTTAACCTAATACCCATGTTGCAAAAGCATCGCTACACTCATACACCAAAGTACGCTTACATCTACAACATTCAATCGACGAAACATGTATGTTAAACATTCGATACAATATGGTACATATAACAAATTTCAAGTTTCATTCTACCCCCCATTTACAGCAGAGCTCTTAGACTTAATGGATGATTTGGTCTTCCACAGTGTTGCCCAACAACGAGCATCCAATGGAGGACATTGAGTACAACGAGAGATTCTGGTGGAGAAGCACCGGTGAGATGACCAGCGCCTTCAAGGAGGCCCTCAATCAGGGCGCACCGTTTCCTATAGTTTCTCTGGCAGAATACTTCAGTCTTCACGACGAGGGCTTCTCCTGGGGGAGCAAGTACCGCCAGGCTGGCTACTATGCTTCCCTCATGCTCTGGTGATGATCCTTTTAACGTCCTTTTCCATTTATTCGGTATCTTGACGTGTCTGACTGCTTTCTCTAGGACATCTTTCGCCTCCTGGACCATGACGAACCTGCTGCTGGTAGTAGTACCGCGTTACGGAGCGTATGGCATGGTCTTTACCGGGATATGCATGTTATTGACGAACTTGATATACTGGGCGCTTCTACCCTGCGAGCCCCTAATAGCGCACGTAGACGGCTCGACTCTTGCTTTCAATCTTGGATGGAATTACTGGCTAATATTGCTCTCTGGTTCGTACTAAAAAATGTCGACGAGGTTTTGTTCTATTAACATGTAAACACCGCGAGTTTATGGACGATATATTAAATAATGGAAATATCCAGTTAGGTATGCAGGAACTGTGAATTGTTTCAGGTATAGGATGCCTGTTTGCCGGGGCGGTAATAACGGCAATTGACATGATATTTCCTCATCAGTTCTCTACCATACTCGAGGTCGATTACGACACCCCGTACGATAGACACGTTATCATAGAGGAGAGCTTTGACACGCGGAACATAAGACGGAGGATATCCAAAATCGAGGACTCTTTCGGCGATCGCATAATAAGGTTTCTCATCGCTTGTTCACGCTTGGGTATCAAACATATTCTTTTTAAAGATAGTCAGATCTTTATTTGCATCGTTCCAGTCAACTATCGTCGAAGCTGCAGAGCAGACACATCGCCAAGGAAGACACGCAGGGTGTGATAAATCGCGGTTACACGGCGCACGAGTCCTCGGAATTTCAACACGACGACTCCGCGAAGAGCAATTGGTCTTACCCGTTCCCATCGTCCTCGCGGAGGATTATCAACGGTTGATTTCTATTATTTATATTCGTCCTGCGATCGTTAAAAAATAAAAATTACATTTCTATTCTACCTACGAGCTCGATCATTCTGTCCTAGAACCGCCAGGAACGAAGAGGGGAGAACACGGATAATGATTCTTCACAGAATTTCGGCTTTCAATTTTCTTAATAAGCTGAAAAATGTACATAGAAATTCTTGATGTGCTAGAATAAGTTAAAGCTATACTAACTAAAAATATAGAGAACCAAAGCGGACACCTTAGGAGTCCCAAGGTTTGCTATATTCGATACTTCGTCGATCGGGTTTTGTCAGTTCTGATCATCCGGTCGTCACTTAGTAGGGTCCACATCGATCATTTAGTCGTTCGAAAAGAAAACGTTCGTTTCCTTCGTATCATAAATAAGAAATGTAATACTCGTTATAAATAAAGGACACGCGCACACGCGTATAAATATATACATTCGGTAGAGTCCCAACGAGATTCACGACAAAGTTCATCGTTCGTCTCCAGCCTCTTTCGTGGTAAATATTCGTGCATGCTAGCCGAAGTTCTCGAAATGATGAATGAAATACGGGAGACGACGGCCCTTGTTCACCTCGTCGCAGGAGGACATCACGCTTTTCGTCAGCGGACGCGGACCGCAACTGAACACTCCTATTTTACTGACCTGCAACACGGTTCAGAGCGCATCAAAATTTGTTGAAACACCTCCGGTCGCGATATTCGCCGTTTAAGCTTACTAAATTGATATAGCGACTTAACGTTATAATAGTTGGAGAAATTAATTCCCGTCGACTGACTTTGACTATAATTTCTATTCGTTTTTTTTACACAACTTACGTAGCTGTGTTTCTTCTGGACAAACTTTAAGAACGAAGTCATATCGGGCCGGCCGAAGTGATTTATCGCTTTCAGCCCTGTGAATATACTCTTCTTGGATAGCCTCTGGAAATGGTTCTCGCAAATGTACTGCAACGAACAACATTGATTCGATCTGTCTTTCCCCACGATCGACGATTCAAATCGTTTCAAACGTGTACGCGACGACTTACCAGCATAGTGGTACGTAAATCGAACTTGTGAAAGAATTGTGTAATAAATATGTGAATTTCTAAAACGTCCGTGACGTCCTTCCTTTCCACGTCTCTGAGGACGTCGATGAACCACTCGAAGTGTTTGTGAGAGGGGCATATCCACAGAAAATAGACCTGCGAAGAGATAAACGAGCATCGATTATATCAACCTAAAAGATAGCGTCGACAAATTTATGGATCCAACCTAATTAGATATAGACGGTCTAATAATCTCCATTAATGACCATGATTGAAACTCTCCATTTGGTTACCTTTTTACACGCAACTCCGGAGTATCTGTTCGTAGAAGTTCCAAAGACAAGATCGTTCAGCATGGAAGCGTAAGGAGTAACGCCAATGCCACCACCGACCATAACGGCGACCTCAAACTTATACCAATCTTGGTTACCGCCACCGAACGGACCTTCTATTCTTATTTTCGGGTGCTCGACTTCCGGATTGTAATTGCAAGGGTCGAAGTAATTTCGTAATTTCCACGTCCACGGACCCTGCGCCTTGATGTGACACGACAGGAAGTTCTCATGAGGCGCCGAGGTCAAGGTGAACGAATGGAATTCGTTCGATCTGAAGGCGGTGCACGAGAGGCGGACCCACTGACCCGACAGATACTTTAAATTCGGCGGTCTATAAAACTTGATCTTTATTACGTCCGACGGCAACAGTTCCGTCTCGATGATGTCCAACGCCATGAACTTGGTACGTAGACTCACTATCTGGAAAATGGTAACGATTATTTTGCATTACGATGCACTTAATAGAGGGTTAATAAGTATAAGTGTTATTCATATCTAATTTTATACACGAAACGCGGCTAAATAAAATGGACGATAATAGAGATTGTTTTACAAAAATGGTACTGTTCAATTTACCTTATCGAGAGCGTAAATGAGCGCTGGACCGACAAAGAAAATCCAGAATCGCGGGGAGCCTGTTAAACGAGCCAAACCATGAATCAGACACAGTGCATAGAGCACCACGTACAAGCTGTGAGTCATCCAGAAGAACTTGTACGCCTTCTGACGGATCGTTGGATGAGCAAAGACGAAGATTATCGTCATCACGACGAACAATAGAATTCCGGTCAAACCTGCGAAAAATTAAGCGATGATTTAAGAATTTCAACAATAAAACAGACTCCTGTGTAATTCTAGTCACCTGTCACGGTCCTGAACAGCCAGAACGATATCGTGAGGCGAGCATCGCTAGGAAAACTGAGCTCGCTGGTCAAGCAACGAAGATGCGCCAAAGGCTGGGTCGAAACGTGATAAAAGTTGACCATGTGTCCGACCGTGTGGAGGACAGAAAAAAATAGCGCTGTGCAGGCAGCGATCTTGTGAAACTGAATGTGAGAATCCAATGGGATATATTGCTGGATAGAGAATTCCTTCAATTTGGTCAGGAGGTTACGCGACATAGTCAAAAGTAGCAAACTGTAGCAGAATGACAAGGCAGCGGCCGATCCTCTGGTTATGGCGATCCCGACCCCCATTATGTGTCTCAGATCCGTGTGCTCGGACATAAAGGAGTAATCTAAAATTGTACCAACCATTAGTCGTTTCTTTTTCGCGAAATAATTTTAAGTAACTGTGAAATACTCGCATATGAATCTCTCGACGAAAAGCGCTATGGTCGTGACGTAGAAAACGAACAGGTAAAATATATTCTGTCGGTTTTCCTCGAGGAATGTTGACACCGCGTCCCACTGTTTTCGTACCCAGTTCTTGGAATCCTCTGATGGAAGCTGATCGATATGGAAACTGGTCATGCGGGCTACGTTCGTAGACGTGTCCAGGAAATTTTGCTTCGCGCCTTTGCAATCCAGCCCGATCGCCACGAAATCCCCCTTGTACTCTTTCATCATCAGCTTAAAATCGTTGTAGGTGAGGTAATCCTTTCTCTCGAGCCCAGCGTCCTAGAAACGTCACGTTTCAGCATACTACAAATACTACAATACAGATCAGTGATTTCCAAACGATTTGGAAATGAAAAATTCACTTTGGAAAACACTGGCGTAGATAGTATTAAAAATCTAGAAAGAAGTTACTTGAAACATTCCGTCTATCAGTTCAGTGACATGATCGTCCGAGAGACTAGTCGTCCGCGCGATTTCCACTAGTGATCTAAGCATTTCGGATAGTTCCTCCTTATCGATCACTCCGTTACTGTCCTTATCGCACATGTCGAAAATGATCCTCAGCTTGTCCTCGGTTTTACCGCGCGAGAACAACAAGACGGTGTCCAAGAATTCCTGAAACGCATAATCGTTCGAATTCCACTGTTTCCGGTCGAAGAAACGACGATTTCAGTACCTGGAAGGAAATACGACCGTCCCTGTCTTTGTCCACGATGTTGAACATTTTTTTTACAAACACCGCATCCGCCCGCATCCCAAGCGCGCTGGCGAATTCGCTTTTAGAAAGCGAGGTTCTCATCACGGTGACCACTTCACCGCTGTCGCTGTCCTCGGATCGTCGTCGCCTTTCGCCGGGTCGTAGCCCAAACGTGAGAGCATAAGCCTCCCTGAAGAACTGTTGCACAAAAACGCTTTATCAGCCTTTGAATCAATATTGTTAAAACGAGGAGTTCTGAACCCCCGAGAACTTGTACAAACTTTGTTTCAAAGTCGAGAAAGTTATAACAATGTAAAAATTTGCTGTTAATGAGTGAAATAGTAATGGGTTTGAGCGAGGGTGGATATGACCTGCTCGAGTTTCTTTTGACGGCGTTCCTTCGTTTCCGCTTTCGCAAGCATAATGTCCCTGCCCACTTGGGATAGCGTGAAGTGCTTCTTATGGGACGCCAGAAATGCCTCCAGTTTCGCAATGAACTTTCTACGCGAGGCCAGGGAATCCAGCTCAAGGACAAGGTCATAGTCCCGTGGTATCCGTAGCAATACCAAGGCCTTACGATGCCCGTTCTCGTTCTCCTGAAAGACAATTCATCGTTGCAAAACTGTTTTTCGGGTATTGTATGGTGATCGTATCAGTAGGACCACTTTAAACACGTTCTACATCATAAGGATACTTCCGAACCAATTAAGATTTATTCAAGTTGTAAAAAGGAGTCCGTGGAAGCCAATAAATGATATCATAATTATTCTAGCTGGTACAATTCCATCGTATGGAGCAACAAGTTCAAGTGTTCACGAAAGCGTAGAATCATTCGATGGGCCTACTGAATTTGGTTACCAAAGAATGGCGAAAACGAATGAACGAATTTTCACGCGTCGGTTTTCCTTGCGAAATTCTGCTTTGCACAATCAAGGTTCCGTTCGAGATTTCCTGGCCGGATTCCGGAATTTCATAAAACGCAAAAGTAACGTGGGGTTGCTGCAATCACCTGGGACTCCTCCATAGTAACGGTGTTCACATCGCTGAAGTCGAAGGTGCGGAGTTTCTCTCCCTTGCGATCGACGATATGCAGCGCGGCTTCCGGCCCGAATTTCACCTTGACCAGACGACGATGGTTCGCGTGCAGCCATTCGCGCACGATCATCTTGTCCACGCAGATCTTACCGTCGTTTCTCTTCTGTATCGCTTCCTGCAGGATCTTCAGTCGCCTCCTGCGTCGGTTTTGCAGCTTCACCAGACCGTATCCGGCACCGGCGCACAGGATCGGCACGAAGCCGAGAAAAACGCAGGCGTATATGTACACCAGTTCGCTTCCCTTTAAGAATAAAGAACATTTAATCCTCTCCAACTATAGACAGTTAGGCAACAACATGAACCGAGCAAGCAAGAAGCTATAGCAATTTCAAGTAACGGAGTCTACAATATTCCACTGTTGTTCTGAAAACAACTGCATTATTCTGCAAAAAAGTTGAACAGAAAAACAAAAGTAGTAGCAAGCGCTGAAGACAAATAAATTCAAAGACAAATACATTATGATAGGGTGATATAATAAGTAGACATAAATATCTTATATGGCCAGGAACGATATCTACAGGAAGAAGAAAAACTGGTCAGAGAAGAGAAAGCGTGTGGACGGATGGATAAGGATAAGTTATACTAGTGCATAAAACGGCATTCCAAGCGTACAAAGTCTAACGTAGTAAATTCTATCGAATAACCATTCCATCTGTTAATTACCTCGAAATAGTCGTAACGTTGCAATGGAACGCACGGCTCCAACATCGTCGAGTTCAGTTGATAGGGTTGAGGACAAGGATCTCCCTCCTCCCAAAGGAACACGCTCTTCTGTATAGCATCCGATGATATACCAGTCGCGTTTATAATCACGTCCCATAAAGTGACACGGCGAATGTCTTCTATTTCGCCTTTGGTAAAAATCCTAGAACACATCAACGTATCAGAGTATTTCTTAAGCGATGCAATACTCGCCGAGGAATTATTTTGCTCTTTGCACACACTCACCCGTTCTCCTCGTTCTCGAACCAAAACCTATCCGAGTCCCTCAAACGGAGGAATTGCTCTTTGATCACCGCGGTGAAGAGCTCGCCTGGGCCAGAACTGGATTCCAGCATTCCGCCCACGTAAACGTCCACGTTGTTCAGATTGTTCGAGTGGATCTCCACCAGTGTGCGTAGCAGAGAGGGATTCTTGTTGAATAGTTCCGGATTAATTTCGTTCCAAGTTTTCCTGCGCGACAGTTTGAAGTGAGACCTGGCAGTGTTGTAGTCTGGGAGCCCGTTGTCTCGCCCACGCATGATGTTCAAGGCGCCCAAGTCTCTGCGGGAGAATTCCATGGGTCCAAAGAGATTGTTCCTGATGTCGGTACCGAGGAGATTGTCCTCTTTCTCGGCTATTTGAGATGTCAAGCCCATTATGAGCTCCTCGATCGTACTATTCGTTAGAACTTCCTATAATATACCAAAAACACTTGTTAAAATAGGTCAGTTGTATTTCTCCATTGGAATTGAAAGAGTTTTGTATTTATTTTTGCTTACATTTGAGTCCCACCATGTGGAACAAAGTCTGATGGCCGGTTGATCTGTGTTGGTTCTTCTGTACTCGCAATTTTCATCCCTACGATATATACCGGGTGGTATGAGGGTGTGCCCAAACCGAAAAGCTGCGCTCTGGAATATATGGCTGATCCCTGGATGAAGATCTGGTTTGTAACCCGCGTAAGGTGTCGGTTCTTCGTTCAACAGCATGGGAATGTATTCGTACAAAATGATATTCTGAAATCCAACCGGAATCAGAAACGACTGTTAATTACAGCAGGAGTGGAACCGAAATTGCGTTAAGAGGTTTCACAAAGGTTTACGCCTTGTGATTTCATATTAATTGTTCGCGTAGCATAAAATTAGTATATCGCGTTACCGTGGCGATATACAGTTACGTGCGAATGCTATAGAATTACGGGGACGTGTACTGCGATTACGGGCATTCATTTTATTATTATTCTATTATGTAACTAGTGTTATACTAATATATTGAAGATATACAGAAGAACTCAGTGCCTCCAAGTCTACAGAACTTATCGCAGTATCTCGTAGAAGCATTTCACCTGAAGAGTCCCCACAACGATGCGTCGTGCTTTCTGAAAGATCTCTTCGTCGATCATGTTCGGGTTTTCCAGCTGTATCCGTGCGGCGACAACGTTGTGCCACCGATAAAACAATATTCCCAGCGCCAGCATTGGCGGATGCTGATTCGTCCGTGGATCACCGAGAACTGAATAAACAAAATTACAATGGAATGTCGAAATTTGTCACGTCCTCGAGACAAAGTCCAACTCACGATAAAGTCGTTCCGGGCTGAGCATCCTCATAACGTGTGGAACCGCGTGGTTGAAGAGAGGGGCGCGCATGGTGTTCCTCACTGGGAATTTTCGCGTCGGTTCCATCAGAAGACTTCCGTTCTTGAACGATCTCATTGTGTTCGCCCATGCCTCGCTGCTCGAGTAGATAAAGCTACCGTCGATCCAGCTCGTCACTTTGTTTATCTGCAACCTCACGTATTCAGAGCTATTTTTCGCGACTTATTTTTCAGATATAAGTCCCACCGAGTCCGCCAAGCTTCCATACACTCGACTGGAATCCCTTAATACTTTGTCGATGGTATATTAAAACTTCAAGAACTTCAGGAACGTGAGGAAATATGAAACATTTGCATAATGCTCATTGTGTCTTCAAGGAATTATCCAAGGCTGAAGTTCCTTGAAATTTTACATTACTGTCACTGTTTGTCCTTGCAATTTTTAACATACTATTTTTCATTCCCTGAACCAGTTTTTGTTATTGCCTCAGTACCAATCGGATTCCACTTTGATCGTATTTGTAACGTTGTGATTTTATCATTCCATTTTGGTATATGGAAACTTTTCGAGCCAGTGTATATCTTTTCCAGTTAAACAAATCCCGGTTAATTACAGCAAAATGTTATTTATAACGCACAAGTAAGCGGGCAGGAAAAATAAAAGCGTGTTTAATGGCGAGCAGGTAGTGCAAGATTCGATCCAATTACAATTAGAAAACTAATGTTTAGATTTCCGCATTGGGAAGAACTCCTATTCTCGTTAAAACGTTAATAGTGCAATTATGGCGTACACTTGTAAGAAACGCAGAAGACATTTTATGGAGCTCTTAATTTCCGTCAGTTTTCATCAACGTCGATAATGATATTTACTTATCCCGTTTCTAGCTGGATCGTTAGTCATCGGTTAGTTCGACGGACTGGTTGTTAAAATGAATTAATCACGTTTGGTTTCTAGAAACAGATGAGTGAGTCAGATTATAATAATTAGTATTAAAGTGGTGAATATGGGAAACGTGCTAGTAACCCTTAACTGGGTGAAATACGGAGCGCAGAATAATTACGAGATTGAACGAGACTAGATGTCCGGATCACTCGGAAGAAAGAAAATATTAATAGCCATATTTTGACTCACGTCCGTGTTCCGTAACACGTAATTTTTACGCTTTAATTATTCCACGCAGCATATAAATTTAGAGGCCATCGATAAGGATCCGCTGGAGGATCTATGAGGATCTACTAAAAAATACTGGGTCAATTAACAAGCGAGCAAGTCTTATCGTTACTTTCATCGTTTTAAACAGAGGTGTTACACAACTGGCAGGTTTGGATCAACTTGACCTTAATAAAAAAAAAAACTAACTAAAATATATAGGGTGACCAGCCACCCCTGGGAAAAATTTTAATGCAAGATTCTAGAGGCCAAAATAAAACGAAAATCAAGAATACCAATTAGTTTATGGAGGCTTCGTTAAGAAGTTATTAACGTTTAAAATTTTAACTGTATTGAATTTTTTTCTAGAAAGGGGGTAGGAATTCGGGGGTATGTCTATTCACCAAAAATGATTGTAATTGACCCCTGCAACTAAATATAATTTTTTTAATACGATTTTAAATTTTTTTTTCCGCCGAGAAATTTCACACCTTCTCGAATTTTTTTCTAGAAAGTGGTTAGGATTTCGAGGGTATGTCTAATGATAAAAAATGATTATAATTGAGCCCCGCGACTATAAATAATTTTTTTATAACGATTTGAAATTTTTTTTTTCGTCGTAAAATGTCACACCTTCTCGAATTTTTTTCTAGAAAGGGGGTAGGAATTCGGGGGTATGTCTATTCACCAAAAATGATTGTAATTGCCCCCTGCAACTAAATATAATTTTTTTAATACGATTTGAAATTTTTTTTTCCATCGAAAAATTTCACACTTTCTCGAATTTTTTTCTAGAAAGCGGTTAGGATTTCGAGGGTATGTCTAATGATAAAAAATGATTGTAATTGACCCCTGCAACCGAAAATAATTTTTCCAAAACGATTTGAAATTTTTTTTTTCCGTCGAGAAATTTCACTTCTCGAATTTTTTTCTAGAAAGTGGTTAGGATTTCGAGGGTATGTCTAATGATAAAAAATGATTATAATTGAGCTCCGCAACTAAAAATAATTTTTTTAGAACGATTTGAAATTTTTTTTTTCCGTCGAGAAATTTCACTTCTCGAATTTTTTTCTTCAAAGTGGGTAGGATTTCGGGGGTATGTCTATTCACCAAAAATGGTTGTAATTGACCCCCGTAACCGAAAATAATTTTTCCAGAACGATTTGAAATTTTTGAATTTAATTGTTAATAACTTTTTAAGGGAGCCTCAGTCAAGAAATTGATATTCTTGATTTTCGTCTTGTTTTGGCCTCTGGAATCCATTAAAATTTTTCTCAGGGGTGACCGGACATCCTGTATACTGTAACTAGAGAGACTTGTTAGTTATTACCTTATGTTTTACAAGATCTAACAGAATCTAAGTTTGTTTCAGTCTATGACTGCCATAACTATGGTAGAAAATTGTGTAATAGTTTGTACCCCACCCTGCCAGTCCCATGTGGTAAGGAGAAAAAATCCACACGGGGAAAGCAAGGAATTACCTGTTCACGGGGGCTATTTGGGCTGCGTCCGGTTCGGCGATCGTAATCCGCCCGACGGAAGGGAATGTACTTGTTACCTTGGCACTCCTTGTCGAAAACCGGGTCGCATTTGTCTACGTCGATCCGATGGTACTCTATGGGGCAGCCACTCTCGCTGGCCATGATTATCTCTGACGTGACCAGTTGCCCTGAAACGGATCCCGTAGTCGATGAAGGCGGTCATTCCGCGAGGAAGAGGGCAACGCGATGCGACCGGTTCCCGGACGACTTTTCCCGTCGATCGTCGCTTCCTCCATTCGATGCAGATGCCTTACGGCTGAATGGAATTTAGGCGACCGTCCCAGTTTTTACTTTCTTTTTCGAGGACACGCTTTCCTCTCCACGTACGCGGCGAGCTTCGAGGTTTCGACATGCCCGCGAGGTTTCCACAGGAAAGCGTGCAACCAAGAACCGTTCACGCCGTTCCAAATAATTAGGGGGTCGCTCGTTCTTATTACACCAGTGTGGGAATTTTTGCATCGTAGGCTCGATCCTTCGCTGTTCTACATCGTTTACAAAATTCAACCCGATACAAGAAACAACGCATGCGAGAACATCGTGGGTCTCTTAAAAAAAATTCCGTCTGGATCGTACGATTGATTATCCTAGCCTTTCGTACAGATTTGTAAGAGGACGGTTGCCACCAATGTCTACGGTTAAAATCCGGGCGTAGCACGGAACGTTTCACGGGTGAAAAGTGGCTGAAAAAGTCCCGTGCACTTAACGGATCACGTTTCTATCCCGGACAGTCTAGCGTTTTGCGCAACAACGCGATACGGATATTCGAGTACGCCTCCGGTCGGCGACCATTCCGCCTGGCGGTTGCACGATTATCTGATATTCGTGAATGACGAATACCGTTCCCGGATAAATCGATATCCTGGTGCACGAGCCGCGCGATCTTTCCTTGGGAATGCGCGCGCGCGTGCAAATACGGAAACGAGCTCGTGTTCTCGCATGCGATATCTTTATCTTCGAGCTACCGTCGAACGATCGCGGGTTTTCATTCCATCGTCGGTATGCTAATAAAACGGGACGCTCCACGGACAGATACCGATTCGATCGAATCGTTCGACACCGCACCGGAGCATTCGAACGGCCTCTATTGCCCTAACGAGACGCGAATTCCATTGTCCATAAATTACCGATAATAGCGAGATTAAATGCAACAGAGAAAGTCACAGGCACGCGTTCGAAAGAACCATCGATGCCAACATTTAAACCTGTTGCCGAGCATTAGAGATTTTATCGGGCGCCTAAACGCGAGCATTGGAATTCTTCTGTGCCTTAGTTACTTCCCGAGCATCTCTTTTATTCTCCTCGATGACTTTGATAACGAACGATTCAATTTCAAAGGCATCTGTCCAAGAGCCGCCAAGTTGGACACGCTCCAATCTTCGATCCTATTTATTTCTGCTTGGCATCTTACAGAACTATTCCTAATCTATATTAAAAAATATTCTTAGAGTGCAAAGGGTCAAGCGTACGACGAGGAGTTGGAACGTAATAGCTTATGCTTACCGAAGAACGCGAACAACGCTGTTCTGTTCTTCACCGATGGCAAACCGTCGTCACCTTGCATGAACAGTTGACTGAGCTTCCTCGGGGAGGGTCTATCCTGCCCTGCCAACATGTAAACTCCATCGGAATACGCTGCTGGCATCTTTCGTATCAGCCTGCTGTCTACGGAGGTGAGAGCCATGTTAATCATTAAAACATTTGAAAAAACAAAGACACGTAAAATTTATAGTGGCTACGATTAGAGAAATACTCGTTTGGAGTAGGCAAGACAAGATGTACGAGTCAGTTAATAATTTCTCAAACATTTGTTAGAAATTACAAAATAATTCTGACACCGTATACTTTAGATATATGTTAGAATGAACAATTTTACGTTAAACAAGGTCAATGTTGACGAGCTAGCATAAGAGAGTAATAAAAGCTCCCCAACAGATACGACGTGTAATTTCGTCTATTCGACCACAATAAAAGTAGCTGATTGCACACAATTTGTACGACAGTGTATCTTTCCACCAGTTTTTCGATGTATCATTACTTTAACTTGTCATTAGTGTTGTCGTTTACGTTACGCCTGCTCGTCCATGTTAGTGGAATTGAAAACGTACAATTTTCATGTTTAAAGAACCATAACACTTCTGTCGGACGGACTGATTATGTCTTTTACGCTCGCATGTTTTTGTTGCCCGTTTTGCGCGCCCGCGTTGAAACAAAATCCAGGCTTTTTTCACCTTTCACTCATCGCGCGCGTGTTGGTCCGTGCACGAAGGTAAATTCAGCTGCATCACAATGCCAACAAAAATATATTCTCAACTCGTAGTAAACCGTATTCGTTCCAATTAGGATTACGCAACTATTTCAATTCTATTTGAATATTTTGAGCAGCAAGTATGTACATATACGAGATTTAGATTAATCTCGAATCGAAATAAAAACAATTGCGATTGATATAAATCGTTAGCACATATTTGAAATTACAAGTATCGACGAAGTACAGTGATTTATCGTCGTTCGAACATTTCAATGACATAGAGTGCAATTACATGTACAGAAAGAATTTGAAACGCGTACGGTTATTTTCTTATGCCGTTATTTCTATTAGAGAATTATTGTGAAAGGTATTTCGCGAGTTAATATAACGTAATTGTGTTTTAGAAATGGAATAACCATGGAACAAAGTAACGTGTTATTTTTAATGGTATTCCAAAGGTGCTCGAGACTGTAAATCGAAGCTCTTTCTTGCTGCGACGTCGCTACGGTGACATAAGTAGACAGGAGTACTTGCCGATCGATCCCCAATCCGGATGAGCCAGATTGTTGTACCATCCATCGTACCTCTGTTTATCCGCATAGCTGTGAAGCACACCTGAAAGAGACAAGAAGTGTCCATTTAAATCTGGAACGTCTTACTCGCAAGAAAGCGCGATTTCCAACCGTGGAATGCCAATCGATCGAAGACGCTTTTCTAAAATCGAAAGTAAACGACGACGAAAGGGTTCAAGGATCGTCCTCGTTTCCAGCCGCTAATTAGGTGAAAATCATTAATCAACCACCTCTCCCCACCCCCTCTCTCCTAAGCTCTTCTAAATTCACAATTGTCCACGTTAAGTAAGAATTTTTAATAGAAACTTTAAACTCAATTTTGTTTTATTTTTTTTCCGATATATCGGTTTGCAACTTGGATATACCGTAAGATTTGCTCGTGATAACTCTTCGTGAGATTTTCCATGCACATAAATTAGCAAGTACACTGGCGATTGCAACCGAGATACGCGAAGAGATCCGGCTATCGATTTCTGATTTGCGATCGACGGTTCGTTTATCGCGACTACCTGTTACGCTAAATTTAATGCGCCTGATTAAACTGTCCACTGAAGAATGCAAGAGCCATAAACAGTCAGCCTGCCTTAGAAACGTTCGATCAACACGAGGATTCTAGCCGAATATAGTACTGTTATATTTACAATTTTTCGTATTCCTGAACGCTAACACTCGCGCTAAAAAAAGTCACTTCTTTATACGTTTTTTACCCGAACGCTATGGATAATGGCTTTCTCAAATTTTGCATATTCGATTCTACATTATTCAAGAGGACACGTATCTTAAAAAATATGCCGCCCAAAGTGCCTCGGTGAAAAAAACTACAAGCGCCCCTGGCATTCCTGCCTTCGTGAATTTTATGCCATTATTTCGTCCTCCGTTGTTACCCAGAGTTTGAGACAGAGAAGCTTGGAATTAGATTTCCAAGTGAATAAGATCTGCTTAAGGGCTAATTACAAGTGTGGAATCTATAGTGTTTTTCGTTATTTCTAAACATCAACTTCAGACAAAAGTGAACGTTAAACGATTAAAGGCGAGTGTAGAGCGACAAGAATGCAACGCAAATACCTTTGCCACGCAGCTACGAAGCAATCGCGGTAACAACGAGAACGAACGCGCCGGATAACGAGCTAGAAAACAGAAGAGCCACCTCTTAACGACGATCCCGCGTACAGAACTTTCAAACATCCTCTCGTGATCTGGTTCTCTTCGGAACCAGTTTGCTTCAAAATTCGATTTTCGTTCAAGTCTCGACTTTCTCGGGCAGCCAGCGAGCTCCTCGGGACATACCATCCTCGGAGCCATGCCCACTGCACCTATCGCGCGAACGTGTACACCGTTCGTCGTGTAGGTGCATTGCAACATGCATCTAGCAACAGTGCGGGCTCTACAACGGCAGCTCGACGTTATCGTCGAACAAAAATCCACCTGCGAACGCTCCGGCCGCGTTCTGACCTACTGCAATGAACTTTAAAAGGGAATTCTCGCTAAGACGACAACTATCAGACATTCTTTTAAAGCGATAAGCTTAAGAAACACTTCATCGAATCGGAAGAATCGAGAAGTTTACAATAAAAGAGAGACTTGAACTTGCTTCTCCAACAAAGAAGTATAAAATTCACATGTTTTCGAGGATACTGAAAGTCCAATAACAAAGTCGATTTTTTGAACGTTCTTATTGGGGGTCTTCCCCTGACACACTGACCGCCATAAAGATTCGATTAAATATGCACTTATTTGGAGCCAGGGCGCCACATTCCTAACTCATGTTTGTGTATGAATTCAGAATTCTACATTGAATTTGATACTTTATAAACTTCAGTCGGTAGTTTGCATATCATTTGGTTCTATCGAGCCATACTATCAGCTAATCGTTCTAATTCGTATAATTTGTAAGAGTACAATTACTGTGAATTATCTTAATTTCGATTTTTCCCATTCCGTTTTATAATTTATTAAATTGTCGAACCCACGTTACGCTGAATGCGCCATGAGACAAAAGGTGACCCAGATACGGATTCGCATTAGCGCAATTCGCACGGATTGCATCTAAATTCTAAATCATCCGTGTCCATTGTCAGCTTTCCTCCTCTCGTTCGAAACGAACTTTCTTTTAGCGTTTTCATTAAATTTTCTTTGCCGTGCAACTTGCCCTTAAAACTTAAAAATCGTAATCTCGTTCGACCCATTTCGGTGTTTTGATTAGACATTGCTACCGCTATGCCTGGTTCCGGCGCATCTCATTTACATCTTTTACATCCTCCTTGTGTATTCTCAACCCACTCTAAACTCATACTTTCTCAATCCTCAATGGTTTCCTTGTTTGATTTTTATGACGTGGTTGATGGGCACCTGTCTTTTCTCCGGGCCTATCCTTATACTTATACTATAAATACCGTGGTACTTATGCTTGCAAATATTATTCTAATGCTTCTCCAATCCAACATATTTGCTAGCAAAATATGTCGTAGAGCTGGATTCTTCCTTTCTGCTGCTTTATTCACTAGGTTCTTGACTCAGCCTAATTTCCTGTTTACTTCTCTTCAATTTGTTCTAACATATTAATAATGTGCTATCTGTTTAATTATTATCGACTCAGGATTTTTATACCTAACTATTTGCTCGATATAACCGTACAATATACAAAACTACCAAATTCATCAGGTATACACGAACAAATAGGACTATACTCTGTTCAATTATTTCATGAAATTTAAGCAGAAAATATATGTGGCGCCAACGGACTCCTTACCAAAATTCGTGCGGCGGTCAATGCGACAAGGAATGCTCCCGAGCGATGTTCACGAAGAGAAATCAGTCCTTTCGTCCATAAATTATTACGGGTAGCAATGACACCGATAGCAAAATAACCGTTTTCAAAACTTCTCATCACTAAAAACGTCTCATTACAATTAAATAAAATCTCTTTGACGGTTGTAAAAGCCATACTTTGAACGCAGATTTATTTATTATGATGTTTCAATCTTTAGAAATCGAATCAAACGGTTTATCGATAGTTAAAACTATAATACTAGTTTAATTTGATTCCCGCAGAAGACCTTCGCCATATAGAATGAAACGTGATGATAAATAAATTCACACGTTCAGTCATCACGGAATTCTTATTGTCCCTATAATGGTTCCGACCACCGAGTCCGAATTCCATCCGGGTGCATTCCCTCTCCAGCATACTTTCGGGCCCTGCACCGGGGCCCGGGAGACGAGGACGAGCCGAATGTAAGACACCAAAAGGAAATTGAAGTTCGCGCGGCGGAACGCGATCGTTCCATATTTTCACTTTCGTTACACTTTCGTCGCGGTACGATCGGATCGGTTTGTTGGTAAAGTAACAACGCGTACCGGTCCCAGCAGGCAAGACACACCAAAGTAGCCAGATGAACGCGGTGAGCCGCGTCAGGTCACGTCCCGGCGGTGGTCGTCGTCGCATCATCGTCGCGATAACACCACCAGCCCGTGCATTTCTTTCCTATTCAGGTAGGCTTGCGTACGCTCGAACCACACGCACCCTGGTTCGTCGCGGGACTCGCGTGCACGTACGTGCTCAACAGCGACCGCGTGAACGCATCCTGTCCGTCCGCGCGGAACAACGTCGACTGGACGGGGATCGGGGAACGGCGTGGCGCGACGACGGAGGAACGGACACGGTAGGCGAGGAACGGTCACGGAGGCGTGCAAGGTGAAACGACACCAGCGAATTCGCCGAGGGGAGAAGGAGAACTACGTGTGGACTACTCGGGACACGGCACCACTCCGCGTACGACGGGCTTCTTCGGTCGTCGGCTCGCGCGAGGGACGACACACGTGCACGACGCGGCCGAGTGAAAAAGAATCGCGGGGCCCCGTTCGCTCCGCGTATGCCTCGTGTCTCCGTTCCCCGAGACCAGGATTCCCCCCACCCACTCGAGGACGACGAGAACGGCGAGCGAGGGTACCCCGTAACGCTCTGCGGATTGGGCCAAGAGTAGCGATGGGACCGAGACGTATTCGGGCACCATCGACACATTCACGTCAGAAATTCATTCTCTCGCGCCTAACTCACCAGCGATCAAAACTGGAACAATTTTTATTCGACATTAATATGACGATTCAAAGTTTTTGCTCTTATCGAAGAAAAGCTTCTAGTACTCACGGCCATCGAACGGAACGGTTTACCAGCGATACAACCTGAAAGAATTTTTATTCAATATTAATATGACGATTGAAAGTTTGCTCTTATTGAAACAGGTTGTAGTACTTACTTTCTATGTTAATAACGTAATTTAATCTTCCCCGGATCTTGGGCCTGGAATTCAGATTCACAGCGCGATATGAATTATGATGGAATACGGTACATCGGTCAGCAGCTGATATTCAACGTGATAGGGCCCGACGCGAGTGTTTCGCCTACCCAGCGAAGGTCTCTCGTATTCTGTGCATTATTCTCTCGAGTCAAGGAGCAAGCATAGTACCACCTCGCACCTTGCATCAATCTGCGTTAGAAATACTTACAATGGAGTCGCCCCACCACTGTTTATATTTCTTCAGCATGAGCGACCATCACTTCTAGCGACAGGCACCTGTGTAATTAAAGACCCATTTGAATAGTTCCCTATTCAACGGGGAATATAAAAGAAAGGCGTATGTTGGGGCAGATAAAGAAGCAGCTAATGTAACAAAATAATAATACATTAAGAGAACAGTGATTTTACACAAACTTCTCCGCGTGACATTTGTCCGGATTCGAGTATAAGAAAAGAGGGTTGATTAATGATTGAGAACTCTAATCCTATAAAATACCCTCTCCATTTTTTCCCTTCATGAAGAAACGCAACTGAAAAGTTCAACTCATAATAAATGACACTGAGAGTTTGCAGATTTAAAATTTCTTTATATTCCTATTACTCGCCTAATGGCGCTGTGGGATACTATAGTTATCAATCTACCCTCGTACCTCTTACTGTTGCGCGACAAAAAGTCGATAATATGTACTTTGCCTTAAGCGGCCCATACGCGCAGAGATTTATTTGAGGTCTATCCTTGGATGTGATCGATGTTCTTTCTAACTGGCCTCCTTCGCGAGAAACACAATGGATCGAGTCTGTTGGGCAAAAGTTCAATACATTGTATCGATAATTTTGAAGACTAATCAAGACACTCAACTGTCACGTCAATACGTATCAATTATATCAAATACGTTGCCTCTTCACAATCTCTATCAGGGTCTTAATAAGCTTTCATTCGTTACAAACGAACGCTACGACTAACGAATATTAATTGCCCGAATGAAACGGTTTCGTTTGAGCTATTGTCCACATAACTAATTATACCATGTCGTCAGGGGGTAAACGAAACATTCCAGGACTTCTTATGGACTGGAAAAAATTCAGGACACCCTGTACGTGGAAGCAAGGTAAAAGTGCGAGGCTGTTTTACAAACTACCCTAAATTAATGTTTCGTATCGATATCACAGGAAACGTTAACGAGCACGTCTTACAAATGCCAGCGATCAGTCATTTCGATACGGCGTTTCGTACCCTGTACATGATTCTTTGGAATTGATACGTATCGGTATTAATGAGTGTGCCATTGGATTGGTCCCATCGCTGTCCAAGAGCGAGCGCGCTCGTCGGCTGTGTCGTAGCCGAGAACGGCTACGCGGTGAAAGTCGCCGGCCTATTTGTTTCGTTACCGCGAACGCACACCACCGCCCCCCCCCCCCCTCCCTCGTCGCCCGCCGCTCTTTCTGTACTGTCAGCCCCCCCATTTTTCCTCTCGGCGTTCGCGGTTGTACATCGCGACGCACCGCGGCGACGTCACCGCAGGCGCAGGCCTAGTTTTCGAGTCCGCGGCACCGATTACCCAAGGCGAAACCTCTCTCGGTTCTCCGACCTGGTGGTTTCAAGGTCGACCCCGGACGTCTCCTACGGACACCGCCTGGAGAACATCCTGGCGGCGTCCACTGCGGAATGCCACGTATCCCGAACGTTCCGCGTTCGCCGGGGGCCCGACGGGCCCGATTTCCTGAAACGTGGTCAAAATTCGAACAGTCCGATTTATCAATATTCCGGGCATGAGTATAATTCACACGTTCCGCCGTCACCGTTCGGTTGGGAAAAACCGTTCGTCGCTGGGACCGGTACCGCAGACGATATTCTTACCTGCAAAGGACGGAATTTCTATTAGAACATCGTATTTTGAATAACAATGGTGAGAGAAAAGAACAGACTAAAGTTGCTGGGTTTCTTATGAGTGTAGGCGTAGAGATGATACCTGACCAAAGATCAAACCTGTTTTTTTTCTTCTCAAATGAAATGAAGGTCGTTCAAGGTCATTCTAGATGAACTGCAACGAAAAATAAATTGTCTCAAGACACTTTTAAGTGTAATTAATTGATCACGTGATATCTATGTTAAATTTGTTAATAAATATACCGGAGAAACTGACCTTACTTCCACTCACTTTTCACGCGTTTCAGAAGGCCGTGAACCAATGCGTTCGATATCGGTACACGCTGGGAACATATATGTACACATTTTCGTAGTTGTTTAGTACGATATTAAAATAATTTACGATGGAAAGTAAAAAAATATTTGATCCAAGGTCCGACACGCATGAAAATCACAAAGAAAACGTCGTTGCAACGAATGCATACTCGGCGTACAAAAAGTCGTCTGGGGTTTAGGAGGGTACTGGAAAGTACGGCTTGTTAAAGCTAAATGATTCCAAGGTTGGGTGAAAAAGAAATTACAGTGCTGTCTGTGGGACCGCACGACCGTAGTTAAGGTTTAACTAAATGCCATTAGAAACATTAAAAGTAAACCTTAGGTTTCCTACTCGTTGTTTTTTCTTCGTACCACGGACGCATCTTCTCAGAGTCCGATTGTTCGATTTTGTGTGGGATTAGAAAGAAGCGTGTCCACCTTGGCGGGAGACATAGGTCAGTTGTTGAAACGTTGCGCGGTACGCAATCAGACGTCGGGTGTTTTTTTATTTTTTAATGCATTAACCCTTGACCGATGCAAGGCAAATGACTCACGCTGACGTTTCGAAATCGCTGCGGTCCGGCTGGAAAGTTTCCTTGTCTCGTATTCCGTTGCTAAACCGACGAAACGCGAAGATGATGAATCGTCGATGAACAGGAAACGCGTCTTATTCTGCGCAGTTCGTCTGGAACCGGAAGGAACATTGTAAGGTAATTACATTGTTGGTCGACGGGTCATCAATACTGGAGAGTTTTACCATTATCAACGATATTGCTCCCAACAAAATACAGTCTGGGAACAGGTCTGCCATCAATTCTTGACACTGCTAGCAAAAAACGCGTAACGGAAAGAAACGACCGCTTATTTTATGCGGTTTTACGATGTTGCGACACGCGATACCCGATAGATAATTTTAAAATCTTTCAAGCGGATTGTTCTGGCATAAATATCGTTTAGCGCGACAATTTTAAAAACACTTCGGGGGGGAATTCCAAAAATCGAACAAAGTCGAGAGCGAGGCGTTCAGGCGCGGACGTTCACCAAGAAAACGTGCTACCGTGAGTCAACCTCAAAGAGGGAAAGATAGAGATAGCGGCTGTCGGGCGATTTTTATCGCCCTTGGCACGAATCAGCAAAGGCGATTGCATTTCGAGATCACACGAGCATATTCCATATTAAGAGTATCTGTCGCGTTTTTCTACGCGCTCGTTCCCTTCCAGAAGCCTCTTCATCTTTTCTACCGCGTGAATCACCGGGAATTTGCCAACAGTTCTCGAGTCGGCGAGAACCGCTGGCCACCCCGTTCCACCTGAAATCAAATCCAACGTTAACTGGCGACCGAAATCGATGGTAGGGCGAACGATCGAAAAGAACAAGTTAAAACAAAATTCTTGCACCTGTATTTTAATTCGAGTTCATTCACATCCGCCGCTATACTTCGCTCGAATATCGCACGGAAGACATTCGAGGAGGTAATATCCTCGGGTTTCGAGTTCAACGCACCCCAGGCCAAGCCGGAAGGTACAACGAGGATAACTCGACTTCGTCCGTCGCTTGCTTCAAGCATTCATAAAGAAAACGACGGCGCATACAGATCGTCGCAAGTGTTCGGTTCGTTCCACGTAAGGGTCGTTACTCTTTCAGCGTTCGTCGTTCGAGAAGTAATCACTCGTGCTCTCATTCGATTCGGTTTTATCTATATTATGTTATTGTTCTATCTCGATACTTCGTACCGTTGCGTTTACGGGGGAAAAACCGTGGAAAATTCGAGGTAGACTCTATCGAGGTTCTCAACCTTTCGTGTTCTTCGATCCTTCGACGTGCTTTCTAACAAATGCTCTTTCAGTCACTCGTCATTCTGTTACAATCGTCGATGCATGCCTTTAACCGTGAACCTGTGGAATCCGCGTCGAAAGGTGAACACTCTCGAAGTGTACTCTTCGCCCAGAGGCGTTCGCGATAATTCGGCGGCCAAGACAAACAACAAACCGGTTCCGAGTGTCCCGATTTCTTAACCTATTGACTTACTAACGAAATAATTTCTAATTCGAAACCGCGAAATTCCCGAATCGACGGGCCACGAACGCGTGATTCCACCGACGCTCAAGGAACTCGAGTCTCGTTACATTAACATCATTCATACAATACAGTTTTATTAATTTTGCTTAAACAATCGATTCATAAAATATTTAACGGTTAACTAAAGAGGCTTAAAAATTGTAAACGAAGAATACTCTATATTTGCATTTCTCAAACCTCTAAATTGATTATTCAAGCAAAATTTTTTGAATATATAATACAATATTCCTGCGTTTTATCCCGGATCTGCTAAAGTCGTTGTAAAGTTAGCTATTCGGCCAAGGACACTTCCCCGCCGATGAAATCCGTCCTCTTTCCCCCCCCCACTCTATCAATATCGCGGTAGTCTATGGCTACGTTCTGCAACGCGTTTGTGAGAATTGGTCTCCAAATCTCTGACACTCTTCTTGTAGCCTATCCTCTGTTTCGAAAGAGACGGAACGCCTGCTAGTTTGTGCTCTCTTTCCTTAAATAAACAGTGGGCGGGGCAGACGGTAAAAGCACGGTATGTTTACCCCTGAAACTCCTCGGCCAGTCGACTTAACAAGGAGTTTAATCGGACTCTTCAGTAAGGCTTACTTAGCAAGATCCTGCCTTAGGCGTGACGCCATTAATCATTGGTTAAACATTCTCCTCCAATTACTAGATAGTTCATTAGTGCATAATTAATTTAACATTGCGTCACTAACGCGGCATGTGCCAGATAAGCCTCACCGATCAGTCCCGACTGGCAGATCTAGACCAAAACGCAGCAATATTGATCTCTGTAACAAAACTATCGGTATTACCAAATCATCAAGTGTAGAGCATATACAGGGGGAGACAAAAGTATTCGCGCGGTTGAAACATAGAAACGAATGTAACAATATTTTCCATACTATTAAATATACTTATATGTACGTATACATTGCTATAGATTGTACATGAACGTTCACGGTAACAAGTAGACAAAAACAAAAGTTAATCAGTGTTAAGTTAAAGTCTCTGAGACCTGGAACAAATGATCCATCGCTATTCACGCCACGGAGAAGTTCTGCTTACGATATCGCGCCTTGAATTTGGCGTGAACGTTGTTTGTCCCTTGAGCAATAGTGGGAATCACGTATTACGCATAACAGGGACGAAGCGGATTCAGGATCGGCCGCGAGCCTTGCACCATTCTTTGCAAAGTGGCGCATCATCGATCGTTAGTAAATCATTTTTTTTGTTTTATACAATCGTACGATGACGACGGAGAACCATTCTTCGCGGCAACAACGAGATCACGGTTGCTCGTGTTTCGCACGCTGACGCATCGTTGAACCATCGATCGGATAAAGGTTCGACGAAAAGGCTTCTCATTGCGATTTCGAAGGCATTTTATTGCGATTCAGGGACTCGTTCGATCAACGGCATTAGCAAACGTGAGATCATGCGAACGAAACGAAGACGCTTTATTTCCGTTTATTACCGCCATATAATCGCGTAAATTGGACTCGGATTGTAGAAATACGTGGGTATAAATGAACCGTAGGATGTTAACAAGTACCCAATCATACTCGAGCATAAACAAACTTTGAGACGTTAATAGTGTTTGGGCAGACATTACATGCGAGCATAAGCAAACTACGGAGCATTAAGTATCTTCGGCCAGTTTCTAGCAGGAATTCGACCGGAAGCCCGATTTGAATGTCAATGGTTAAATTTATTTGTTCACCGACATCCACTGTTTTAACTTTAAAAAATTTTAGTGTAAAACTACTTGATCGATAGACAACTTCGTATATTTAAAATAATTTATGATAACCTCAGATTTTCTTCGAGATTCGTGTCAATGAAATTGCGAGGACAAAATTAATAAAAGTACATATGATTACACGTGTACTTAAGATAGTAAACATTCATTAACTCAACATTCGAAACTTTCAACCAGCTGTAAAATTTATTAATCGAATAAAATGTTGCTCGTCTCTAACAGTGTTGTTAAAAAAGAGAGAATTATGAAATTGTATTCCGTGTAATGGACGTGAATGTATCGGTCACGGTTCGGTTAGATATTCACAAGAGAATGCAAATGACACGAGACTACCGTGCAAGGCAAAGTAGCTCCGGGGTATCAGTCACCTTCGAGCAACTCCGTTTTGCCCGCGGTCGTTGCTGACGGCGATCGTTTCATTTTTATTCGCATGATCCGCGCTCGGCGCATTCGAGAACAAAGAATCCTGTTAATTAGCTTACACTCACTTAAGTTCCACACGTACCAAACACGCACGCGCACAGAACCGACGAATGGACGGAGGAACCGAAAGGGTGGAGAATCATTTCGAGGTCGATCCCGGGTAGTAGTAGACGACCGCAGGCGCTGGAAGCTGCCAATGGGCGGCGTGAAGTTCAATCAGCTGGAGGAGGGTCTTTCTGACTGACGGTAGAATCGTGTCCTCCGCGAGGAATGCGTCCCTCAAGCTTCCGAGCAACTGCTGCAACTGGGCAGGCAATTCGGTGTCCAGATCCTTGCCGATGCACGTCATGATGAAGAAGAGACAGTCGGTCTATAACACGGGAAACAATTCGGTACTGCGTTTAGTAAAATGATAACAGCTAACCACATATTTCATTCATCCTAATTTAAAAAATACTAGTATAAAAGAACAGAGATTGAAACAAAATACAGCTTTCCACTAAATACAAAGTCCACCTCTATATACGAACGAAGGTGTAACTTTCCTCGAAACGACTTTAAGCTCGATTCCTCGAATTCTTTTCAAGCGGCCAAAACACCTTTCACGCTTGGAAGTATTCCAATTTCACGGGTGCGAGACTCAACCCACCTCGGCCAAAGAATTTACAACCGGAGGCTGTAAGCAGTCCTGACAACACTTCCAAAGCAACGTGAGGAGAACGCGTCCGGGAGGAACGCCCTCCTGTTGTGTCTTCAACTGGAGCTGCCTCCGCTTTAACTGTAACCACAATCATGAATATGCATGAAGACGGATCTGTCGTTTCGAACCACGTTCGAGCAAAAAATTCAACAGCCTGCGAGAAGCAGTTGGCGCTGCGGAACCTAATGATCGATTGCGTTATTAAACCCGACGTCTGTGTAACGGGCAAAAACCACATCCGGATGAACGCGTCCTACCTGACAGTACATCTCGTTCAGAAATGTCATGAAGGCCGAGTAACGATGGTAACTGGTCCCGTCGTAGAGTATCTTGACGCGGTCCTGGTACCATTGCTGACACGTGTTCAACAAGGATTCCAAGAAGGTTTCCTTAGCTTCTTTCTGCATCAATTGTTTCGCAACAATTAGATTCTAGATTGCGCTTAATGGGTGACACCAATTTATTTTGTCTTTAACAAAAACTAGGAGAGACATTGTCTCCATTATGGAACTATGCTGTTATCCTAACTTGCCTTGATCATCTAGGAGACTTGTTTTTAGCAACATGTGATTTCATAAATACTTACCTCTATAATAGTGATGCATATTTTTGCTGCCGGTTCAGCGTATTTACGGTTTTCGACGACCCTCTCCAAGATGTGTCTCACCAGTTCCATCAAGGCCCTCGCGTTCAATAAATTTGGATCTACGGGAAAAATTACAATCAATGAAACGTTGCATTTATATACAATGAAACTTTCAAATACAAAATATCTGGTTTGGAGAGTTCTTCGTACCTTCGATAGCTCTCAATAGCGTATCCTGAATCGCTGATGGGAATTTTCCCAATTCGGACGCGTCCGAGATGTTCACCGCCTTCGCAGCCAACACGTCAGCTGCGTTTAGGCTCTTCGATCGCTTCAGACTATAAGTGGAGACGAAGGATAACGATTTGGTGAGCCTGCCAGGTTTCGCTGCGTTCGGTTTTACTTCATTTTGATCCATGTTGAAGTGGACCCTGCCCGAACCCTGTTTCACAAAACATTTAACGCTCGATCGGAGGGAGGGTTCGTTTGAGGTTGTTATTTTTGCAAATCAACGCTTACATGTGAAATATTGCCACTCGAAGCGGAAGTATCGAGCGGATGTCCCTGTCGCAGCGCCGAAACCGTCGAATGATGTCCGCTTTGGGAGTGACGCGACGTTTGGTGATGTTGTTGCTGAAGGGTGTGTTGTATCTGTTGCTGTTGCTGGGCGTACAAATATCGGTGCACGTTGCCGCTCGATTTGCTGTGTTGCAAATAATACGGAGATCGCTCTGAAGCATTCGTCCGGGACCTGCAATCGAATAAGCTCGATTAATTCCACTGGAGCAGGCTACACCTCCATTCCAAGCAAAGATAAAAACAAACTAACGGGGAACAAATTTTTGTTCTCTATTTTTCTACGTAATATAACAAGTATTCGACGTGTAGCAGGAAATATCAACAGCGTTTAGAGAACAGTCTCGCGGCAAATCTCCTACATACCACCGAGGAACAGGAAAGGCATGAAAGGACACCACTTTCTCCGACTACCCTTCACATTCAACGATCCGAGCTTATAGACGACACCGTGATACACCAACGAGTGTATTCATGACATTGTAACACATCACATTCCGTTTACGGTAGACCGTACTTACACGGATATTAAATAAAAAAATAAAAACAGGTTCTGCCTATCCGTTGGAAAAGCATTCCGTTCAAGAACTCTTTGATTGCTCGATTGAAATGTGGCACTGCATCATCGTGCACAAACCACGTGTGACGTACGTCTAATGGAACTTCGTCCAACGATACACTTGACTGCTCGAGGCATTGACATAAGGTTGACCTGTTAATCTTCCATTGAGGAAAACAAAGTGTTATCGCACGTTATAACACGAACAGTTGTAGTCAAAGGCGTAGCGTAAATAGGGCATTCGCGGCCCTCCTAGATATTTATAAACATTTTTGTATATTATATTAAAATATTCAAATTCATTAAGACCAATTGCTATGATACAAGGTGAATGGCGAACGTAAGATTTTCTCTTTTATTACGCCCATAAACGCCAAGAACTTATTACGTTGGTGCAAAGCTTGTTTGTATTCCAGGCGTGACGTCCTTTAACGCTAAGGATCAACAGTGTATTAAAGTGGTTCGTTGCAATACACTGGCCCAATCCTTCACGCGGTCTTTCACTTCGCGTGCCGATGAGAATGCTAATCCGTAACAGTGACGTTGTGTGTGGGCCTTAAAAAATGAATCTGGTTTCGAAATTACTTTCCACTTCCTACGCTCTCGGACAGAGATATTTTACGGCCGTTGTTCTTTTCATTTGGTTGTTCTCATACAAGAAAAGCAAAAAGTGATTCAAATAACAGAGTCGAGAACTTAATTAAACCAAACAATAGCAACGGGAGAAACAGCTGTGCTCTCGTTCGAAAGAGTCTTCTCAAAATCAATCCAATTTAGAAGAATTTCATATCTACCAGCTTTCTAGGCATTCCTCCAAGCGTTCCCAATACGTCGACCGAGTCTGAACTATTTCATAAGTAGTTTATACTCACTTAGAAGGATGCGAATCGTTCTGCTTCATAGTGAACTCCTTGGCATGTACGTTTAGTCGCAGATTAGTGACGTTCGCCGTGGTTCCTTCCGTTCTTCCACCTGAAAGACGTTTGGTTACCAATATTTTTTTTTTTTTTAATCTTATAACGCGGGAGGAAAGTACAGTATACAAACCTGGCGGTCGATAAATTTCCAAGGACGGCTTGCTTTTCGGAGTAGTCACGTTATTATTATTGTTGTTATTGTTACTACTTCCTTTATGCGGAACAGCATCCCTCATCTGAACAATTAGAAAACGATTATTAATTTCAGGCGCAGATCTCTGTAGATACAGTACACTAAATATAAGAAACAGAACCATCGATATAAACCTCCCTCAAAAACCATTGTATATGAGTCAATTAATGAGTGTTTCAGCGACCAGTTAAATCCTAAGAAACCTGACGCTTAAAACTTCAAAAAGGAAGCTGCACTCTCTATCAGACATAACAACACTTAAAACTCCAATTGGCATCAATTACCGAAACCTTCAGCGACCGATACACAGCAACCCCTCGTAAAATACAAAAGCTAGTAAATACAAGAAACGGATCTACGGATCAAGAGCTAGCAATACGATCTATCCCATGAGAACTGAATTAAAATTGATCAGAAGATCGTTTCTGGTCCTGGGAAGCTAGTAACGTGTTGCTAACAAAGGGGCCTTGATCGAGAGAGGGGTCGCGTATGCCAGAAGACGCAGTTAACGAAACAACGGGTGCGACTCACAGTGAAAAGCGTGCGAGAATCATCGTTTCCAAGGGCCTTGAGAATGCGTCGGTTGGAAGTCCCCGTTCAGCGAGGGTGGCAGTGACAACTCGTACGGCGAAGCAGCCGTCGGTGGACGCTCGTGGAACAGAGTGTCGGCGACACGTGCCCACACGAAAATCTCGCGGGATCGGCGTTTTCTCGTCGAATTTTCTTCCAGGTTTTTCCGCGTTGTGGCTCGCGGCGCACGTTAGAGCCGACTCCGATGACTGTCGACTAATAATAGACGGGCACGGCCACGAGCGAACGAGCGAGCGAAACGAACGCGAATATACATCCACACGATACCAGCTTACATACGTATTAATGCCGCGCTGCACCGCGCTAACAGTGGACTGAAATATCCGACGGGAGTCATACTCGGGTGTCGCCGAAACACGCTTTCAGGGTAGATACGAAAATTGTCGTGCCGTTCCTCTGTCTCCCGGCGATATTTAAACGTGATTCCCACGTTAAGATACTCCCTTCGGATAGCTACATGATTTGAACCACTTCGAATTTACATGCATACCGAAGAATTCGAATTTGGAGCTTAGAACTCTTGCTAATCTTGAGTATCTTGACTTTGATCAATTTGGGAGCGTCAAAGGTTTCGATAACAATTGTCGTACAATATCTCAAGCATGGAAAAGGGTGACCAGTGAAAGAGAAAGAGATTCGAATGTGATCTCGATTGATATCTCATTTGAAGAGGACAGGACAAGGTTTTCCTGTGTAGAATCCCACTTGCTACGGGACACCCTGTACAGTAGAAGGAGAATTAAATATGGTAGAAATGAAGTTTGCGAAAAATATTATTTATCTCGAGACTTTCAAGATCTCTCTTCGAATCTTCGTAGTCTCGAGAAGTTCGCACCGTTTCAAGGCTATAGCCGAATTTACACTTCGCTTCGGATGATTAAGCAGGCCATGGTCCATCAATTAGAAGATTGTCGTCAACGTCATAGAGGAAGATTCGGCACTGACTATGTGCACGTGTTCTGGCTGAGCAAAATGACGCCAGACCACAGGTGGCTCGTCAAACGCGAACAAACCACGAAGAAATTGACTAGGATGTATGGGAACATTCTGCATGGATCTGAAAAAAATTCTATTCGTCATACATCGATCGTTTTTTACGAACTACCACATCGATTTAGATTGAATATTTTACCCTCGTCGATTTGTCGAAGTATTGCTCGCCTCAAAACTAACAAAAATGTTGCCTTCGAGGTACGAAACTTTCGTTTATCGAACACGATACAGCTACGACGACGGTAGCATACCTAATCCACTGCAGTTAGCGGAAGTAGTAATGGCAGTATTATGAACAGACATCAGTAAAACGCGTGACATTGCTCTCTCGATAGGGCCACTCCAATGAAACACTCATTAACGGGTCGAACGCGGAGCTAATTTTGTTTCATTTTTCGTTTAAATGGCGTGAAAATACAGACAATGTGTCTGTGTATAAACAAAAGACAACAGTCAACTGCTCCCATTTTCTTTATTCATTTGTATCTTATATTAATATTATTATATTCAATTGAAAGTCAAATTATCGTCCAGCGAAAATTCAATTAAAATACGCGACATTTTTGGCCGTGGTTCCGCTTCCGTTTATGTTTTAAATATCTATGACTAACGCAGTATCATGCAAATATATTCATGGTTCTAGGTAAACGAAGTTTACGGTAGACTACTCTTCGTTTCAAATTACGTACACGTTTTGTCTTCTTATGCTTGCTTAGTTAATCAACTCACCTTGGTCGTTTCTTCCTTCGTATGAGATAGACGTGCAACGCGTACCATCTTGAACGACGATTATCCGATCAACGATATCGTTAAAATCGGTTGAAGAGATCGTCGAACCACTGCACCAATCGCGCTCAATTACACTCCTTATTCTAATAAACAGACGCGCTATCATTATCATTTAAATCGTCGCATGATCAATTATTAAGTCGATACCAAATCGGGTACAGACAGAAACCAAAACGAAACGTACTGTACATTAGTCATCTACGTTAATAAAACAGCCAAATCGGTATTTGACCAATCAAAAATTTCTTACACTTTCCCAACATGGACACGCATGTCAATAATTACGAATAAAATCGTGAATAAGGTTAATCGTGTCGGATCACGAACACTTTTTACTAACCTTTGGTGTGGTACATGAGTTACGGGGGAATTTCGTCGAGATCTCTTCGAATTTGAAATATTTCCACTATATTTCGAGGTTTCGTTGAAGAAATTCAAAATAAATTGTTCGTTCGATCGCAGTTTCGTTTTACCGGCGCCGAGGACCGGAAGTGAGCCGCGGGACTGACGTCGTTCTCGATGCTGGCACTCGATCAACCGATTCAAGACGACCGCGAACCTGTATTCAAATTATCGCAATGAATCACCGTGTCATTTGTTGACGATTTTATACCCCACCTAGATTTTATCTAAACATTTATCTACAACGGATCTGCAATCTAAGCAAGATCGTTTTTACTATTTTCTAGGTTGTAATTTCAAAGAAGTAAACCATTGAAACGTTAACCTAAAAAGGGTTAAGTTGATCGGTATTTTATGAGAAAAAATTAACACTATTGTGCTATTTTTTTATATGTGACGCACGAAGCTTCCTAAATTACATATCCTAGGCCCTCTATTACCGATGACAAAGATAGGCCCCCCACCTAACCGAAACTTAATTTAAACCTTCAAATCTGGTAGTTAACGATAATCCAATTGAAACGTATACCCGCTTAATGCGTCTAGACTTAATACAGAAGAAGCAAAGACCTTTAATTCGGATCATCAACGTTGATTCGTCCAGTAGCCAACACTTACTTTGTTCGGACGCCAAATCGAAATTCGTCTTCTTCGATCGATATCGACGCACCACGCACTTCTGAACCGTTGAAGCTTTGCTCCGATCACGATTAATATTTACAGACTCGTACATCACGAAGTGTAAGTCCCAATTTGTACCGGTCTTCGTAATTTTGAGAATCGAAGTTACGGTTCGAGTAAAATCCGATTCGAACTGGATCCACGCAACGAAGGAAATTATTTGGCGGTTTCGATTTTAACGGTTAACGTTGGTCGATGGTTCGAACATTTTTTTTCGAGATCACTTTTCGTTGGCACAGCTTCGAAACGATCGACTCTCGAGGCCAACATCGATGCGAGTGCTCGATGGCCTGGAATTGCGACTACACGCCTTCGCGATCTTAATGCGCGTTCGTATGTTGCGCGTTTACGCCTTCGGTTAGCTGTCGTTCGCTACGAACGGAAGGATGCACGATTCCCGCAAGGCAATGCCATTTACGCGCGCACATGTCGCGACTGTAGAGCCCAGGTACGAACGACGAGACGATCAAGCTAGATCATCCACGATCCGCTCAACCGTCCGCGAATTCTCCGACCACGCACGACTCGCGCCCACGCAAATGATTCTGAGTATCTTCGTTCTCGTTGCATACGCGTCCGTGCAATTAGTACGAAACACTTTACGAGACAAAATAAACGTCCTTTACGCGTAATCTGCTGTTTACATCGAACGGTCGATGCAGCTAACATGACCACATTTACGAAACAGGTCGAATAAAACATAACCCTTCACAAAAAATTAGTACGAGTTGTAATATTTCGTCAAAACGAAACGTAATAATGTTTTTCAATTTTTCTAACTATTACGAAGTTTCGCTGAAATTGGAGGGAAATATTTCATGGAACAATCCCGTTAGTACTCGGTTGGCCGCACACTAGTAATTCTAACAGTGTTGCTTGCAATAATTAATTGGTAATAGAAAGTATAGTATGTTCCGTGGGACGATGAAATTCGATGTAAACAGCTTATCGAGCGACGAAAAACTCATTGGTCAGAAAAGGTCAACGCTACCCTTAATCAGGGATGATGCACGGTGGATTGAATAACTACGAATTTTTCACTAAAAAATTGTTTCGACCGTTAGAGACCTCGAAAAGATACTAGGAATATTTTGCCACGATTCTGGGCAATTTTTCAACTGATCGCAAATTAAAGATTACGTAGCCTCGTGTGATGTAAGTTTTAAAGTTCAGTTCCCAAAAGAATTTATTCTTCGAGAAATTCAACGACAGAAAAATGGCGCCAATTTTATTCAGCATGTAAAAAAGAAGCAAATTGAGACTGACTTGAGGGATTGGACACTAATATTGATAACAATCTCGAGTGAGTATTAATTTTCTTCTTTAAAAATGTTTTGTATCGTTATTTCGTGTTTGAATTCTTTATGGGCAGACATTTTGTAGCACGAATATTAGAAAAACGACAGGAAATGACGTGTATCGTAAGATTACATTATCCAATGCAGAATAGATATGAAAATATTTATCGTTTGAAGTTTGAAATATGAAAAAATGTTTATTTGTTCTGTATAGGATAAGAAAATAACGGATAACACGTGAAAAAAAATACGTCACAAATCATTATATTTATTTGTAAATACGATTTAAAGGATACAAACCATGATAGCATTAAGTCAATTGAAGAATCTATATTACTTTTAATTGGAAGCATTAAACCATTTATCACTTCTTCTGGCCAATGGCTAGTTTTGTTTACACATCATTCGATAATATTCTGTAAGCATTTAACTAATATATCTTGTGCCTCGGGTAACCATAACGCTTCTTTTCGTGTTATACAATCGAAAAGAAAAACGTTTACAAATAAATCTAAATTTTTAGCTAAATTCGTTCATACATTTTCAAACGCTACAAGAGAACGTAACATACAACATCTAAATATAGCACTACGTGCTGTATAATAACCGTTCCTTTTAAGCTATACAAAATCAATTTATGGTATTCAGGCCGTTTTAGAATAGAATCAAATTAATGAGTATCAGCACCAAGGTTGATTGCAAAGCACATTAGCAGAATCTACCTACAAAGTTCATTATGCGTATGAACGATGAAGTTTCCCGTAAATGGTAAATAGGTTTCAAAACTGAACTCGTTACAATGTTATTAGTTATCAAAAAACGAATAAAATTATAGTACATTAAATAAATATGATAATATACTGTGACATTAGTATTTATGTAATTGTCCTTTTCATAGTTTAAATGCTAATTTCATTCTTTCTAAACCTGATACAACGATGAAACAAACAAATTAACATCGTTTACATGGCAAGTCCTGATATCCTACTACTGAAATGTCCTTGAACATTAAACACGACAAACAGTACTCGAACGACTCTGTAGACAGATTCCTCGTTTCAACATCGAAAATACATGTTTCGATACATACAGAAAATGTGATTTATAAATTATCCGCTCCGAATACACACTTCTTTATAATACAATACTATTGCAAATAGCATAATCATATACGTATATTGTACGCATTTGTTTCGTTCATGCACAGTCGAAATGCAATATATCAAATTCGCAGCAGAGAGAACCTTCGATAAACACGGTATACTCATGAGAGAAAATTCTATTTACCGATTTAACATTTCGACCATGGTATTTCGCTGTAAATAGTTAAAATTGTAATGCCGGCTAGAATGGCCTGTGAACACTTGGGTAGTTTAGAGTTATCCGGTGAGTGGCCAACAGTCACTCTAAACGCTTATTTCTTTACACTATTTTATCTTTACTATATCGTGTGTACGTCAAACCAATATATATATTAGTGTTTAATAATGTACAAATATACGTAACGAATAGATATTATTTAAATAAATTGCGTCATTATGATTGACACACTGAACAGCTTGTGAACACGAGTGTAAATATGAAATGTATTCTCGTATTTAGCGCAAAAGTGAACGTTTCGCAGTAACATTGTTACCATGGTAACTTGATTTCACACTATGTCTTTCTCGTTTGTTGCACAGAATCACGATAGAAGTTTGTTTCTTTCATTTTTTTCCTAGAAGGCATAAATGGTTAAAAAAAAAAGAGATGACTTTTTATATGTACATATATATGGACAAACGAGTACTTCTACAAAAAAATATTTTTATGCTTGAAGATCGGAGTACATTGCAATTAAACTCACGCTTCTTAGGAACTTTCAATTGTACAAATGCAATTCCGTTACAGTATTACATAAACACTGTCTATGACTATCGTGTAGACGCGTTATTGTTTACATTATTGCCATGGAAACGTTATTACTGCTGAAAATATATATATATATATATATGTATATTTTTTTTTTTTTAAACGAATGACCGGATATGGAATTTTGAGCGGCGGAGCGGTTGTGGCAGCTGTGAGTTTTTCTCATTACGTCTATTTGTCTTTTCTCATTTTAACGAATCACATTTAAGCACTACGTACATTGCGATAAAACTGCGTACACCGTGTACAGAATTTTTAAATATACAAGTGTGACAGGATGGTTGAACATCAAACTTGTATCAACAGTATAATTTACGGGTTTTCTAAAAGTGCTGGAATTTGTCAGTCTGTCGCACTTAGCATAAATGACGTTTGTATCTATTACATGAATATCCAACCAACCTGCAGATCTTATGTACAAAACACAGTAGGTCATTACATATTAGCAGGTTAATGAAACGTGTGCAATATTTTGACTACAATGTATGCGAATAATGGATGTTGTTATAACGTTCAGTACATCGTAACCAACGACAAATAAGTAAATAAAGTCTTTCCTTTCCGATTATTTCATCATCCGAATTTTTCACTCACAATTATGTAGTGTAATATAGCGTGTGTGTATATATACACATGCATATATATACACACACGCGCACACTACATATGTATACTTTATTACGTGCTACCAAATAACTGCTGCGTCGCTGTTCTCTTAAAGCAAAATCTTAATTAGTACCTTTATTATAATTAGATTTGATTTAAAAAAAAAATTAGCTAAATTTAACTGCTGAACATCCAATGAAGTACTGGATATTGGACCTATCCTTTTGCTACTCCATCTATATCTTTATAAAATCCCTCCCTGAGACACAAGGATTGGTCATGGATATTCAGCAGTTAGGCCGAAATGCTAAGCATTCTCCACTATAAAAGAAGTGGCAGTTAGCCTATTTCGATCATTTCTGTATCCTCCATGTTGCCATGCCCAACTCCATCGTGTCTATAAATTTTCATTATCATAATTGTCCAAAGACAAACATAAATGGGTATACAGTACCTTAGTTTTAAGCGGAAACGTGCGAGTATTTCTTTAACGATTGAGAATATAACGAAATTGTACCAACAAAAGTTATTATTTCAACTGTTTACGAAATATTCACGGTGTTGTAACGCAACGTTAAAACAAAAAAAAAAAACCACTTACCTGTGATTTTGTAAGTGTATATTGTGCAAAGTAAAATGTGTTGACCTTGGTGAAAAACCACGTATGTTGCTTCTACGAGGACTTCTAGCATTTATTACTCGTGGTTGCGAGTACATATCTTCTAGTATACTAGGTGCCACATACGTGAAACCCTAAAATAAATTTAAATTCGTTACAAAACAATGGAACGAATCTTAATTGAGAATTGATTAAAATAAAAGGTATATAAAAACGAACTTGAAATACTCTGTTAGCAGATTCACTTAACGTATATTCCGCGGGGGAGTCTATTGGCGCGGACGTTGTAAATTTTTTATCAAATTGAGACACATCGTCTTCGCTTGCTAACATTGGTCTAAATGGTGGTTCTAATTTTCGAGAAATAACGTCATTCCAATTAATATGCTTGAAAAATTGGTGACTCTTAACTTGTTCCGCATCTGATGGACCAGATCCCAATCTTTGCGCAACATTTCTCTATGAAAGATGAATATAAATTTATACTTTCTGTCGACGAATACTTCGGAGAATTGCAATTTTTATAATTCGAAAAATTAACCTTTAGTAATTTATGGATTAGGTTTCTGGAATCTGGTGTTAAATACATCGGAAGACTTAGCCTACCATGTATAATTTTAGTAACAGTTTTCTTTCTGTTATCGGATGTAAATGGTGGCTAAAAATTTAACAATAATCATAAACATATTAAATACATTAATTCGTATAAAATGTTTCCGGTGACACGTACCGAACCTGTAAGCATGTCGTACATTAAAGTTCCAAGACTCCACCAATCTACTGCTTTACCATGGCCACTTCGTGTTAGAATTTCTGGAGCCCTTTTATTTAAATACGTAACATCAATGTTAATCCGCGAAAGAATTTTAATTGCAATTATATTGACTGAAATTTTCTTACATATATTCTATAGTACCACAGAATGTATGTGTAACAGTACCATCTTGTATGTGCTCTTTACACAAACCAAAATCGGTTAATTTTATATGCCCATCTGCATCCAACAGGATGTTCTCTGGTTTTAAATCTCTGAAAATTTGTTAATTGTACATCATCTATCGGATTAAAAGCATAACAAGCTATACCGCAATATTGAATTCATATTTAAAGGTTAAGATACCTATAAATAATTCCTTGTAAATGGAGATGTTGTAAGGCTAATATTATTTCCGATATGTAGAAACTGCGCAAATAAAATAGATGTACAATGTTCCTGTTAGATACTACGCCATGATATCAATTGTAATTTCACCTACCAAGCAGTTTCTTCAAGAAAAATGCCCTCTGCATTTAAATGTCGAAATAATTCACCACCACACATATATTCCAAGATCAAATATAATTTTCCACCGGTTTGAAAAGCATACATAAGGTCTACGATGAAAGGATGCTGCCATATAGAAATACATATATACACATATATATTATATACATATATATATATACATTTAAATCTATTTCTATTTAAACTACATGTAACAAAATTATACAAACAGAACAACTAAATTCTTGATATATTTTAAAATATCATTATAACGATAAATATTTATTTTTTAAATACTATTATCATTTCACTTTCCTAATTGCAACAATATGAAACATCAGACGGCAAAGGATACCAAATATCGTCTGATTTTGGTTAAATCTACATTATTTATATTTACCTTTACAGCTTCCAATATATTTCTTTCAGCCTTAGTATGGGCAGTATCTTTTTGGTTCCTTATAATCGAGGCTTTATGTAAGACCTATTTTGAATTAAATGCATTTATGACAAATCACAGAAATGTACGAACAAACAGCAAAAATACAAGCAATATTTGAGAAAAAAACTAATATTCTAAGTACTCTTGAGTTTCATACATTAGACATTAATGTGAAAATGAAACTGACTTCATTTAATTCTTAATATATTGCCTCACAAAACTTTCTCTTTTTCTCACATTTTCTACATTCTTCGTTGGATTATTTTAATTTCAACTCTATAAAATCCATGAAAGTGAAAATAGAAAATTGATTGAACTATATTTAAATGAAAAATCGATAAGAAAATTCTAAATACTGTCAAAGCTGTGTAAAGAGATAAAGGGAGACAAAGAACTTACATAATTTCGAGGAAAACGTTAAATTGACTTTTTACGTCTATAAAAAAATGGAAATTTGTTCAAAACATTCAACCGTGCGCGTTCTGGCATCAATCGGTAATCGATTAACAGGAAAAAGAAATAAATCGATGTTTCTTCCCTACCTTCATTGCAAAGATCATGCCGCTGTCATTACCCGTTATTTTACGCACTTGAAAGACCTTGCCATAACCACCCTTCCCAATAACTTTGCATAGTTCGAAATCCTGAGGTCCGACCCTTTCACGTCCACGATTGACATTCTGTTCCGATATAGGTACCGTTTCGCCGCCTTCCGATCTAATAAACGTAAAATTGTCATTACCTCGAAAGCTGGACACGACGGATCGTATGTCAGCCGATAAAAGGCTTACTCACTTGGCTATCTCGTTCACGTTTGGATTCACATCGTACTCTTCCTACGTGAAAAGAAAAAAATCGAATAGGAAAATGTTATGGAACGTCGAATGAAAATATTCATTTCGATGATAAGAAGAGACTGGTGTGCTGATCGCGTGCAGATGGAGAATTACCTCGCCGATCTCGATAACATCGTCGTCGGACTCGTCCCTATTTACCGTGTCCGCATCATACAATTCTATATCGAATACCGCGGCCATTCTACGCGCAGCTAGCTCAAACCCGACAAGATTTTGCGGCCGACGTGAAGGCGAATTATTTCTTTTCTAACAAACGACGATTGCACGACAATATTGTTGCACGTCCAAAACCTTGAATTACTGCGAACAAGCTGCCCCGTCCCAAAGCATACCAAACACCCTCGCCTTACGTACTTTCCGATTGGCCGCGGAGCTTGTCATCGCGCGGTTATCGGAGTGGGAGGGTAGACGTTCTCAACCAATCAGTATCGCGCGATCGAAATTCAACGTGAAATCGACAACTACGGAATTCCGACGCGCTATTGCCAAGTGTTCGCCCGACATGTTCCGCGGCACGTTCAAACATCGCAATTCCGCTAATATAAAAAGACGATGACGCTCGACATTATTGGTATTGTATATTATTAGATGTACAAACAATCGTGGAAATTGAAATGCTTCTCACACGTATGCATACATATTTTTGAAAACGTAACGGTGCTATTAAGAATCGGCATCGCCATACAGGGTGAACTGAAAAAATTGTTTATCATTTGTTATCGTTTTCATTAGCGGTACGATCAACAATTTTTTTTACTTTGATTACTAATTCAGTTTACGTAATACATTTTCGATGAAATCAAATAATTCTGTGTTACGAATAACGTAAATCGCAGAGATAGCCAATTATGTATTTCATTATGTATATTTATTGGAAAAATATTTCATATATATTTTATATAACAATTGTTAATAAACAAATTTTTAAATTTAGTGCCAATTGCGTATCGAGCAAATCGATATCAAATATTTGAATTAGTTCAGGAAGTATTTTCTTATCAGTTAGATTAATGCCAAACGACCATAAATATCATATTGTGGGTGTCACCAATTACGTATACTACTTTAATTACGTAGATTGATAAGAAATTGCTATAAGTATATATATTAACACGGTATTAAATAACAAGAACTTAATAACAATATAATACGACAGTGAAAATAAAGAAAACCAAAAATGGTTCTGCGTCATCGTGTACAGGGATACGAAAATTTCTTTAAATTCGTTGAAAATTTGAAAGTTAACGAACCGGTTTATGTACTTTATAGCGGTACAAAACTTCCTAATGGCAAAAGTTGGTGTTCTGACTGTGTCGAAGGTATAAATCTTTAAATACAGTCGTTTGTTTGATACATAACCTAATATTTTATGTTCACTACCATTTGTATTCATATTTTTTTTTTTGTGATAAGCATACGTCAGTTTAATTTTACTATTCGTATAAAATTATTGTATTTGTTTTATCGTAATATAGATTTCATTTTTTTTTCCAGCTGAACCTTTTATAGAAGAAGGATTTAAGGCTGCGCCTGAAACAGTGCATTTAGTTGAAGTTGAAGTTGGCGATCGACCATAGTAAATATATTAACATAATTGCATTAGCATCTTGATTATTAAACAAGGTATAATATAACTTAACTTTTTATTCGTTAGCTGGAAAGATCTGACTTGTCCATTTCGTACGAATTCCACAACAAAGTTGAAAGTTTTGCCAACATTAGCAAGATGGGGTACACAGAAACGCCTGGAAGGTGACCAGTGCCTAAAAGTTGACCTGATTGAAATGTTACTGACAGATGAGGATAATTAAATAATTCAGGTTTGTACATTGCATTAATAAAATATAAAATGTGCAACTCTGTAAGGCTCCTATGTTAAACATTCTGTCTAAAGTTGTTTGCTATAAAATTGTTTTATTGTTAAAAACCTTAGGACCTTCTGTCCTCTTTTTACAAACATGTACACATTTAATTACAAAGCATTTATAAACTTTCTATATTTATAATAATTACAACTACTAAGAATAAAATATTACATTTTTAATACAACCGAACAATCAAACAATTGTAAATACAAAAGAGTGTCTTAAAAATGGACAAATAAATTATCTATATAAAATTGTCTGGAATAAAAAATATACTTTCGTAGAATGATTTTTGGTAGCTTGGATAAAATGCAGAAAAAAAGAAACGATAACAATAATAAAGAACTATTGTTCTCTCGATGCGTTAATAATGCACTTTGGAATGTACTCGTTGAAAGGAATCATTCTTTTCCCGCTTTAATGCGTTTGTTATGGAGTAGTGGTGATTTCTTGCGGTTCCGCCGGTGGCAAAACTCGCACCGAATAATGAATTTTCTTGTTTCTCAGAAGACTGTAACTGTTATCGAAAACGACCGAATCTAAAACAGGTAATATTATCGATACGTTATCGTTAATATTATATTTTCAATACGACGCAATATGTACTCACACGTGGAAGGTACTTCGCAAGTTAAAATTCCAATTTCGTCCAACTGATGAGCAGCTACTCGTCGTACAGGTATAATTTCCTTCTTTGTTCCGTTGGTGTCTTGTTTCAAGATACCAAATTTAATATCATGATCTTCGGTTCGGAATTCCCAACTAGAAGTATACAGGATTAGGAACGTTGATGTTTTATCATTAATAACTCGTATACCTCAGTAAGGATCCCGTCTCTAATGCTGGCATATCGAGCACCAGTTTCCCACCCTTTCGAATTGTCACTGTTGTAAAGTCGCTCTGTTGTCTGTCCTTTTCCACGTTATTTATATACAACTCTTTCGGGATCTTACCACCCAGACAAATCTGAATAAAATACAAGAGTTTAAACGTTTTCAAACGAGCTCAGACAGACGCTGGCAATTCGATAAAATTCCTTACCTTCGTTCCCAGTTTTGGGTTACCATCCGGATCTGTAAGGGTGCCTCCAAAGAAGGCTGGCACCTGATCTCTTTCAATGTTCGAAAATATCGCTGACTGCCACTTTGGCGGATCAGCCTTGTATATTTGAATCTTAGACAACGTGTACTCGTTCATAAATTTTTTTGTTACCGAAAACGCGAACGCGAATACTTTGGGCGCTGGAAGCAATCGTGGAAGCAAGCGTTAATTTATCGATCTATGCTCGAATCGTGCACGCAAATTATTTACCATTGATAATGTAACACGTCTTTAGAATCTCGGGATAATTGGCTTCGTACATTTGTATCAAGGTGATGACAACTTCTCCGGCTGAAAATAACGAAAACTTTCGTCGATTTTTCAGTAAAGAACGTCGGTTCGTTAATGGCAAAAATACTTCTTCCTACTTCCTGTTTTGTGCGATTAGCAAGGTTTTTTTTTTTTGGAGCTGCGAGGTGGTGAACGTACAGAAATAAATGTGAAAGGAGCATTATCAGGTCGTACAAAAGCCACGCGAGTATTCCATCATTTCTCGATGGATAAAATTTCTTGGTAAAAAGTTTCAAGCCGCGTTATACAAGCGTTTCGCTCGTTAACGGCCTGTTTTTACGGACCGAGGAAAGTTGATCGAAAACAACCCTTTGAGATAAAAATAATTCGAGAGATTTTACGTAATGTTTCTGAAATCCGTGTTACCTGGTCTCCATAGATACTGTCTCAAATTAAATCCTTGCATGTCAAAGATCACGGTCAGTTCACCGGCGGCTGGACCATGTTTCTCCATCTGTTCTCTGCACACTTTCAGATACTCTTCCAAAGATTTTATAGTGATTCTTATTACATCCCTTCGCGATACGACGTGCAAAATACCGTACATATCCAACGCTTCGAAGTACACGACGATCACTGCAATTTTCGATTAGTTTGTTCTTAAAAAATTAAGAAATTAATGTCAGTAGGATTTCTCAGTTTTTTAATTAGAATTGATTTTTACCCGGGGCTCCATCCTTGTCGAAACCACAACGTCCGTGAGGCAAAGAATCTTTCAGAATTTGAGGCGGTTCCCAATCATGTAATTTGTCAACTTCCCATTGTTTCCGCCACTCCATAGACTGCGAAGAAATTTATACAAATCCTCTGTTTCCCAAGTTACAGCCATTTTTTTTGACCCCGATGACACTTTTAATCGCAAACTGAACTAGTATAACCGATTGCACCCGAACTGTTTATATACAACGCTCGACAACTTCTCGATATCTCTTGACCTTATTGATCATTCTGTTCTACGAGTCAGTCTAGTTCATTCTCTCGTGCATAAGTGCACTTGATAACTCGATTCAAGTAAAGATAGTCAGAGAAAAATTTCATTCACTTTTTCACCGACTAACTTCGTTTTCTATTTTATCAAAATTTGATTAAATTCCAAGCTTCGAATTCGATGTTCAAATGCTTCTTGGTTCCACGTTTTATATAACGCAGTTACGAGATAGGGTACGAAGATTAAATAAAAAGTATCTCAAAAACGAAGGCTGAAGCTCTGAAGAAACCCACGGTTGCTTTTAAAACGCCGCGCGTGTGCTACAATTTCCAAATAGCGCCGTCCCAAAAAAGCGATTTCCACATCCGTGCGTGGAAATCCGATCGCGTTTCTAAAAAAATTTCGTTCAGAATTCGGCTAACGAGGATAATCATCCGCGGGGTTGTGAAATTTAATTACCGCTTCGGTAGCTGAAGAGAAAGGGAACGCGATTGCGCCTAATACATCGCAATATCCGTCATCGAAAAGAAAAAGGAAATACAGAAAAATTGTATCGAGAATTGGGTCCGAAATGTTTCGAATTTTCACGCGACTCGTTAACCGCTGATATCGATAATTATACGATAGGGTCGGGTTGCTTGTTTAGCAATCTGCGGATGTAGACGTGAAACGAACAAAAAACGTGAGTTTTACGCGTTTCAGCATTCAAATGTTCGACAACTCGAGTCTTGTTGCAACGATTCGAAACTCGGGGGAAAAAACAGAGATCAAAATTTTTCACAACGCCTTGACGGCCAATGTCACGCGTACGTGACTTCACCAATCGATCCTTTTTACGAATATTTTTTTTTTTTAATACTAGATTTACTAGATATTTAAAATTGCAGAAAGCGTAAATATTATTTTTTAACAACTTATGTTGAATTTTATTGATGCAATCTAATTAAAAAAAAAATCGTATTTTCAGGTAATCGTCAACACGAAAGGTATCGATAAATATACGTGCGATGAATGCTCGTAAATCTAGTGTTAATTGTTTTCATTTACGATTGCATTAGAGATACGAACGATGCCGCACGATTGAGAACAGAAAAACACGCGACACCACCAGTACACAATATATGCTTTCTCGTTGCAGTCGCACGTTTTACTTTTCGCCTCTTTCTGGAAGGCAGCACGGTTGAGGTTGCAGAATATTTCCCAGGATTAACTTTGCAACTTATATCGAGGGAAACGACGTTCGATGGAATGTATAAGATAAAGCGACGATAGAAACGGGGAGACGTTCGAAGATCCGCTGAAATATTTCAGAAACATGCAGTCGAGTTTATAAAAAAAAAGCATTGACCCAGATGTTGTCACTATCGCCGAGCAGACCGGCTGCAAAGTGTCGAGCAATTATTCTGCGAACTTTCCACGTTAAAAATGAAAAATCTGCTCGATCTTACGCAATATTTGACGCTATTTTTTTTTTTACTTGTTAAAAAGTCCTGTTTATCTTCGTTTCGAGATTGACTGTGTTTCGATCGGCTGAAAAATATCGATAAGCGCTAATTGGTTAATTGTGGCACGATTTCCGTGATCGTCGATAATTTTATCGGATGTTTTGGAGAATGTAAACATTATTCGAAGAAAATTATGGTTTCTCGTGACCACGAGTGGACTTTCACCGATACGATACTTATCGAATTTTAAGGAAAGTAGCTGCATAACGAGCACCGACACGTTTTTTGTATCAATTTTTATTAGGAATCGCCATCGAATGGCCGACAGTCGTGCAATTAAAAACCCATTTGGCTGGTTCGATGCACTATCGTTGGTCGAGCGATTATTAACAAGTAATTTGTACGCAATGCCGATTGATCCTTTGTTGCAGGTTGCATATACAACATTTACCATTCAAGAAGCAATCAAAGCGTCTAATCTATCATACTGACAAAAGCAGATTGAAATCGTAGGGGAGAAAAAGTTAAGCACTCCCCATATTAGCATGATTGATCGCTGGTGGAAGCTTTCGAGCTATCAGCCACGCTGCGTTTCCGTCCTTACTTTTCGCGACGTCGGTAGAAAAGTGTCGTCGAAACGAAAGCGAGCACCGACATTGTAGAAACTGTGAAACGTCATTGTTTACACGCCAAACAATCCATTTTACGCCACTCTCTCCTCCCGATGTGTAAATTGAACGTCTACTCGCCGTCCCTGCTAGCAGTTTTCCGAACGATCGCGATCCATCTATCTCGTAGCAGTCTTTCGCTCGTTAAAAAATATCCACGATAATTTAAGTCGAGGTTCTTTCTTCGAATATCGAGGGATCGCGGGAAACGGGATTAACGGCCACTCTGTAGAATGCACGAAGCGGTGAAACGAATCGCTCGTTCGGTGATCGTCGAGCCGTAAAGAATGAGTTTTTGCGCTCGATGGTTAAAACTTCCCGCAGGATAAGCCAACGAGACTGAAAATCATCGCGAGGGGATTGCGTCGTCGTGACTGTTTCAACTTTCTCGATCGAATTCGTCCCTCGGTGTGATTGTGCGCGCAAAAGCGCGAGAAAGGTTGACGGACCGATCATAACGTAATACTCGACGTCTTCGAACGAGCAACTTGCGCCAATTATGTCCGCTGGCATAAATTACGAGATATACTATACCAAGAAAGAGCCTCGAGAGTCTACTGTAAATTTTACACTGTAAATTCAGAGACGGAACTTGCAAGTCTTGAAGATCATCAAAGCGTCGGTGAAATCTTATCGTTAAACAATTCTACATGTTCCATCGAACGCATAATGTCAACCAGCCTTTTTTTCTGCGTAATTGTTATGAAACTGTGGAAGCAGGGACGCGGATCGAATACGTAATTAAGGTTCAAAGCCATACTTACGTCCCGTAGCATCTTCTCCGCGGCGGCTGGATCCCATTTTCTAGCTGGAAAATTACTCATCGTCATTCGAATAATTCAGACGCGTGTACGAGATTTTAACGTCCGTCTCGAAATTCCGAGTAATAATTATCTCGATGGGAATTATTAAAAAACCAGTCTTGCTTCAATGTCAGCTCCTCGATATCGCGACGTAATGTATGCAATAGGTAATGATGTCGATCACGATACAATAATATCTCATTAGTAAAAATGAGAGATAAGAGTACGCGCTTAAATCGCTGACATATTTATAATATCGCATATTAAAAATTATATTTATCTTGGTACTTCTGCTTTCTTCATCTACGATAGCCGCTAAAGGCTGCAGAATTTAAATCTACATCGTAAATACTCTTTTATCGAACGAAGCAGACATTTGTAAATGTTTCGAGAAACTTCGTCTTCAGCGCGTCCAATCGCGGCGATACTGAATGGAAAAAAGCTTTGCTGAAGACGATTATGTTTGTCAGCTTTGAATTGCCGCGATGAATGCACGTAACTTCGGAATATCGTGCGATAATAGGAAAAAGAAAATATTAAGCGTCTCAAAAGCGTACCGATTACGTTGCAATGAATGGATAGGAATAGCTGTAATAATGCGTAAAAGCGATAGTTTCGTTTGATATACGCGTATACAGGCGTTGAGAAACTGTATGAAGTAAATTTCATGAATTCATACCTCTGAGCCAACGTAGTAGAAAGTAATCGTCGTGATGCGGTTGCAAAATGTTTTGAACTGACCGCCTAAACTGAAACCAGAAATTCGCACAGATTACACGTTTATATAACTTTATATGCTTTTGAAACGCGCGTTATTTTTCTACGAGTATACGAAATTATACTAAACCATTAGTATGTATATTTTATAATCGCCAACTATAGACTAACACCATATAACTATATAGCACTACGATCTTATCAGAATATTGCAAACACGTGTTTATAACATGCAGTGGCTGTTGACGCAATTATATTATCATTTTATTGCCAAACACATCGAAACGTTAGTTTTCGAAATTGCCCAATCGGTTCCACAGAAAATCTGCCACTTTCTGTTCACGGCACGGTGGAAGCAAATTATTACGCGAAACGATGCTCCCCGCGATTAGGAGAAAAACAAACGTTCGGTTGTTTTCGTTTCGCCTGGATTCGCAACACCGTTCTGCGTTCCCTTTCACGTGAATTTTTCGCCAGGTCTGCCTAGTCCGGTTAACCCGAAACACCGTGGAACGGACACATCGAAACGCAAGCCGCCATATACGTGACGAAAAAAAGATCTGGTTGTTTCGAAACCGATCGATTCCTTCGAACGCTCCAAACTCGACGCGACTTTTCTCTAAAATTTGAAAGTATGAATTTCGATAGTTTTGTGAGCTCCTTTACTCGATAAAGGACTTTTCCTTTTATTTTATCACCGAGGCTTAATTGGAATGTTTCACTTCCAGCGCGAATCAGAGCGACCAACATCGTTATTACGATCGATCGCGTAGAAAATAAATCGCATGCGTTAAGGGGCCATTCTACCTTGCAGGCATGAAAAATACGTGTTTCTTTGTGATTTTTTTTTGCGGTTTATTAAAGATCGATTAATTCCGGATTTTGTAGATACATTTATTATATATTTAGCTATATTTACGAATTTTTGCAACGCATAATATCTGTTGATTACGCTGTTTTTGTTGATCATCAAACAACAGTTTTTACGAACGGCACCCGACTGCGTACGTGATATCTTGCGAACAAGTTATTCGAAATCCTAAAACCAACGATATTCTTAATATAGATGAGTGTGGTTATAGCATGAACTAGGATATTTTACGAAAAAATACTGAATATTTTCATATATTTGGTTGCTTTTTTGTTAATAAAAGAAAAAGTATTGCATATATCGTAATTATCCTAGTTCATGCTATAGGGAGACCAGTTCTGAAGATACTGTATAAATTTGATGTTGATATCTTGAATAGGTTTTTAGTTATCACGCACGCAGTGCCGAAAAATGTAGTTTCGAGAAAAACAGCTTTAAAGTTTTTCACGTCCAGTTGTTATACCTGCGCGTGGTACATTCCAGCAGGCTATAACTTCGTTAGTTTTCCGAATTTCAATTTAATATTTGGTAGACATATTTTCGAGACTACATACTAAAGGAAAATGCAAAAAAAAAAATATCGATTTTTTAATCCCACAAGGTAGAAAGGCCCCCTTAAGATGTACATTGGAACTGGTACATGATTGAACCAATAAAAAAAAGATTTGAAGAAAAAAAACAAAATTTGCCACCTGCATAAATGCTCTAAAAATCGGTCAAACCGTGAATCGTGCTATTCTAAATAGCACCGAGTGTATATGGTAGTCTGATGGCCAATTTAAACTGACATAGAAGCGAGCAATTTCGTTCTTTGAGCTCACCATCCGGGAATGGAAAGATTACGAGGACATTTTGCAATTACTATGATTGTAAAGATCCTGTAAGAAAGGAGCCTAGCGCACAGTCTTGCCGCGCGTTTCGTCTTCACTATTTTTCAGAAAATAGATCTTTGCACGTATCGTTCGATCGTCTCTTCTTTAAAGTATCGTTTCTTTCTGCTTACAGGAACAACGAAGATCAAAATCGTGACAACAAACAATAATTTATTTGCATATGAACCGTGATGAACATTCGAGATCGAGATGCTTGGCGCAAAAGATACGCAAACATAAGTCCCGCGTGGTAGCGTGCGTCGATGCACGGAGTCGAACATTTTTCTTCGATCGACCGTAACTCGAATACGAAGATCATTTAAAACAAGTTGTATTTTTAGGTTTTCGAGGTCGACGACACGCTCGTATAACAGATTCGATCCATGGAATTCGAAATCCACGGATGTGTGTCGATGTGCTTAATCTTCAGCACCGTCACGTTGCGAGGCGCGTGTTAGCACATCGGGGTAAAGAAAGTTCCGTTTTACTCGCAGAGACCCCGTTCTCTCTCTCGATTGGCGAAGAAACTTTTGTAGGAGCTGTCGTTTCGCGTTGGATTAGCGAAGAAGTTAAGTGCGGGCAGGCGTTTTGCTTCGTGGAAGAAATCGGCGAAAACGAGAGGTGCTGCGGAACCTCGCCGCGTGTTAAAGTGATTTTCATCGGGAGAAATCTTCCGGATAATGACACGTTACCAAGCGACGAGAAGTCACGACGAAAACCACGCTCGCTCGACGCTGGTTTCAAATTTGTTAACGTTCATTTATAACAGTCTCGATAGTTTTATAAAGACTGGAAGAAAAGTTAGAGAGGAAACGTAATTTCAAACTGCAACATATAATATGTTATTTAAGGGGCCTTTCTACCTTGTGGGATTAAAAAAAATCGATATTTTTTTTTTTGCATTTTCCTTTAGTATGCAGTCTCGAAAATATGTCTACCAAATATTAAATTGAAATTCGGAAAACTAACGAAGTTATAGCCTGTTGAAATGTACCGCGTGCAGGTATAACAACTGGACGTGAAACTTTAAAGCTGTTTTTCTCGAAACTACATTTTTCGGCACTGCGTGCGCGATAACTAAAAAACTGTTCAAGATATCAACATTAAATTTATACAGTATCTTCAGAACTGGTCTCCCTATATCATGAACTAGGATAATTGCGATATATGCAATACTTTTTCTTTTATTAACAAAAAAGCAACCAAATATATGAAAATATTCAGTATTTCTTCGTAAAATAGCTGCCATTTTGCCATTTTTTGTTTTTTTTTAAAAGATCCTAGTTCATGCTATAACCACACTCATCTATATTAAGAATATCGTTGGTTTTAGGATTTCGAATAACTTGTTCGCAAGATATCACGTACGCAGTCGGGTGCCGTTCGTAAAAACTGTTGTTTGATGATCAACAAAAACAGCGTAATCAATAGATATTATGCGTTGCAAAAATTCGTAAATATAGCTAAATATATAATAAATGTATCTACAAAATCCGGAATTAATCGCTCTTTAATAACCCGCAAAAAAAAATCACAAAGAAACACGTATTTTTCATGCCTACAAGGTAGAATTGGCCCCTTAACTTTTGACCTTACGCGAAATCTTCGCCAGCAGAAAGTATTATTTTATTTCGTTTGACCTATCGGGGAAAATGATTGTGCAACCGTTGATATAAACAAACGTAAATACGGTTACGAGAGCGGTGATTTGTTGAAAAAATTAATTGTGTCGCTGACGTCACAATATGTACGGAGATGACATTCGTACGATATCGAGAATATCTGTTGAACTTCCTCGTTAAAATGTCAAGGTGAAAGGGAAATTTCCGCGTTTCCTGTTATGCTTAGAACGGCGCCAAGGCCAGTATTTTCCGTAAATTCGATTTAACTAAATGTAATTAAAAAACAGCGACGAATCGATATTCAATTTGAATTGGAAATTAGAGTAACCGTGCAACGAGTAAACTTTATTCGGATGTGCGTTGCACGTCACGATCGTGCGCTCTCTGTTTACGAAATTTCAGTCCTCGTACGCGATACCTGTATTTAATGTTAAATCAGAAGTAGTTAATCGTTTAAGTTCTTGCTGGCCTAATTACGAAACGTGTGGAACTTGTTCTTGGTGTCAATACAGGCGCATAAACAACTATACTGTATCTTCCCATTCGGAACTTTTACTTTTCACAACCGCGTGGAATCCGTTCTGTCTGACCCTGAGTAAACCTATCGCCTGCATTGAATATTCTTCGAATATTTAACCCGAATAAACGATGGGAAACTTGGACCGATTTTAGAGATTTTTTTTATACAATCCTCAAACTATCCGCTTAAAATTCTTCGGTAAATGCAATACATTGGTCGTACCCATCGTCTCTTATTCGAATAAAATTCTGCACGTGTCGACGTTATCTCGTTGCATTGGCGACTAGAATGAAAAGAAATCGACGAGCATGGCTCTCGCGTCTTCGAATGTCAGCTTCGTTGACCCCGACCTTCCCCGCCGCGGTCACACATTTTTCTAAGATCGAGCGCTACTTACTTTCATCAACGCGAACCGCTGGTCGTCGGCCAAATTCAGCGATCTCGACATTCTTGGTTTCGGTTGAGCCTTGATCGCTCGATCGATCGTCCTTCCTTTGCAATCGCTGCGCTCGCGTAACGGCGTTCCACCTCCTCGACCACCGTCTCTTATTTCGCAGCTCTGAAATCGTTATCAGGTTCAGAGCAGGTCGTTTTTCACGCTCGAGGCGCTGTGTCGTGCACGCGTTCCTCCGCAGATTCTCACAGACGTTCTTTAACTTTCATATTAGTTAGTTAATCTCTTAGCGTGCATTACGTTCTTAAAAAGTATCAAAGATTGTTTTCCCAATGTATTTTGAAAATTGTTCAAGAAATAGATCCAGATGAAAGTGATACTGTGTATCGTTATCGCTCGGCTGCTCGAGCTTTCGTGCGAAAATGTAACTTAGAAAGCAAAATGATACCTAGTGTACTCGCAAATGTTATCGATTCGATGTAATAGTAGTCTTGCACGTTACTTGTATGATACACGGTTCGTTACTATGCAGCGCCAACGATTGGTGTTGCATTTTCTAGCGACGCGATCTATAGCACATACGAGCACGCGTTAAGATTCTGATTTATTCGGGTGAAAAAGCCAAGTGAAATGAACTAAATTAAGTAAGAAATTTCATATGGTCGTATGTCCTATATGTATATCTTGATTTTTAAGTTACGAATGATCAAGAACACGATTATTTTGATTTGGAAATTACTGCATAATACAAAACTCGTGCGTCGTGCATATTTTGTCTCATTTCCTTTGGACTGTGAAAATATTCCACGCCTTTACAAAGCGATGGACACCACGTGTCACCTAAACTCTATTGTGCTAAAAAATATTCAGAACATTTTATTTGATAAAAAAAATTAATTGCTTGGAATGACTTTACCTTGTTAAGGTATAACAGAGTTTCAATAAACGTATGATCGAAGATTAGGTTTCCAAAGTATTCGATGTTTTAACATACAAGTTTGATCGCCAGTGGAGCGCCGAGTTGAACGAAACTGAATACTTTGGAAGTCCAACGTACCAACTAATGAATATATGTATGATATTTAATTAGTTGCTCCAAACGTTGAATATTGATGAGAAAGTATAAATGCGTTCCAGTTTTCATTACTGCTAGATGTGTATTACCGAATACAAATAGAAGCATGTAATTATTACGTGTTCGCAATGAATACAAAATATAAATACCAACGGAAGATAGTGAAAAATGTGTATTCGAAGCTTGTACCGAAAGATAAGAACAACCTGTATAAATAAGAGCTAATCTTGCGAGACACGATCTTCCTAAATATTTTTTTTATTTTTAATCGTTATATCTGGAAACCATTTATCAACGTATGTTTCTTAAGACTCGTCTGTTTTTTTGTAAACTCTACTTGTCGGTTAAATTCATATCCGTAATTTCGAAGCGCATAATTCTCCAAGTAATTAAAGAGTCATGTGTATAAATCACAAATCAAATACAGCTTCTTGAAAACGATATTCGTGGGGGGATACGTATAGTAAATGTCACCTCGACTGCTATAACTTGAAAAGCAAGAACCACAAAACGACCGCAGAATATTAACGTTGTACGTCATCCGGGTCACATTTCATTTATCAAAATGAATAGTACTTATTCACGGTGAATATTTACATAAGAAACACACTCTTATGTTCATTGTAACGAGCATAATGGACAAATTTCGTACGATATACCGTGTCCTAAATCGTTTCAAGTTTGTAACACCGATACCAAAATCTACGTACATAAATAATAAAGTAGTACAGTAAAACGAAAGTAAATGGAGGGTAAATATTTACATAGATGCAATTACAATTTTAATATAAATACAAATTTATGCCCGTATTTTCACAATACTTTAAAACGTGTACATGCATGAACAATTTTACTAACTTTTACGTTATATCGTACCTACGATTTGAGCGTCCTAGTTTAATGCCTTACAGGTATTAGACATAAACACATAGATAAAATTACACGTTTCGAAAGGGGGAAAAAAAAACTAAAATATCGAATGTTTAAAGCAGAGCTAAAGAGTTTCAAGTTTAAATTGGAAATATATAGAATGTTGGAAAGTCCACGATTACGATGATTAAAACTCTTATAATTTTAAAACAAGACGAGTGGCCAAGGTAATATCCATAAAGGGTGTATAATTAGCAAAAAATGATAAATTAGGTCAGGGAGTCTAGAAATTGAATAGCAAAACCGAAGTGACGGTACGCTCATACGCGTTGGATATTGCATTCAGGCGAGCGAAAGCTCCAAACGAAGCAGATGCTGTGCAAATATTTATTTTCGAAGAACTTTCAAAATGAATTTGAAATTACCGCCGTTCAAATACTTCGATAATATACGATCTATATCGTGCGTCGCAAAGCATATAATCAGTAAGTTTCTTCGTACTATTTACGCGCGAAAACGTACACGTAAAGTGTGTTGCAATCGAACAGATTCTCGGTGGCCGGGTTCGCATCGAAGTATGAATACGATATTACCGATGAGCGTCTTCGAAGCGTTTCGTCGTAGTCTCTATCACTTTGGCGGCAGAAACTGTCGACGATACTTCACTTTGCGAACAAACCGCGGTCCCGCGAACGATCCGTTTCACTTTCCAAACATAATCGTCGACGACGATCACTTCGCGGACGATAATTGTCGCGCGGGTAGGTACGTTCAAAGTGCGCGTGTGTCATTTATGATTGCCGGCTTACTTTATGGTGCAACAGGTGTCTCGTGCAATCGCCGCGACCGCGCTCCAGTTCGAGAGCCAATTCCTCACTAAAAATGAATGCTCCGCGTTGACCGGTACTCAAAGAATGGCACTGTTCTGTTCACCGCTGTTGTCGACGCCGGCGCTACGTGCAACGGCACCCCACCACTTCGTTCGATCGCGGACAGATACACCGTAAGGAAGCAGAAAATCGATCAGAGCATCGACTCGATTTGTCATCCCTCGACGATCGAGTCGAGGATATTCAACCGCGCTTGACGATATGAGCTCTTCCTCTTCCGCCGAGTGCAGCTTGCACTGGGAACGATGCAGCATAGGAATGGACAAATGCGCGGGAGTTTGTGAGTAAATCTGCAGGCGTGACGTTATTTCATTTGGCTTTACAAATACATGATTTGCGTTGTTACGCGTAGTTAGAGCGCCGTGTTGTCGCTTACTTGAGACTGTAACCAGCTTGAAAACGTAACCTCTCGCTGCTTGGTATCACAGATTACACGAATCTTATAACCGATGTATATCGATCAGAAATTTAGCTCTGTCGTATGTCATTATCATAACCTCGACGATTTAAAGAATTCCCGAGCTCCTGATTTATTTATATAGATCTATAATTCTATTATAAGAGGTTCGTTTGTTTCTGCGTGGAGGGGAGACCTGAAATTAAATGCAATGCCGCCAGTTTCGAGGCACCAGCGGCGCCATCTAGCGAAGGGTTTCGCTGTTACCACACGAATATTGACTATCACGCTTGTTCGACCTCGATCGATCTCTCGCTACGGTTGTCGTCGCGCGCCTAGTCATGGCGTAGAACGAGAGTGGTACGTGGTTTCGTGCGTGTTATTCTCCAGTTAGAAAATAAAGGATTTTAGCTGATATTAAGACAATATTTTCGGTTAATCAGTGTTCGAAATTCGAGGAAGAAACGTGGCTCATGCAACCTTAGCTAACGGTTGCAGCTGCATCGAAGAATGCAGATCCATTGTGAACGATACGTTATCGGCGTCCTGTGCCGGCATAAATTTCGTAAAGGAAGTACACCTCATAACGGAATTCATTCACCGGTATCGAAGTTGAACGAATTCTACGATTGTCGGGGACGTGTCGAGTAAGTGATTTTTTGTATCATTGTTCTTTATCTTAAGCAACGAAGATTCATAAACATTGATTATGTATATTATAATTACGTGTTCCGTTACTACAATCGCTATTGTATCAATGAAAATATGCAAACGGCATATACATCTAGAGACACTTGCTATTCTTTCGTTAAATCCTTTAGACGTTATTCCTCGTCGTTATCTATCATTGTAGTACTGTCAAGTAATCTTTGTTTAACCACAGGCTTTTCGATGGCTTACTAAAATATTCCTGCTATGACTGATATCTTTTTGTCTCTACAGTACAGTTGGCATATAATCTTGACTGTAGAACCTAATAATTATTTACTATGTCATCGATCTCGCCGACTTCTTGACACATATTTCTTTGACATATATTCGCTATACGTTGAAGTTCTCATTCCCAAACATTGTCTACGTGTTAACCTTGTGCCGATTGATTCACGAATTTCGTTTATTTGCGTCATCGGCTTCTGTTACATTGCGTGAATCATTGTTATCCGTTACATTGTAAATAACCTAACCTATTTATAACTTGTTTCGACAACCGTTCGAAGTAAATATATTGCGTGTAATATTTACCCCGAAACGATTTTTGCGTTTAAATTCACCGAGCGTGAAATTAATCCAAGGAAGCCATACGACTTTTAATTACATAAAGAACTTGTGTCGTTAAGTGTAAAGAATTGAGTCAAGGTTCTACGCGGAAACGAGACTGTGCACGTTCGTGTTTATACCATCAAGGCAATGACCCAAAACAGTGGTTCTTACGTTGCATTTAGATAAGTACAAATCTTTTATTTACGAGTCCTTGCTACTAAAAAATATGTAAATGAAAAATGTAATTGGACGCGCTCGACTCACGAGCAACGATATTGTATACAAATATTTGTTATTACAGAAGTTATCGAAGTTCGAGTTAAGTTAAAAAGCAATATTTGGCAAAGCGTCGAAGCAAAAATCGTGTGCACAGAAGCGTGCAATGGATGATGTTCCAAACTTTCGATAGGAAGTTTTTCCAGAAAAACACAACGTTGGGAAACACTGGTCGGAAGGAAACATTAGCAAGTAGGAATGTGTGGTTCCAAAGGCACCTTTCTCTCGGCCTCGCTCGAACACACCACGCTGCTCCGTGGCCAACTAAGCGCAATAAAACATAATAACGCCAGGCCCCTATAGATCTCACGCGTTCGTTCGTCTCTCGGCGATTTTCGTTGATGATCTTCGCGACGCGAAGAGAGTGTCTTAAATTATCCGATGAAAGGGTGGGGAAGTATCGTTCATATCGAGGACAATAAATATCATTTATCGAGGCAATTGCCGATAGACTCGCGGCGCCGCATGCGCGTGTTCGGGTTTTTTCCCCCGAGCTGTCCTCCGCGTCAAGAATCAGAAATCTCGATCGCGTGCTCCCGTTTCGACGACCGCGAAATAATTCGAGCGCTTTCGTTTCGGTGGAAACGTCCCGGAAGTTTCGTGTCGCGAGTGGAACATTTGAATACCGGCTTATCAATGCTTCGCGCGAAGATAAAGGTTAATTATTGAGCGATAATGACCGAAAAATGTGAAAAAAAATGTAACGTGACTTATGAAAACAGTTGTAACGTGTAACATTTGTTGTTGTTTCGCGAAGAAGCATTTAGACGTAGTTGCCTGTTCAATTAGGGTACCATATTGGATGCTTTGTGTCCATGGATGCTCTGTTGCAATGGTGAACATGGAAACTCGTCGTCGAGCTGAAAATAGTGCTCGTAAGTGAAACAGTCGTCTTATTAAGTCCAAGTCGTTCGGGGAACAAGGATACGAAGGAATATATTAGTAAAATAGACAGAAATATTCAATTTCTCGAGTACTATACATTCGTGGAATATTCTAATGCTTCGAAGTAGCGTATTGCGAGACGCGGTATATCAAACATTTATATCATTTATCAATAATTGTTTGAAATCGATAGAGCCTCTTCAAACTTGCAGTTTTTTTTTTTAAGTTTTTTTAACGATACTTCTAGGAACTGATAAATTTCGATATCAGTTGTATGTTCTGCATTTCTTGGTGATAAGTTACAAATCAATATAGAATTTATGACGTCACATCGTTGCAATCATGTTCGAAATGTAGAGTATAAAAATTTGTTGAATCACAAATAGATTTCGGCGCGTGAAGAATTTTTCTTTTTTTTTTCTTTTTAATTTTCCTCTTGGAGATTCGCCAGAAGTTAAGAAACACTAGCTTATGCGATACTGTAGAACTTGTACAGTAGACCAATCACTATATTTAATAAATATTCTGTAGTTTCGGAGTTTGTTTCGCGTTGTTGTGAGTCGAATGAATTACCGTTAATATAATGCAATGAGGATAATCCCGTTTACATAATACAGAGTTAAATTATATTCATGCAGGAGATCTGATCCATTATTTCCATGGATCGCAAAATGCATTAAACAATTGCACGGTCGACGACGACTCTTGGCTAATAGCAGGATACCGCGAATAGCTAGTTACAAGTACATATACAGATCCCGGCATCCCGATAATAAGAACTTCCGATATTATGGACTCTTTTAATCTCGAGATCATTACGAGGCTCTGTGAAAATATACCGCTCGAACCTTTTCGATAGTTAATTCTGTTTTGTACTCGCCGTGAAACGCACAACTGGCAAGTTGACCCCTCGACCTGTTACAATCGCGTTAACCACATTCCGCGAAATAGTTAGTCCTAAAAGCGACCAGCGACCAAGTTCGAGCATACTCGAATGATTTTGTAATTGAAATACATGTCGTAGAAATTTAATAATAATAAAGTAGCCATTATTGTAATTTTTCAGTCGAAATGTCTGCACATTTATATGCAACACGATCTGCAATAAACCAACTTGGATTTTTCCGCGAATTGAGTCATCTACGGAGTAAGGTTTCTCTCTCTCTCTCTTGCTCGTGAAAGATGTTTGAAATTCTCAGAGAGCCGGTACAACAACAGAAGGATTTTACGGTTGTACGGTTTATTGACACGGGATCACGAGATTTTCAAGGAAAACAGCAACCAGTCAAAGCGACCAAACTTTATTTATCACCTCTTCCCATGGATGGGGGGGGTCAATTGAGAAATTATTCAATGAATTGGTATCGATAGGCAGACAGCTACAGTGTGTGCATAAATAAGTATATGTGAGTTGACTATAGAAGAGATTAAAAAACGCAACTTTTAACAAATTTTTTGGCGAAATTGAAAAATTTCGAATCGTTCTGAAAAAATTATTTTTAGTTTCAGAGGTCCGTTACAATCATTTTTGGTGAATAGACATACCCCCGAAATGCTACGCATTCTCGAGAAAAAAATTACAAAAGAAATTCAATTTTTAGACTTTTTTTGTTTTAGACCATTTTTATATCATCGAACTTAACGCGCGAAAACTTTTATCCCTCGCTGTACATATAATCTGCCATCTAATATTAACGATGCAACTGTGATGATCCATGGAAAACAAGCCGGCGCACTTTCAAAGCAAAATTTCACCGTTAAAATTGTGATTTAAATAGATCAGACGCTACCATCAGCAAATAGGCTAGGGGTGCCCTGACCATGACTGCGGCAACAGACGTTGCATCTCTTCTCGATAAAAGTGGTCTCGTCCTGGATGCTTGCCACGAGGAAAAGCCTAAGTAAAATTACCTACTAGCCGACCACTTTGCGTCCCAGCTCGCCCTGGCGAAAATTCTTATACGTCTGCAAAGCCTCATGACATATGTTAGGGCCTCGTCTTATTACAACAAGTAAAAACTACCCTAAATAAGAATTTACGAATCTATAAATTTTTTAATCTCTTTCCTACATTTATTAGAAAGATACAAAATTATAAGATATAAAAGTTCATCTAGATTATCCGTTGTTCGTTACCTACATAACATTGTGTAGTGTATAAATTTTATAGTGCATCGTATTTTGAAATAGGAAAGGAGAGCAGAGTGTGTCACTGCTCTACTGCGGTGAGTAATGAGACTCCTGTTCCCGCTACGCTGATTTATTTGCGAGATCAAGAATAGTAATCCGCTATAACAAATAGATGCACAACGTCTTAAGAATTTAGATGCGTGTCTGTTTAATCCCCGAATCGGGCGTGGTACATGTCTCGCAACACCTGTATTAAAACAAGCTATACGATGTACACAATCATGATAAAAAGTAAACAAAGATACTTCAAACGTGTTAGCAAAGATTTTTAGGCACCCTGCCTCGTGTGCAGATTTCGTCGAAGCAAGCGAAAATTGATAGCTTGTCGAGTTCGTTTCGTGATTTTTTAAATCTGAAAAAAAAGTAGTGGACATCTAATTATCCTCTTAAATTCCACATAATGTATACACGTAAATTGTTAATGATTACAGTGTACTTAATAAAAAAAAAATATAACGTGTCATTTGATCGCAAATTCAGTTTGTCGATTCAACTTGTTCGTACATAGCCGAAGGCGGTCGGCGATCGTCGGGCGAGTTCGGCATCGGTCGTTACCATTCGTCGAGGTTGGTATCGCGCCTCCGCACTGATCGCGGCGTCTTATTCAGTACGTTACCGTCTCTCGTCGATGTCATCTAGAGCGATTCGTTGCCACGCGAAAACGAGTTCATTATTCGAAACGTCTGACAACGCGATGTTCGATTAATACGAGTTCGGGACCTGTAACAATCATTATTTTCTCTCATTCTCAACGGCCGTTTCGTAAATCGCGAGTAGTGCGTGGAGTGTTGATCTTCGACATGAGTTCGCGCGTTCGTGTGCTCGTTCCTCTCTGCGTCCCCAAAATGGTAAATATAATTGCAGTTTCTATCTTTACGAAGTGGTTGACTAACTTCATATTGCCAATTTGAACTACTGCGATCTCGCATCGTTCTGCCGGATTTACGGTTACGTATATGCAGTACTTCTTATTGTTATTCATATTTTGTAGTTGAATAATAATAGCCTATTGGCGGGAAAAAAATATTTCCTTATTACATTCAAAATAGAGACGAACGCGGTGGCATAAGGTCCTCGGGCAATTTGTTATCCTCCTCCATAATGACGCGACATGTCCGTCAAGCATGTCGCGCGAACGTAACCGTTTTTGTCACCGGTAACGGTTTTCGTTGTTCTTCGATCGCGATTTAATTTCGTACGCGAGCCGCCACGGGGACCTCTGCGCATTCTGTAGACCCTGTATTTTTAGTGATATTGGCACGTATCTCTAAACGATATTAGCTGCAACGACCACGGCGATTTAGACAAACCGTTTACGCTTTTACAGAAAGTGAAAAACGACGCGCACGAACGTGCGTCAGGTTTCCACGCGGAATCGCATGCATGCATAACCGTGCCTAAAACTACTTTTATTCGCTGATCGTGGCATTCACATTGCGTACATGATGCATCCTTTTATCAGATTGTATTTTCTACTTCCTTGTGAAAGGAACTGTTATAATTGCTACCTCGAGTTATGTCTTGTATGCATCTGTTATTTATTATGTTAATTTATTATTAAGATAGAGTTTCGATTATCATAAGTCAGAGGACAGTTAAATACATTATGACCTTATATTCCAAGTTAAAACAGTACCATCGAAGTGGTTAGAAAAAAAATCTTCTTTCTCGGTCATGTATTTATTTTGGTCCAAACCCACGCTGCACTATCGCCGCCGGTGGTTTCCCCCCGCAACGGGAGTTTATCAAGGTTAAATCGAAAAAAAAACAGTTACGCGAAAAAAACTAGTTTGTAGATGCAAGTCGACAGTCTCTGAAACTCGTTGAAATGAGTCACGGTTTAAAATTATTTGTCATGCTCTACGACTTTCGGTTTCCATATAATGAAATTCGCAAAGTTTGGGTAAAAATCCTTCGATCGACGATTATCGAGTCTCGTGTCCTGTCTCGAATCAATGGTCGATAATTTTGATCATTATTTATTAAAATTCTTTATTATATCCTTTGCTTATAGATAATTTCAAGTGTTATTATCTTTAAAACACTAACTTATTTTTAACTGAGATGTGTCTATGAATCACAGATCGTGACAATTTCCCGGTACAATGACCCACGATCGCAACAAAGATACTAATTTATAAACCACTTTGAATTAATGTTTGTTTTGAAATAACGATGGAAAATTATTTCCGCGTTTCGACGTTCCGACGCGCGGCGAGCGATAAATTGAAGATCGCGGGAAACATATAATTTGCGTAATAGCGCGCGTAAATGAAATAGAACGCTATGCGTGCAACGCCCCCATTATTCGAATACAGTCAACGCTTCGCCACTTGTCGCTGTCGGTGGAAGTAACAGCGATACAGTTTACACTCTATTAAAGTCAAGTGACATGTTTATTTCTTTTTCGTCGTACGTTCTTTATCCCGAATATTCATTCGAGGACGTCACTGAGAGACACGCGTTTCTAACAATGACTTAATTAATCGTTTGCATACGAACATTCGTAATGTTTACAGATGGCGTCTCGACTGCATTGCTACCCACAAATGTATAAATATATAAATTATAAATACAATAGATAGTGACATGTATAATTTTGAATTATTTACAGGTAATCGAGAGTATAATTATTCGGTTCAGTGTCTGGTTTTATTACGAGTAATCTCGGGGTTCGGTAAAGTCGAAAGATGGCAACCCTAGTCTTGGAATCCTGCTAACCCCGATCGCGACAAGTCTCGTCGTTTACTTTCTTCGTCTGTAAATAGATCGTCGGGACACGTGTAATACAAATTCATGATTTTCTTTTTCTCTGTTTCAGCGTTGGTCAGGAACGCGCAAGAATCGAGCCTGATGTCCATATGGTCGACAAGCACTGGACGCAATTCAGTGTTTGGCGCGGAAGGCGGAGCGGTATTCCCCTCCACTCGGTTACCGATCCACGTACACGTGGCGCGCACACATCTGCGCAACGCTGACGGCCACTGCTTCCACAAGCGATTCCACGATTGTCAGGTCGGTAGTCTCCCCCTTGTTTCCTTTTGATCTCCTTGCAGTTCGTTTCCTCTTTATCCCCCGCGTGTCACCGCTAACTATCACACTCTGTCGTTCTTTTCTTATCGCTCGATATGCTCATTTGCCATCTGGGACTGTTTCTCGCGGCTAACAGTATTCTAATTGATTCATTGCCTGTTCCCAATTCTAAATATTTTGTAATTCTTTTTCAGGGAGTATAAGAACGATTCGAATGTTAAGGTATAGTCCAGAGGATACACGAATTTCCAGGGAATATACGGAATAATTCACGCACACTATAATAGACTGTTTCAGAATTTGTGAACAATATCGGATATCGTTGCGTCTCAATTGTAACTCGACGATAGGGATCAATTAGCTTGTTCGTTGCTTTCATTTGGTAAATAGCGCTGTCTATTACGAATCTATTGGCTATAGTGATTCACGACGGAGTAACAGAGATAAGCATGATTCGTTGCAAAGCATTTTTGTCTATCGTCGAAAGTAAATGAGTTATTTAAGTAGTCTGTCTTAAATGCCTCATATTGTACTGTTCATCTCTGTTGAGAAGCAACTGAATTTACAGACTACGGAGATACGTTCATATTCCGTAGTGAATGTTAAATGCGTCAAACCGGAACAAATCAAATTTATCTTGTTACCGGTGGTATCCTTGGAAAGCGCGGATAAAATCAATTGGAATTGTTCAAACCACGCCACCGTCTCAGTTAATGACATAGTACAATGTGCCTCCCACAATTACATGCTAGTTAATTATTCTCGCTTTAACAACTTCAGTTCCGTTCTTGCTTCTGAATTTCACTTACATAAACCAAGCTTGCAAGAAATATTAGCACCTCGACGTTCGCAGAATTTAGTACGAGTAGCGTTCTATAGCAACTACAAGAATATATAGATACATCAAACATTTATGAAATAGTCAAAATAAACTGCAAACTTTTATATCTCGCGTTTTGTTTTTCCTGTCTGCGGGAATTAACTTATCGCATATCCTGCGTGAAACGTTACGCCTTATCTGACGAAATATTAACGATGCATGTATGAAACAGAAAGAATTACTCGTTAGCGTATTAAAATCGAATTATCAGAATCAAAGTGTGAAGAGTTGCTTTTAAAATTTGCCACGTTATCGACGATTTACAATTACATTATTTTTTATCAACTGATCGAGTAACTCGAATGTTTGTGTTTTTTTGTCTCGCTTGCTAGATCTCTCGCAGCCGCGTCGATCCACCGGTACTGGATCCCCCTCCTCTTTGCCTGCTAGGTTTTCGTTAATTCTCCTTGCGGTTTGTTTCGTTCAACACCCATTGGTTTTTTGCCCTACACGGGACATTTGGCAGGTTCTCCCATTGGCAACGACGTTGCCATCTACTCTCGGTACGTGTCTTTCTTTCTTACGTGCTTGTACAAGTTGAACGCCAATTATCTGGACGATGATTATCACCTGACATGCAATTATCCGGATAGAATCTTTTTTTTTTTTACACCGTTTTCACGCGATGCCTAACACGTAGCCTGAAGTTCTGAAACGATTGTTGTTGCATCGTGCAACGAATTACATGGGAAATGTATGCATGTAAATTTATCTTATAATACATCACCTATTTGGTACTAATCGATATGCAAATTAATATCATTGTAATTTGTTATTTAAAGAATCTATTATCATGCATTAATCTTTTTCTAAGGACAAATTAATTTGTTCTAAGCATTAGGCAACTCCTCCCTATTACCCTTAATTGAGAATCGTAATAATACTACCATGTGACACTGATTGGAATGCCATGACAACGCGATTTTCATTTTTCACGATGACATACGTCGTGACAGCCGCTGTCACGGTAACAAAAGTCGTAACTTTATGTCACGTGACACGCACCTTAAATCCGGAAGAAGTTAGATGTTGCATAATCCAGCGTTTCCCAAACTGTTTTTCACCTTATAATTTATTTATAGAACGCTTAGATTCCTTCTACATCAATTCTTCTTGGATCAACAAAAATAATACACAAATATAGTGTTTATAAACAAAAAAAAATCGCGAATTGCTCAAGCTAATATTAATGATAGAAGTACTATTATGTTCGAATATTAACAAGTGTAATCGTATGAAACAACAGAAATACGTTGGTTAACAATATCCTATACTTCAACTATTCGACAGTATACGTGCATAGTAATGGGATAAATACCGCAAAGAATAAAAATCATTTTATTTAAGTCTAGTATCGGTGTCGATCCCATCGCTATACGTGAAACAATTTCTATCGCAATGGCGTAGGTGTAAATGCGCTGTGTAATCCGATCGCGTGTCTCGAACGGTCATAAGCATGTTCGAAATTGTTCTATTGACTTGGTGCGCGTTGCTTGGATCAGCTAACGTAGCCGTATCGCGCCGCTTGATAATCCGAATCGGTGATGCATAAATTGGATCGTACGATTGGCCACTGTGCTCGCGGAGAACCGAATCACCGCTACCAGTTAACGAGCATCGTTTCGGTCGAACGTGTACTGCCACGGAGATCGGTTCGATCAGTCGCCTTTCTCATGTCACCGAATAATTTCCCTCTTCTCTCTTCTTTCTGTTCGCCAGTCGAAGATGTCGCAGTCGGGAGATGGCCTTCACACGCCGGGTTATCTCTCTTGGAGAAAACTACAGCTCAGCCGAGCGAAACTCAAAGCGTCGAGCAAGACGTCTGCTCTACTTTCCGGCTTCGCCATGGTACGCATCATTTTTATACAATTTCTTTAAAAATCAACGGCGCCATCGCTAGAAAAAGAAAATACATAAAGCTCTACTATTTTAAATAAAAATGGCAAGAAATTTTGATAATAATTTTATACGCATTTATAGATATTATAGAAAATGATCAATAACTGCTAATTCGATTAGATTACAATATTTAAAATTACGGATTAACAATTGTTTTATCGTCACAGGTCGCCATGGTGGAGGTGCAGTTGAACTCCGACACGAAGGTCCCGCCTGAGATGCTAATCGCGTTCGCCGTGTGCACGACGCTGCTGGTGGCGGTCCACATGCTGGCCCTGATGATATCCACGTGCATCCTGCCAAACATAGAGGCCGTTTGTAATCTTCACAGCATCAGTCTGGTGCACGAGTCGCCGCACGAACGTTTACATTGGTACATTGAGGTGGCGTGGGCGTTCTCCACGTTGCTGGGACTGTTATTGTTTCTGTTTGAAATCGCCATACTCTGTTGGGTGAAATTCTACGATTTCTCCCAAGTGGCTGCGTGGTCAGCGTGCATCGTATTGATACCGGTGTTGATAATTTTCCTCGCATTCGCGATACACTTTTACCGGAGCCTGGTCGCTCACAAGTACGAGGTCACGGTGTCCGGTATAAGGGAACTAGAGTTACTTAAAGAGCAGATAGAGTCGACGGACGTCGAGGGCAGAAACGGGGTGAATCTGTTACAGACCGGTGTGACGCACGTGGTCTGAACGGGTCGCGATGCATATTGTAACGCGTTTCACCCTTAAAATGTGATAACCTCTCGTGGAGGAACCAGAGGAGGGCAGAGAATCTCCGATTGCGCGAAGAGTTGCGCGTATCGAAGCAACCGAAAGACAAATTTGCTCCGAAACTACGTACCGAACACGACTGTCTTACGTATACAGGGTTACGCAAATTTGTACCAACTTGGAGAAATATGGCCCGCTGGATGTTATCCCTCTTCGTGTTAACCAGTTTTTAACATATGCACGTCATAAACAGCGTCGTTTAAAGTACTAAAGTGTTCAATTCAAATAATCTCAGTCCTACTTACCATGCGACGAGACTGCGTGATCCACAAAAGAGGAGGAGTTGGCCATATTCCCCTAACTTGATATGAATTCCTGTAACCGGATATATGTATGTTACTTCTAATGTCCCTGCAACACAAAAAGAAAGACTTCGTCTATATCTTTTTTTCTCGCAACATTGGAACTCGCTTTGCGTGCAATTTTAAGACGGAACACCCGTTCCTTTTTACAAGCAATGTAATTCCTATTATTATTCCCCGGTTATCGAAGAGCCCAACGTTCGACGGAAAGCTCAAAAACATTCCCTTTTTTTCGCGTAGCGACTTAAATGTAACGGTTAAACGATACGCAGTAGGTGTGTATTATTAATTTGCAGCAGTATCGCGTGCAAAACGGCTCGAGGAGCTCGTGAATGGAAGTTTGTTGTTCGTCGAGTATGCGTGACTGAACCGCGTTGAGTGTGTACTTATCTCTTTTGAAAACGTGCCTATTTCGCGTGGCATTATTCCGCGATTTCTTTAGTTTCGTTCGTTTTATTCACTGTTTCACGTAACAGCCTTACGCTCAAACGACTTTTTCAAACTCTTTGTACGGAGGCAAGCAAACGATTTGGCTGTTACGTTTATTCTGTTGGCGTTGCGCAACAGTTTTTATGGTTACATTGTCTCTCTTGCGTTTGTGCTTGGTAAATATACTGCCGTCATTAAGAAAAGGAAATGGAAACGAATCCACAAGATGCGGCAATTTAATTGTACATAATTTGTATTAAATGCAGTCGGACGGTTCATACGTACACAACGTTAATATATAAATATATAATAGCGGCGCTTTTGCCAGAATAAATTATACGAGTAATGTTAATTCAGCTTGTGTATTATCTCTCGTGTTATTACGTCCTGTTGTAAAGGAAAGAAGTCGCGAAAGGTACATTTATTTACAAAATAGAATCCAGACAAGTACACGTGTTTACCGACACGCATACGTTTGCGATTATACGTTTCGGTGGCTTCTTGCAAACAGGTTCGTAGTAAACGGGTTCCGTATCTTCGTTGTCGTCGATGTCTTCGTTTGCGTCGTCATCCTCGGCCAGTTCGTTCTTCCAATCGAAAACGCAAAAAATATGTACTCTGAACATACGAACAGTTACGAAGATTTTACTGTATTGTTACTATCATCGTCGTGTCATACCCGTGGAATAGGATATGGCGTCGGTCGAGGAGCTGACTGACGCCAATATAAGTCTGAAATTGTCCCACTTATGCAAGAATCGTTTCTCCATAAACCACGTTGCTTCTGGCCGGTAACTATGTGATAAAACGTGCCGCGACCTTCTTTCTTGCCCTCGACAAATTCACCCTCGTATCTATTTCCGTTTACTACGAAATATTTCATTTAAACTTTACGTAGCTTCTCACTCTAGCATCAATACCGACCTTTTTGTATATTATAATTAACGATAATCGATTTGAAAAAAAAAAATGTTCTCGATTTATACGTAGTGTCGTTAAGTAGTTAAATAGGATCGAGAACCTTTAACAAAGATTCCCACGCCATCGTAAAGATTGTTTCTCCAAGTGCCCTCGTAATAGTCGCCGTTACAGTACCAAATACGACCATAACCCTGCCGTTTATTCTGCCAAAAATCACCTTCGTAATAACTGTTATCGTTGTACCAGCCGTATCCGAATCCGTTCTTTTTCCCGGCCACCCATTCGCCGAGGTAACGTTGACGAATAATGCCATTTTTCGAAATTTTACTTAACGAGCCATAACCGTGTCTTTTACCATTCAGCCAATTGCCTTCGTATACCCATCCGTTTCTTTGAAATTTCGAATCGATGAATTTTGGTTATTTCGCAGTAATAAATGACGTTTCCGTTTTAGAACAATTCAAAAACATTTAAGAACTTTGAAAGCGATAATAAAAAGAATATTTGAATTTGTGATTTTACCACCGTTTACGGTAATCACAGATATTACAATAGTTAGTATACCTGTCTATCTCATTACCCTTGCCTTCTTTCTTATCGTTTTTCCATTCTCCTTTGTAATAACCTTTAACAAGTTGTTTAGTCCGAGGACTAAAAATGGCGTGTCGCCAACCATTCCTCTTAGAATTTTCTATTTTACGTTTTATACATGACTCTCGAATAGTTTTTAAAATAGACATTATGAATTTTTCTAGAGTGAAACTGTCGTTTTTTGAACTTAAAAAATGTATAGTATAGCGCATTTAATTAATTTTCGTCCTTTTTAAATATACCCATATATATTATTATCGACACTAATTAACACTGATGTCTTCTTAGGGGCATTAATGGCACCCAAGACTGAAATTATTCTTAACAATTTTAATTTCTATACTCTTCAAAGTAAACATATATACCAAATTGAACGTTACAAATATTGCTTTTCAAATTTAAGCGGCATAGCCTGTACTGTCAGTGCCATCTATTAAAATCGACAACAAGCTGGCATAATTTTTCATCAACAAATTTTCGTTGAAACATACAATATTCTCAATATTTAAGCATTAAACTTATGTATTTTATGATGCATGTAGAAACGAAAAATTTTAATTAAGAGCAGGTTAAATGTTTCTACTATGTTAGAAAATTCTGCGACAAGCATAACGTAGTACAGAGTTCATTATAAAATCAATATTTAAAATTAGTACTAAGTATAAAAAAAAGAAAATAAAGACGAAGCAATTAAATTTCATAATTTCTCTTGTACCTCGTTACTAAATTTGAAAAAATATTCGCCGCACTTAACTAAACAGGCACCAGTGCAGAGCGTCCCCTATCATAAAGTTTCGACGCGTTCGTGAAATTTCATGAGATCAAAGTGTCGTGTTTTCCTCAAAACGAAAAAATCTGGGAAAGGGAAAATTTTCACGTGAAAAATCTTCACGTACGTAGAAACGAATTTTATCTATGTTCTCGTGCCAGTGTCCATAGATTTTCCATGAATTCAACAATCACTATCGGAGACACCGACGAAGAGGTGATTGATTTGGACTCGAGCCAAGATACCATCAATGATCTTAACAATGATCAAACTGAACATTTTAATGAAAGAAACTTATCATCGAACAACACTGCGAACGAGACGGATACTACCAGTGAAAATGCAGAACATAATACAAACGCTTCTACGTCGCAGATCTGCGACAATGCGTCTTATACTTCAAAACCACTTGTTAAGGTTATGTTTCGAGACGAAAGTGTTTCACGGTGAGAAATAGTTTGTTTACTATCAACCAGTGTATACGTTATGTTTATTCGAAAGTTCTCAATTTTCTACCGTGTATTATTGTTCTTGATATATTACCGTGTTAATTGGTTAAACAATGCTAGTTGTTTGCGCGTTTTATTAGTTTACATTAAGTAGAAATGCTCTGTATTGGTCGAATTGTGATATAAGATTTTTGTTGTCATTTAAACTTGTAGAAACTATTGATGAAATTTGACTGTTAAAATTTGGGACACCCTGTACATATTAAGATAATTATTTATAAGTTCTATCCTGGCCTCTTGTATTGTGTTCTATTAATTTGTGTTTACATTTTTGTTATCAAAATAATAGCCAGTATGGTAAACAGATAAAAGAGTTTCTGGAGGAATTGATACCCTCGACGTTTAAAAGTTCAGAAAATGACGGTTTGACATTGGAAATTTGGGATAATGACATAGACTCTGCGAGTCAATCAATTGAAACTATCACGGAGAGCGAAGAGAGTCAAGATATAATATGCGACACTCTATTTACAGTAGATAAACAACCAAAACTTAAAGACGATCTTGATGTCCCGACGTATGGAAAGGTGCATAGTTTTATTGTAATATTTAATAATTTATACATCGCATCATTATATATAATTAATTATTTAATATCGTGATGTATACCATTTTAGAAATATGAAAATGTATTTGAACATAACAAGACAGAATCAAAACAGGAGGAAAAGGATGACTGTCCACCAAAATTAATGTGTTTCAATTGTATGGATAATCATAATTTACGAGATTGTCCAAAACCACGCATTCAGGCTAACATTAATAAAAATAGACAAATTTGGAATATCAAAGGAAATTCTCTTAGAAAGTCTGTTAGATATCATTTAGACGATGATCAAAGATTTAGCCACATGATCCCTGGCCAATTAAGTAGTAGTCTACGAAGAGCATTGGGTCTTAAAGATCATGAATTACCTAGACATATATACAGGTAAATATTATCATTCGTTTCATTATAGAATTTGATATTTTTACTGTACACGTTATATTTATATTACTTTTGTTGTAAAAGTAAATATTTTATTGCCGTTATATATATGTAAACATATTTGAAAATGTTTTCCCTTCCTAAGTACAGTAAAATGTTTCATTATACAAATGTTGATCTTTATGTCTGAAAAGCAGGTAGGTTTTCGTTTTTCGAATGAATCTGTACACTCTACTTGTATAGGGTTTTTTTCTCTAGGAGGGGAAAATTTATGGTTTCTGATATCCTTGTAAATTTCATAGTCTCTGTAATTGATCGGTTGTTTAACTTCACATTGGGCCCACTTGGTCTGTGTAACTTTACGAGCAAATTTGTCTCCCCATTGGTTCAGCTAATCGACATTCTACTGTATAATCAGAATAGAAATACAGATATGCAACAAGGTTTTTCGCATAAAAGGACAAACAGTTTTTATTGTTTTCGTATGTTAAAATATTTTTCTTAGAATGAGAAAACTTGGCTACCCTCCAGGCTGGCTGGAGGAAGCACGCTTACAACACTCCGGTTTGTCGTTATTCAACTCCGAAGGTGTCGCAGAAAACGATCCTAACGAGAAGGGAATAATCTTTGAGGATGGAGATAGAGACCAATACGATGTAAAAAAAATATACGATTTCCCTGGCTTTAATGTACCGCCTCCAATCGGTACTCGTGACGTAAGCAACATAAAAGATAAAACGATTTTATTAGTTGATTCATAAATCTCGTATATTACAAACTCATTATAAATAATAGGAGTATAGGCAGTATTGGGGAACACAGGCACAGAATCTTCATAGTAAGGAAACAATGTTGATGATGCTGAAAGGGAAAAAAGCAGACGATGGATATAAAAGGAAAAAACTCAAAATAGCTAATACCGAACTAAAAAATAATTTAACACCGGAATCTACTGCGATGGAAATAGAAGATTTGGGAGGTATAACTTATAAATATTTATACTTCTTGGGTAGTACTATAATGGGATGTATGTGTATGATACAAAACTATTTTATCCTCTTTTAAATAGAAAGTATAGTAGAATGTGTATCTGTTAATGGACTTTTTGTGCCGCCGTTACCACCGGAAACCACTGTGAAGCCACCAGAACCGCCGTTACCTTTAGTACAGCCAGTATCTGAAGATTCAGACTATCATTCGTTGCAAGAATTGCAATTCCCTGAATCGCCGGTACTATTTATATTATTCATGATTGTAACAAAATACACTTGTCCAATTTAACGATCCACTAATTTTACGAACAATTAGTTACATAAAATGTTACAGGAACATAGTGCATCGCCATCTTCTCGCACGAACTCACCGTCATTATGTGACTTAGAAAACATGAAAAAGCGGTTGCTAGTAGAGATAGAGCTCCAAGAGTCAACGGGTTCGCCCTCGAATCCTAATGTTTTGTCGAAGAATGACTCGCCGATGTTAAAATCAGATATGCCACCACCTAGTAACGAAGTGACGCCGGAATCGAATCGGTTGCGTCAAAGTACACTGAATTCAAGCTGTGGGAGTGTGAAATCAGTTGATCTAGGTACACCCGTTTTGCAGAGCGCATCTCCGTACAGCAAGTTGCCGCCGTCTGAGAAGTTTTCAAAAAATATTTGCGACGTGATCAATTTCGTGAACCTGCCGGATTCAACGGGTAAGTACGAACAAATGACTGGGGTTTTACAGAAAGTGAGAGACAAATTAGCAGAACTTCAGCAAGAATGATTTCAAAATGTTTGGTTAAAGTGCATAATGTAGAGTAGATTATCATTACATTTCATGAGTATAGATTTTATATACCGCAAATAAAACAATAATTCTAATTATTTATGAGTGTATACAAAGGTACATAAGCGGGGTTCAGTGTAGCAGTCTCTTATTCTTTGTTCCAAACTACGTGTCATGTTTAAATAGAAGTGTTTTTAACTAAATTTAATTAAGAATAGTGAAAGCAATATATTTATTATTAACCATTATCTTGAATATGAAAAATGTTTAAATTATATTCATCATCATTTTGAATCATTATAATTAGTGTATTAAAGGATGATAGAATTCCAGTTTTCACATAAGTATACATGCCAGGGCAGGGGGGGGGGGGGGAGTTAAATTCAATCGTCCTTATAATTGGTCTTCCTAATTTCGCCACCAAAAACGAAAGGGAGGTAATAATTTTTAACCGAATTTGGGAATGTCTCACTTTTGAAAAGTACAAATGTATAGTATTTTTCTAATTAATTATTGGCATTTTTCGTACGATATATCTGTATGTACATGAATAAGGCCACTCGATAATCAGCGAGAAATTTTTAAACTTCATTCTGTTATTCAACTAGAACATTCTCATGTAATAATTTCTTTATTCCACGTCGTGTAATTTTCATTTATGTATAAGTATAGTTCGTTTCAGAATTGGCGAATATCTTTGTTGGTATAAGATATTGGGCATATATCTTGATAGATGTTATAACAAATTTATAGTAAATTTTCAAATAAAAGGCGGAATAAAGTAAGTACACGTATTTGAAACATTCGTCCTTGAAACTATGTGATAATAATGAGTACCAGTGAGGTATGACTTGAAAACACTTGGTTTTCCGTTTATTCGTAAATAAACTATCCAATATATTACACATATGTGCGAACAGATGTTTTAAATATAGTGCAAGTTGTGAACTGAAAATACTGTTCATTGGGAAACTTATACTTTTCTGTTCTTGCCTAAAAACTTTCAACTTCTGATCGTACCATAAAGATCAGCCGTAGCAAAACATTCACCAATTCTAAAGAACTTTGTATATATGTAAATAAATTAAAAATTTGAGTTTTACTATAATAATAATAAGGTAATAATGCAATCATTTCAACGATACATTTGAAACGTACATCTCTTGTTATTCAATCTCTAAAAGTCGTCTATTTCTCATACAGTTGTACAATATGTAACATGGAAATGTTAAAATCGTGACAAAATAACAGAATTCAATGCAAATACAAGAAAAGCAGCTAAATATTATTAAGATTATAATTAATAAATCTAAATTTTTAATTTTGTACGTGTTCATTTTCGGAAACGAAACGAAAGGTGTATGTAGTTACCTACAAGTTTTTAATTACATATATCTACTTTCTTTTTACGAGCCGTAAATAGTGTTGAATATGTATAAATTGTTTGTAAATATTGTTTCCATCGATCATTAAGCATTATACATTTTCTCTTTTTCCCGAGATAAGCATTAAAACGTAATAGTCATTAAGCAAATGAAGATGTATATTATTGTTTGATTGAACAATGATGAAACTGTATTTTTTAAAAGCAAGAAATTAAAAATTTACCAGTAGTTGCTGTTTTTTTTATAAAATATCAATCCGTTTTCACACAGTGATAAAAAAAGATTAATGCGGTATAAAATATAATGCATGATATTCATTTTATTGTCAAAAGTATGATATAGGAATGTACAACAGTGGAAGAGATAAATTCATTTATTATTATTCTACTTTTAATCTACATTTTTTCATAGTAAAGTCATCAAACCTTAAATTTATACGTTAAGATTCTTTCATAAAAAATATATTCTTTAAATTCCATACATTACACTAATTTATGTAGGGAGTAAATTAATAATTTTCTAATATATTAAAAACATTTTCTGAATACTTAGCTTCCTTTATTTATATAGAACGAATTCTCTATAAAATTGCTATATTCATACTTAGCTTTCTATCCCGATTGTACCATTCCCTTTAATGAATTAAAATATCATAATACAGATCTTTAAAGTAAAATGAATGAGAAACGCTCTGATACATACGTCTGCCATGTTATGAACAAATAATAAATCTTTAAAATATTTTCGAAGCACGAGAGACAGAGAAAGAACGGGTAATTTTTTGATTTGTATAAACGTATACTTTTTAAGTGTACATAAGAAATTACATTTCTTATTCACAGATTACGTATATGTATTCTAATGTTACATAATTTGGGCAAATCGTTAGCTATTATCCTTTCTCTACTCTCGCTTTTTTCACAAGCTCGTGAGATTCTACCATTAAAATCCACACGATAACATGTCGCATTATCATATCGCACTTTTAAAACGCTGTCGGCGGTGGTGCGGGGTGGTCATCGTTCGAGTCCTACAAAAATTGTATACGACAACATTAAAAGTTTAATACGAACATAATCCGAACTTAGTGCGTTAAATTTAAATAAAATACTGATATATACCGAATCAACATAAAAAAAATAACAATTAATGAGAACAGTTTAAATAGCAACACGCACACGTTCGTCGTCTCGATCTTTAGTGTTGCCGTTTCTCAATCGACGAAGCGTGTTCGGTCCAAGAACGTACATAACGAGCACGAATGCAATAATTAAGCAAGTCATGAGAAAATCTGAGGACGCCAGTGTGTCATTTGGTCTCTGCGCTAAAAAAAAAAAAAAAAAAAATAAATAAAAAAATGAAACAAAAATCAAAAGTTAACGCTATATTAACGAGAAGCAAGGAATACGTACTCCGCGGCGGGCTGATGCATGCAGTGTTCGAACAATAATCCTGACTCTGTCGCAACTGAAAAAAATATAAATGTTATTCGCGTTTTAAAAAGATTATTTCGTATAAAAAAAAAATGTTTTCCTTCCTTTTTTTCGCAAGCAATGTAATCAACCTGCCAGTTTTAAACAGACGCGTGCTACGTCATCGGTAAATATGATGCTTGGCAATGGTTGTTTATACTAATAAGTCGAACGGCTTCGCATACAAAGTGTCTCAAAATACTTTTTGTAACGAAACATTAAAAACATACTGCAAAATTGCAAATCAAATTTGCAAATATATTGATAAATTTTTATTGGATATATGCACAGTAGCTGATTATTCGGAACGAAAAAATTCAGTTAGTGTCACTTACGATGGCGAGCAGGCGTTGCGTAGCCAGTTCGTGGTCCCATATGCATTCGCGAGGATCAAATCCTTCATCAGCCATCGTTACAAACGAGTTCTGTATAATCACAGAATATACATGTCACATATATGCCTGAAATTGAATTACTAGTTGTCATGTAACGTGTGCGCTGATTAGGAGAAATAGTCTCTACCCTATACGTTCTTACGCGCTGGCGATTGTAATTGGACGTATGTCATGTCATAACAACTATCCTGGACGAACGCAAAATCGCGAATTTTTTTATACAAATTACTTTCACGGTAATTTTTCATTAATAATTGTATATTATAATGTATAATTAAATACATACAATGTATCAGATCGTATCGTATACACGACACAAATGCACTTAAATTATACCGCAACCATTATCAAAAAGGAAAGGAAATACACGTAGATCTAATCGTCACAATTCTGCATTATTGTAACGTAATATTTTGTGTGGCAACGATACAGTCAATAACGATGCGTAAGATACAAGAAAATTTAAAGTTTTCAAATTATGCAGAATTATTCAACAATTTGTGTTTGCAAAACTTATAGCGATACATACTTTTTTACATTATTTAAAACAATTTAATAATTATGTCGATATAGGGACACGTACAATGTATAAATATAAAAGGAAATATTTGGATTGTTCAATAAACCTGAACGATAGGTAGTCGCATAAGAAACCATATTTACATGCAGTAAATACGAAAGATCGAGTTTGCATACGTAGAATAAGATTGGAATTTAGAACACAGTATGGGTGGCGTCATGATTATGAAAATGACATATGTTGATAGAAAAATTACGGTAATTTAAATTGTTCGAACACCCAACGAAGTTATAATCGACGAACGATTGAAAATACGACATTCTCTCGTAATTTCTCGAACAAATGACAATCGTGGAAAGCTGAGAGCATAATGAGAAATAAATTTACGTACCTGACCCAAAAGTACGAAACGGAAATAATACACGAACGAGTATTAATTACTTTTTAATTAGCTAGTGTTCGACAGTACACGGAATAAAGATACAGACCCGCGCGCCGTATTTACATTCGTCACAAGCCCAGCTACGTATTATGCTCCCATTATGCTTGTCGCCAGTGTTACCAGACGGCAGACCGGTGACCGAAGGAAACTACCCCCTCCACTTATACACACTAATACACAACCATTTGTACGTGTGTCTGTGCTTCGGGTAGCTTCGGGAATTCGAGAGAGAAGGCCAGTGTGTCTTTCCTTCTCGGTCTCGATACAGTTAAAATCTGACTTGCACGACAGGACCAGTGCCATGAGGAAACTACCCTTTCACTTTCGTATGCCGTTTGACGCAATTCAAATTTCAGTAAGAAAGTTCCGAAAGGTTCATATTCGCCTTCTTTCTCGAATCCCCGAAGTTCATATACGTATGGCTGTGATTAGTATAGGTAAATAGAGGGGCAGTTTCCTCTGGCTCTGGTAACACTGCTTGTTACCTTCATTTCGATGCGTAGTGGAATATAGACAGTTTTCATTGGTGTTCAGATGACCAATCGTTGAATCACAAATTGTTCAGCGGCAAATGTATAATTATACATTAAATTAAATTATATATTAAACATTAAACTCTAACAGTAAGGTAAAGGGGCATTGCAAAGGAAAAGACAAATGATAATTCACATATATTTTTTTTTATAAGGAACTTCACAAAGTTGGATGTTTTGACAACAATGTTTAATCGATTAGCACAGTACATTTCGAATATTACTCCAAGTCTAAATTTTGTATCTGAAATACAACGCAGAATACAAATTAGTTTATATTAAACAAGATCTTTTCTTTGTAAATAATGGAAATGCGTACCTCTTGTACTTTTTGCATTTCTTGCGTTAGCAAATTATCCAGTATCTCCTGAAATCTTTGTCTCAATTTAACATTTTCAATATTAGCAATTTCAAGTTCTTGTTGTTGTCTTCGTTGTCGCAATTCGGCTAATTCTGCGTGTAACGTTGCAAGACGTGTTTGCAACAAATCTAGAAATGTAAAAACAGAAAACTTTTATTTGTATACACGCTTCTAGTATAAGTATACAATACCTTTTGATGCTGGAGCAGATGGTATTTCTGAGAAATCATCTGGAATTATATATTCCGAATGGAATTGTTCCATTTTAGGTAATTTTGATATTGCATCTACTGGTTTATCACCTTCTGTTTCACAGTTATTATCGTTCTGGAACATTTCCTTCTTAAACTCCGTGACAAGAGTGTTACTTGTTGTTGCGTTGTGATTAGATCTTTCGGAATACGTGGCTTGCATAGAATTAGAATCTGACACTCTGCTATCTACCGAAAGTCGACTATTTTCATCCAATTCCATGACATTTATGTTCGCTTCTTCGTCGTCGTCTTCGCTATCGCTAACAGGCTCGCCAAATATATCATGTTCCGCTACATTTAAACATTACGAAAATATACAAACTTGAACTACATATTATATTAATTAACTATATTTATATGATTATTTAGACCGCTTACCGACATCGAGGCTTTGAGAAGTATTACCATTAATACTTTCCCTTTTAGTTTTTACAGTACCAGACGACGATACTTTACTTGGCTTTGATTGATCTTCATCTTCGCATATTACTTCCCATTTAACATTAACAGCATCATTATCCACCCTTAATAAACGCTTCACTTCCTTCTCAATTTCCGGAGCTTCTACGTATTTCTTTTTCAGAGTTTTCCTGAATCTTCTACGTCTTACGTTTTTAGTAGGAGGAGTTATACCATGTGGCCATAAAAATTTTTTGTCTACTTTATTCGGATCTTTCTTCTTTTGCCTTACAGGGGATTCTTCATCCGTTGTAGTGTGATCATCTTCTTCTTTACAAATCAATAACTGTGAACAATATATGTTATGTGTCCTTGTTCTTAAAATTCCTAATTGCAAATTCTCTTACCTGGCAGACATCTGCAGTTTTGTAGAAACTTTTATTGTCAATGGTTTTTAAGGATTCCACAATTGTTGGCAGGTCAACAACCTAAATTTATGGAATGCTTTTAGATATCTTATTTTATATAATGTAAACAGTTAATACATATACATTCATATATTATATATTGAAAATTTAGAGTATTGATTGTAATCACAATTAATTCAATATATATTTTTATTGATAAGAATATCATAACATTTATCGAAAGATGCAAATATTTTCTGTAACTCACTATAAATATTCAGTCAACGTAAACATTAATACATAAATGAAAGAAAATTGTCTGCAGACAAGTAACAATATTCAAATATAAACAATTAAACATACAACATTATAATTTTACCTTTGTATGAAGTAGCCAATGGTCAAATCTAACTTCACCATAACGCATATCATTCTCCAATTTTATACTCAGCCTATCTTTCAAAGGCAAACCACTGCGTAAAATTTCTCGTAAGACTCGTGACGGTTCCTACGAAAAATAGCATTTTTCTAAACGTAGCAAATACATTGTTCTTACTTTCATAACCTCAAATAATTTACATCAAGGATATTAATAACTTAATGTAATGGAAAATGGAAAATAAAATTACCGGTGGTAAGCGTAAAATAAATTGACTTTCTAATTCCACTAGAGGTTCGCTGCGGGACTTAGAATCTGGATTTGGATGACGATTCATGTTCCTTCCAAAACTTTACGTTTCGACTTGGGCGTTAAATAAATGTCGCGACAGAATTTCTGCGTTCAACCTGTAGATTTAACAAATTTTTTAGCACGTTACAGTTTAATCGTTAATCGAATGATTTATAATTTGCGGATCTATACATTTTAATTTGATGTCACACGTTCCATCTTACAAGTTAGTAAACATACCGATAGAGCCTATCAGTGACAGGCCGACTTTACGTCAGTGTGGCTAGATTTAGCATAATCGAGTGCATCGAAGTCGACAATAGCGACGACGAACTTCCTTAGCATCTAATGGAGTCGTTTGGAAAGCCGCGACGTAGAATTTCGAGGGTATGTCTGTTGACCAAAAAATGATCGTAATTGACCCCCGCGATCGAAAATAATTTTTCCAGAATGATTCGAAATATTTCATACAGGAATATTCGTAAGTACGCAAAATAAGTAGCAACCGAGGTATTTCGAATTTCCGAAGTTTGCCGATCATTGCCGAGTGGACATTCAAATTCGTTGTATCATTTTATCCCTCTCTAAGCAAAGAGTGATATCTCTTATATATTTACTGATATCTACCAGTGTCTTTACTCTTGGGTTCAGCCGTTCAGCATTGAACGCTATGAAGTATCGTTCAGTTACTTAATTCGTGATTGTATTATCTTAACATCGTATCTCACACGATAGCTGTTCTTCCGATAATTTTCATTTATATTGATTGATTGCAACGTAACATGCGAAGATACACACGGGCATCGATACCAATAAATTTCGGTAAATAAATTCGTTAATTGCACTGTTCGCATTACCCGCGAGTCTTAAATGTTTTTGTTCGTTGCTTTTCTGTTTTCTAAAAAAATGGTACCGGCGAAACGCGTACGTTGCGCACTTTCTTCGGTAATCTTGATCCATTATTCAGTCGCAGATTTCTAAGAGTTTCGATAAAAAAAAACATTTTGCACTTGCGTACAGAAATCGTTCGAACGATATTCTTCCAACCGGGTTGTTATATTTTTGCTGTTATTAAATACTTAATTAATCGATCGAACAATAAATTTCATTGGATCGTGTGTGTATATGTGACTGTTTCGTTACCACACAGAAAGATTACGTTATTTCGAGAAGGGGTTTTCAGCTACCGTTGTGTATAAAAGTTTTGTTTTGTAACTTTTACATCAATAATTGCAACAACGTATTGCGCGTCGTACGTTTTCGTTTCGAATATCTTAACAGATCCATATGTTTATAGTTAAGCTATAACAGCAAGTGATCAATGGAACATCAGACTTCACGTTCGCGCCGTCGTACTGCTGACGTCTGTGTATGTCGCTTTCTTGCTTCGAATGTTTGTAATTACATCAGTGAAAAATAGATCAATTCGCAAAGTGCTTTGTACTCGAGGATTAAAATTTTGCATAATGGTGAACTTAACAGTTGCCACCTCGTATTTTATGTTTTAATAATCGATCGTTGTGTAATTAATCGCCGTGATATACGAGTATTGACTGGTCGAATAGTTGTTCAAAATCAGGTAAGTCATGGATACTTTATATAATATTTTTTTTTTCGCTTCGTAACAAATCACTACCTACCCACTACGGCAAAATTATCGATTCTTGAAATGTTGACAACATACCAGGAAGACAAATGGAACTAGAAACTTAGTTTGCATATTATTTTGATTTTATTCGCTACTTTTTGTCATTATCGAAGTAACAATTGTTTTGCAAATAATCATCCTTAAAACCTTAAGCGGTACAGATATTTATTTGTCATTACATAGCACTTCTCGGTGACACAGATTATATGTATGTCCGCCGTAGTCGTAACATGTAATTTTCTTAATTCTGGTAATGTATCAGGTAATTCATACAATACTTTTTTTTACCTTACATTATACGTATTTATTCATCTGTCTTTTACTTAATTATTATTTCTATTTAAGAAAGAATTATGTTATTAATTGTCGTTTGTGATATTTGTCGTAATTATGAAACAAGCTGCCTCTGTGTTTAAAATTTTAATATTTAACAGGTCCATAATGAGTTCTCAACCGATTGTGGTACCTGGAGGTGATCATAGGCCTCAATCAGAATCCCATTCTATGTCTGTTGGAAGTGCTTCTGATTCTTTCAAAACTATGACACCGCCAAATGTTAGCCGATCTCTTAGTAACCGTAAGTATGGTTTATGTTCAACAATGTTTAAATGTTGTTCTTGTGTTATTAAAAGTAGATGTCTTGGAAGGTTTTAAGGAGAATTTTTCAATTCTAATAGCAGTAACGATTACATTATGATATTAGATGTGAATTTCGCAGCAATTACATATTACACGTTCAAAAATAGATGCGGATTACAAAATAATTTTGGTAATTATGTATAGTGCTAATTGACCTTGTTAATTTTAACGGTCTTGAAAGTATGTTGGGAGGGATTCGTCGCTAAGCATTTTAAAGCAAAAAGCATTCGTTGCTTAGTTTTAGTTTTTAAGACATAATTATTAAAAATGTTGAATAATAGTATAAATTAATACTTTGGATAGTTTTTCTTATCCCAAAGTTAGAACTATATAGACCATTACAGAGCCAAAAGTAATTATCCAAAGTGGTTTTTTCCTATTTAATAGATAATAATAATGAATAAAGATACAATTTTTAATAACTGTATTTTGAAAACTAAAAGCAAGTGACAATTATCTTTTACTTTAATACACTCGGTGGCATATTCCTTCTAACATACTTGAAGGCTATTGAAATTAGCAAGAGTGTCAATATTGTATACAAGGTGTCTCGCAATATCATTTGATATATTTATTATTTGATGGAACATACGAAGAAACATAAAAAGACTGCTTTTTATCATAGAGTACAAATTTTTTTTTATAAATTTTTCAAGGTTACATCAAGGTCATTATCTCGAATGACACTTATTGCGAGATACCTTGCATGATTACCTCGATTTTTTACTTAACACAATAATTTGCCAAAGTTTAATTTACTTATTCTTTGTATCATATGTTATTTGTAAGCGATTTGAATCGTTTTGTATCTATTAGTAATATGTTCAATATTCTTCAGAAGTATTTGGTAGTATTCATTTATATCTATAAAGTTTGATTAGCAAGGGATATTTGTTTAGTAATTAGCTAAGTGTTCATTAAGGTATTGATAGCAAAAATGATTATCATTTAAAGGTATTAGTGACCGTGGATATGGTACATTACCAAGTAAGCTAGGTAGGCTTATTAATATGGATTGTGTGTATAAAGTAGTTCGTGGTATTAGAATCATGGAAATCAATAAATTGTGTGTGCGTGGTGTCTGTGTGACACTTTTCTGATTAGTCATATTATTAGTGTTTTCTCATTTTAAATAATAAATAATTGATTGTATTAATGTTTTGCATCATTACATAATTTATAAGTAACATATATGACATACAAATCATGGACATTTATTATTCAAACATAATCTTCGGTAACATTACACATTTGATATCGTTATTATCATACTGATATTACAATAAGTACAACAATATAATGCACTATTAGAAACATCAAAATACCATCTTATCATGTACAATCAGATTAACATAACACATTTATGCTGTTAGCACATTTTTCACTTTCTAGTATATGAAAGTACATTACATAACACATAGATTAACTCATGAATTTTTTGAAAAGGTATTATGTGCAAATTAGTACATGCTATATTTCTTAAAAGTTGTAAATGTACATGATGCATGAAGCATTTTAAAATGTTCAAACAAATTGCATTTGATGAATGTTGTTAGCTTTTAGTAATGTTCAATTCTGTAAGTACTACACAAGGTTCCTATAGGCCCAGTGTTTGTTTGTATTGTTTAGGTTGTCCTAAATCCATTTGTCTACAATGTACAAAAAAAGATGCGTTTAGAATGTCTTAACAAATAAATTTTATACATGCAACTATTTGTACATGTATTTGTATAAACTTTCATTGAAATACGCAATATTTGAAGCAATATTTTTTTAGATATTTCTTTAACAGGTCCTTAGGACCCTTGCATAGTATGAATGTTACAAATGTAATGCATAGTGGTTATAGGTTAATAATGTTGTATTTAATTTAATACAAACTATATAAGTTCCAATATTTATAATGTAAAACCACACATGTTTTGTAGTATAATATGTTATTTTTGTTCTAGTGCATGCAACCTTTAATAGCAAAATTGCATGATTTTGCATGTATAGTAATATGTATATGCATTTTTAATGCCGATTTTCTATGCATTTTTAATTAAACAGATACAATTAAAATTAAAAATCGTATTTTTTTCTGTATAGTAATTACCTTTTATTGCAAATTCTGTCTTTAAATAAGAATTAATGTTACTAACAGTTCACAATTGGTGTTGCAAATACAAATTTACGTTTTATCGTTTAATTTTAGTCTCTTTGTTACTTTAGTTAATTGTTAAATAGTTTACAACTCAGGTATTCAAAGGGTTTGTGATTTAAAAGAAATAGATGTGTACACTTGAAATTACTGTTAAACTATCGATGAAAAGTACTTGTGACTGAAAATAAACTAAATATATAGAACCAGTGGATCAACAACTACGACGGAGCAGTGCTCAAGTACAATCTGCGACATTACCTAAACTTCCATCGACAGAGTCCTTATCAACAAGTGTAAATTTAACAACTGCTGCACCTCCACTATCTCCAGGTATAAATACAAAGTTACATTAATATCATCATGGCAACAATTTAAATATTTGCCAGGTGCTTCCTTAACTTTTCTGTGAAATAGTATACACTTTCTTACCTTTTAAAGTAGTTAATTAGCTGCAATAAAATGCATTCTTTCATTTCTTGTTCGGCTTGCAACATTCACCTATATACTATGCATATGTATATTGAATTTCATAATGTCTATAATGCAATCTTTGTACATTGTGCATTCTTATTTGGCCAGCAGAATATTAAATTTAAGTATTAAACAGATCAATTTAAATACAAGCCATAAGTAAACAACCAAAATTTTGTTATAATTTTATTTATTGATTTTTATTTAAGTTATAGATTATTAAGAATATAGTTTCTTGATGATTAAAATTAAAATTTCTAATACAAAAGATGCTAACTGTATAATGATTTATGTTAATAAAATTGTGTTATATATAATAATATTATTCATATAAAGTACAAAATTTTTATTGTACTTTATAACATCTAAATTGCATCGTGGTTTTAAAATTTCTTCAAGTTCCTTAACTATGTGCTTCTTTTCAGAATGATAAGTTTATTTTCTCATAAAAATATGAAGATTGGACTTGCCAAGCTTGTTATGTGAATGTTTTAACCTGAATTATTTTTAAGGCTTCTAGTATTAATTAATTGTAAATATCGATGCTATCTTAAACAGCAAGAAATTATATTAAAATTGCTAGATCAAACTAACGGCAGTCTTATGATATTATTTGTCATGCAATAATTCATGATGTCATTTTTCAACTTTTAGTAAATATTGTCATCTGCATATGTTAATCATCCTACAAAGCACACTTTAATGAAAAAAAAAAAATTGGGAAAAATTTCCTTCTTCAAACTTGAAATCATTACTAAATCAATACTATATTATATTAAGTTTATGTGATAGCTCATTTAATGTATAATGTACTATATGCTATAAGTATAATATTTATTAATATACAATAACCTTATTGAATAAGTAACAACTATTTAATATTTTTGTGAATAATACCTTTAGTAGATTAACATTGTTAAATTTTACGAGTGTAATATGTATTACGATAATGTTTATATTTACTCAATTTGAATAATTTAATTGTTATAGGACTAACTGCAATGGGAGAAGGTAATCAGAAGACGGATAATGCATCTGATAAGGTATAAATTACCATGTTCGAGTATCCAGTTTGGACTTGTAAAACAATAGAACGATTTTTACTTAATTTTGCATAATTTTCAGTCCTTAGATTCCTGCAAATTGACAAGAAAGGAATCGTATAAAGCTCAAAGGAAGAATTATAGAATGGAAAAGAAAAGAGTTGCCAATGAACTTTTAAGATCATTTAAGGATCCAACAGTCATTGTGATGAGCGATTGGCTTAAAGTTCGTGGAACATTGAAGAGCTGGACAAAACTGTGGTGTATTCTGAAGCCTGGTTTATTGCTGCTATACAAAAGTCCAAAAACAAAAGTGCTCATCTATATTATTCTTAATTTAATATTTTTTTATTTCATTCAAAGTTACGTCCACATAATTATTGCAGAGTAGTCATTGGGTGGGAACAGTCTTACTTAATACGTGTCAAGTGATAGAGCGCCCAAGCAAAAAGGATGGGTTTTGTTTTAAATTGTTTCATCCCTTGGAACAATCAATATGGGCTCCAAGGGGACCCGAGAAAGAAGCTATTGGTAAATAAGAAATTTTCTATGAATTAACAATGAAATTAAATATTTTATGAGATCATGTAACAACACGAAGTATATTTTCAGGAGCTGTTGTACAACCGTTACCAACATCCTATTTGATCTTTAGAGCTCCTTCACAGGCAGCTGGTAAATGTTGGTTGGATGCGCTCGAACTGTTTTTACGTTGTTCTTCGCTAATAGTACGTTCCACAAGTGCATTGCCACGTGCTCTGATACACGATACTACAACAACGCACGAAACTCAGTGGAGCGAAGCAGATTATGAAAAACATTTTGACGAACACGGTGAGTTTTACAAACTAACAATTTGTGTGATTTATGAAATAAACTCTCATGTTTGAAAACTACTCTTAAACTCATGTTAAACTATTTTCTTCCTCTTGTATTACTGTTGTTCAATATTCTACAAACGCAAATAAATTATTAATATTTTTATTTGTATCGTAACAGTCAAGAATCTTAAGACAATTCTTTGCTTTAAAAAAGATGTATTTTTAACCATAAGCGTGTCAGTTCCGAACATTCCATTTTCATGTACATTGTATATTTTACACACAATTAACCCTAGTAGAATGAGGTCTACATTCAGAAAAAATATTTTCTTAATTTCTGTTTTCGAAGATTAGTAATATTAATCTTATCGTTATTATCGCTCCTTCCCTGGCATTTATCACCTTAAACACTTGCTTTCAATATCCGCAGTATGTTTATCTGATTATGCTCCCCGATCACCTACAACAACTCAAAAACGTTTATTATCATGCCCACAGTCATTTTCGCCTTCTATAATAGACACTCCCAAAAGTGGTTGTCCCTCACCAACTCCAATGTTTCAACAATTATATAATGCAGTCATGCGATTGAATCTGGATAAACAATTACGTGATAGATCTCCAACGCCTGCTACAGACACGGAGATTACAATTTCAAATTCCGTGGGGACATTAGGTGATAGAGATATATATTCTAACATATCCAATTTTAAATTTGTTACTCCGAAACCTATTTCGTCTTCCGTTCGGCGCATGACTGTTCCCTCTGTACATGTCCTTCATTATGACACCCAAGTAGTAACGCTAGATCCTATGCACTCCTCACATACAGACCTGGACGACATTAGCCAACCAGAGAACGGAGTGGTAGCCGATGCAGAGATTAGCGCTTCGGACAGCGAATCTGAAGGGTCAGCTAAAGAAGATCAACCCGAAACAATAAATGAAACTCCGTATATTGCGAACGAAAATGAAGTTCTTGGAGTGGTAAGACAAATTGTAGCACATAGTTTATCGTATATTTATAAATTAATTATAAACAATAAACATTTTGAATTACAGGCAGGCGAGGTCGTTGCCGAATTACAAGACGACCAGAAGTCCTTAATATGGTTCTTGATGAAACAAGTTCGACCAGGCATGGACTTGTCAAAAGTAGTTCTACCAACCTTTATTTTAGAACCTCGTTCGTTTTTAGAGAAATTGGCCGATTCCTATTATCACGCAGACTTGTTATCCCTGTAAATATATATTTATATAGATTTTGAGAGATATTTGTGCACAATTGGAACTATATATATGCTTTATTTTTTTATTCTCACAGAGCAGTAGTAGAAGATGATGCATTTACACGCATGAAAGGAGTTGTTAAATGGTATTTATCCGGTTTCTATAAGAAACCACAAGGTTTAAAAAAGCCATATAACTCGCTTTTGGGTGAAACTTTTCGTTGCTATTGGCAGCATCTTAATGGTTCAAGAACTTTCTATATAGCCGAACAAGTAAGTTTTTTTTTATTTCTCATATAGTTTCAACGTATCACCGTAATTACCATTATTGCGCAATCATTATTAACGGTGACTAGTTGTAAGTGCTTTTATTTTAAAAATTGCTTTGACTTTTTGTAACGTACTTTTATAGTTATCTCATCATCCACCTATATCAGGGTTTTATGTTACCAATCGTCAGGATGGGTTTACTATTAGTGGTACAATTATTGCTAAATCTAAATTTTATGGTGAGTCATATTCCAACTTAGTGCCATGTATAATGACACAAACGGAAAACATCTGGTTTCCGTTCTTATAAAACGTATCGAACGAAAGTATATATTTTCGTAGGAAATTCGACGTCAGCGGTGTTAGACGGTGTTGCAATATTGACCATGTTACCTAGAGGAGAAGATTATACAATGACTATACCTTACGCTCATTGCAAAGGTATCCTTATGGGTACATTGTCTATGGAACTAGGTGGAAAAGTTCATATAAATTGCGAGAAAACAGGTTATCATACTGAAATAGAATTTAAGCTAAAGGTAATGTACACCTTGTATCGTCTTCTGAACAAATGTTTATTATTTAAGACGGTATAATTATAAGAAGGGTACTATTGATTATTATTAATAATAATACTCTCTTAAATTATTTCATCGTATTATGTACGTTATTTTATCTGATAAATATTATGGTATAAGTATTAAAAATACTTATGATTTTGATAATGCACGATATACCTTACCTATAGATATTTCCATAAGCAAATCATTTAAAATGAAAAGTGTAAAAGTAATTTATCATTGTTTCGATAGCCATTCCTTGGTGGTGCTGAACAAATGAATCTAGTTGTGGGATCGATACGTCTTGGAAAGGAAACTCTTGCCACTATATCGGGATATTGGGACGGTCAGATTTTAATTACCGATAAACGGACAGGGGTATGTAACATAAAATTAATTTCAATTTGATATACAGTACATTAAATTAATCTTGCAGCAAGAAAATGTATTTTTCAATCCAACTCCAGAAGTGCGTAGAAACAGGTTGAAGAAATATACCGTGCCTATGGAACATCAAGATTCGTGGGAGAGTGAGAAATTATGGTACGACGTTACGCAAGGAATCAATCAGGACGATCAGGTTGCTGCTACTGTCGCTAAGACCCAATTGGAAGAGGCCCAAAGGGAACGTGCTAAAGAACGAAAACTCAAGGGGCAAGAATGGATTCCTAAATATTTTGTTCAGGTATTAACAAGTAACGTTACTTTTCAGTTTTATAGTTTTTAAGAATACTTTTTATTAATGTTCGAATTATGCTTTCACGTCTCTTAAGAAGTTTCAATTCTCGATAGGATATTATAACGGGTAATTGGGTTTATCGACACGCGGACGTCCGTCCGTGGGATCCCAGGAACGATGTCGTGCAATACGAGCAAGATTATATTGTGCGTACGAAAACTAGGCACAAGACACCAATTATGCGCGCTGGTAGTATCGTTTCAGCCGATCCACAAACACAGGTAATAAAATGCATAATGGATAATTAGCGAGCTAAATTTATATTTATGTTAATTATACGTACATACTAATAGTATTGAAATTGTTCCAAATAATCATTGAATTGCATGTTATAGAATAATTAATTCTGCATGTTCCGCTATTTTATTTGTTTACCAGTTTATTATAAATGTATTCAAATCGTAATAAAGTTCGTTTTGCTTAACAAAATATCTTACATTTATTACAATCAATTGTTTGCTTTTATAACGCTAACAAAGATTTATATTTTTTAACAAATAGAACACTTTTTTAAGATTCTTAAATTATATATAACATGTTTGTACAGTAGAGAATTAATTCCAGTTGTTCCCATATAAAAATATACAGTAATTCGTATTACCTTAAAAATCAGTTGCTTACATTGCAGGTTCCGCTTCTTCAAGCTGAATCTCGTTCTTCGCTCTCTGTATTAAAATCTTCGAAAAGACAATTATCTAACAATTTGCCATTAACAGAGACGGTTCATGATTCTGGAAGTTCATCCGCAGAGGTACACTCGGATTCTAGTCAGTCAATAGGTAAAAGAAAGCGTTCTACTACTAGGTAAGATTTACAACAACGTCTAATAATTAGATAAGGACAACGAACCTCTGAATAACAACTTAAAGCTGGAGTAAATCCTATACTGATTTTATTTCAGAATAATAGATGTTATTAAAGAGTTAGAACGTCAAATGCTAGAATACGGTGAGAAACTTAATCGTATACAACGTATAATAGAGCAACTTGCTATAAGACAAAGAGAACACGGCGATCAACAAAATAGTATAAGTATATTAAAGAACTTCATAGATACAATTCTTGTTATTGTAATTGTTTTTTCTGTACAATACTTTGTAAAAATATGGAACGAAGAACCTAGTGGAGGTTGAAGTGCCTGGTAAGATCACAGTGTATATTTTATACGTTATTTATCTTGTCTCAATTCGAATTATCAGCTTTTGTCTAAAAAAAAAAACCTTAAAGGGAAAAAATCCTAACATTTAAAGTACCTAATTTACGCGTGCTTTTGGTGAAGGCAATAAAGCACGGCTGTTTTGGTAGAATGTTGCTAAAGAATAGAATAATAAATTCATAGATTTTAAGGAATATCTATATAATCGCAGTGCAATCTTGTTTTACTTATAGTTTTAAACGGTTTGGTTAATGCTATGTAGAATAATCATTTTTCTGAGTTTAAGAAATCTGGGGTTTCTTTTCTAGTGATTAGTATAAGATTTTATAATTTTCATTGAACGGTCCTCGTAGCAGCAGAGAACTATAAAAACTGAAGAGATTTCGAACTTTTACAGTTTCTTTGAGCTTATCATGTACATAATATTTTCTATAATAGTGCACGAAAAATAATTATATTTATTCAGAGATTCTAACGATGTTGTAGTATTTACTGCAGTCGCTCAATAGTAAAGTATAATGATAATAATAAGATCATTGTATAGATATAATAACACACTTCTATAAATTTAATTATATCATCCTGAACTACGAAGTACGTAAAAGGGGGAAAGCTAATTGCTGTTCCAAGTTGAATATAATATAAATTTTAAGGCGGTCACCAAAAAATGGATAGCTTGAAAATATTATTAACTGGTCACCAGTATTGTTATTGATTAGATAATTCATAATAAAAATAAGCGTAAAATATTAATATTGCCCGTATAATATTCAATGAGAACTTCGTCCAAAATTTTGGAAGATAGCTTAAGCCATAAAGTTTGTTTTCTATCATTCATATTTTTGTATTGCTGAATTTATTGCAACATATTTGATAAGGGTTGTATTAATACGTTTCCCACGTTTAGGAAGACTCGTATCGATAATGCTGTTTTATACTTCAGCAAATTGAGACAGATTTTAAGCATGGATGCCTATAAATTACCGCAGCGCTAAAATTTATTATACATTTCTTGCAACTTTAAAGTCTATGGATACAAAGCGTTTATTAAAAGATGGGGGAAGCTGAAGTGTATAAATTCCTCGTGCAAAGAGGAATCGAATAGTCTTTTACCATTTTTTAATCGGAGGCCATGTTTTTTTTTTTAATATAAATAGTTACAATGTCTAGGTATGCGAACGTCATGGTCATATGTTTCACACATAAGAAACACATGGTACAACTATAAAGACTTACATTTCGAAAATGAAATCTCATCTTGCAAAATAAAATAATAATAGACTTTTCGATTTCTCTTCGCATTAGGAACTTTCATATTTCGAATTCCCCCACTTTCGTGAACAATCTACAGGGTGTTTCAAAGTTAAATTTGAAATACTTTACGTATGAATTTGGGACCTTAAAATAAACAAATTTTTCCTCTGGATGTTTGCTTGCAAATACTTCCTTTAAGGTATTTACTATTAAAATTAATAAGAGTTAGAAATGGATGAATTGGTAACCTTCGTTATGGGAAATACAGGTATTTCAATCTTATCCATTCCTAACTCTTATTAATTTTAATGGTAAATACTTCCAGAAAAAAAAATTTGTTTTACGGGCCTAAATTCCTACGTAAAGTATTTCAATTTAATCTTGAAACACCCTGTATATAACTCTTGATACGCAAAAATATCGTTCCTCTGAACAAAGTATTTTCACAATAAAAATACAGAAATCGGTAGTAACTTTGTTTGATGGTATCAACTTACTAAAATTGACAAAACTCATAATAATAATAACGATAATAATAATAGTACATTGGTTAAAATTGTATAGAAATACACGAGCATAAAACATTCGCCAATATTGAATAACAATAATTCAGTAGTAAACGAAATTGGGCTTTTACTTAAATAACGTGCAATAAAATATAATTGATACTTTCCTAATATCATATAGGAATCCTTTTCAAATTTCTAATTTTTTTTTTTTTTTCATAGTTCGAAAAAGCACCGTGTGCATATTGTAATAGAATAAGGAATAACAGTGTCTTTTTATAAATAACGTTGCATTTAGTAATATAGATCTAGTTTTTTGCACGGAATTAAATATTGGTACGAACAACAGTCGCATAAAAGTTCGATGCTTTTTTAACAATAATCTTTTAATTATAATTATTTGTTCTTCCGTGCATATATAATATGCATGAATTAGTAAATAACAAATATTTTTGTTCGTTGATATTAAATATTGGCTTCAAATATTAATTATGCAACTTATTAACAACTAAATGCTTAAGATCAAATTTAATTTATGTTGACCTATGTTATATATAAATTCTTAAAATATCAAATGATTAAGAAACATTCCTTACATGTTGGGATATTTATTCATGGAAAGTTCAATCTTTCGTTACCACATTGTAATATATACAGGGTGTTCGGCCACCTCTAGCAAAAATTTTAATGAGCGATAGTAGAGGCCAAAATAAGACGAAAATCAAGAATACCAATTTGTTGATGGAAGCTTCGTTAAAAAGTTATTAACGTTTAAAGTGCCGCCCTTACTGAATTTTTTTTCTCGAAAATGCGCAAGATTTCGGGGGTATGTCTGTTCACCAAAAATGTCTGTAATTGAACCCTACAACCGAAAATAATTTTTCCACGACGATTTGCAATTTTTTAATTTTCTCGAATAATTTCACACCTTCACTATTTTTTTTCTCGAAAGTGGGCAGGATTTCGTGGGTATGTCTAATGACAAAAACTGATTGTAACTGACCCCCGCGACCGAAAATAATTTTGTCCACAACGATTTGCAATTTTTTTTCTCCGTTGCAAAAATTTAGGCACCCAATTGGATTTTCAGTAGGGAATTTTTTTCTCGAAAGTGCGTACGATTTCGGAGGTATGTGTAATGATAAAAAATGATTGTAATCGATCCCCGCAACCGAAAATAATTTTTTTAGAACGATTTGAAAAATTTTTTTTCGCCGAAAAATTTCACCACCTACTCGATTTTTTTTCTCGAAAGTAGATAGGATTTCGGAGGTATGTGTACTCACCAAAAATGATCGTAGTTGACCCCCGCAACCGAAAATAATTTTTTCCAGAACGATTTGAAATTTTTGAATTTAATTGTTAATAACTTTTTAACGAAGCTTCCATCAACAAATTGGTATTCTTGATTTTCGTCTTATTTTGGCCTCTACTATCGCTCATTAAAATTTTTGCTAGAGGTGGCCGAACACCCTGTATACATATATATATTTTATGCTTAGAACACTGCAATTAGCTATGAACTATCCTATAAATGTTTTAATATAAATTTTATCGATTGATTTTTTATAACCATCGTTATTAAATTTGTTTTAATCTATTCGAATTGACTAAATTTACATTTGAGGCACTTTTAAAACGATTCGCGATCAAGCATGGCCTTCCTAATCGATGGTAGCTACCATATTTTGCACAAATATTTATAATATGTTACGATTTGTATTACTCTTATTGCTAACCTTTCTTTTCCTGTACCTAATTGTAATAATTTGTAAATACGTTGGAAAGGGAATCGGAATTAAGAGTACAGAGATAGGAAACAATATACACGAGTGTATTGTTAACACTTATTTCATGTGTGGTGCTGTGTATTACGAAATAGATTATTTTTTGTAACGTTTTATCATAATCTAAAATATTTTCTGTAGAGTACCTGATATATTTGTATTGTAATTTATTTAAATCTAACGTCTTTTTACGTACTATGCATAGTTTACTGTTTACTAATTTCTCGAATTGCTTCTCAATCCTAATTTGTTGGCGCTGAACTTGAAGATTTACAAATTATTAGAAATATCAAAGTCGGATATAAGATATCAGAAAATAGACAGTTATCGAGATATGTTGAAAATTTTAAATACATATACATATTTTATATAATTAAAAGGATTGTATAAATGATTCTTAACAATATGTTACACTGTAGCTGTATTAATACGTACACGTATATCTTTTTAAATGTTTGCATTGTTTCGGTTGATTATTTACATTAAGAGCAGATAAATATTGTAAGTAATACACATATAAATGCTATGACAAATAAATAACATTTAAAAAATAATTTCGATGTTTCATTTTAAGTAACCCGTTTCGTGTCCCGTATTCAAAAATTAAAATTGATTTTATTTATCGCAAAAAACGATATTCATTTTTTTTTTTTTTTGTATCAAAGCGCATAAATAACAAAACCGAGTTTTTATTAATAATTAGAAATTTCAGTGATCGAGCAACGATTCCTAAATTTAATAAGAAATAATGCACTCGGACCGAAAATGTTCCCGAAAAAGCAACCATAATTCTCATACTACGAAATATACGGATGATCATAATGACAACTCGTGTACATCAAGTAAGAAATAGGAAAATCATTAATTATCGTCAAAACATAATTTTCTTATTTCGCTTGGTAATATTTTCAATAATTTCCGAGCCTGATTTTCAATTTCTTACATTACGTTTTAAGTGTAGTATAACTAATTATTTTATTGCAACATAATTGAAAATTTATTAGCCAGGAATCATATCTCAATAACACCACAGATGATTCGTACAGCAATAAAGAGATTGCAACTGCATAGAGTTTATGTCAGTTCAAATCTCATCAGTGAATATTTACGTCATAGTTATCCAGTTAATAGTAACGTAAAAGCACTTAAAGAGGAATTGAATAAAAAATTGGATTCTGCTGTTCGCGTCGGATTAATAATGAAACATGGAGAAGATGCATATTGTCTGCCAACTTTGCGTGAAGAAGCAAACAGGCTTTAAACAGCATTCACTGCATTCTGGGAAATGTACATAAACGTAAATTTGGATTTTATTATAAATTCTTTATGCTTCCTTCCCAATTCCCAATATTCCTCATTTTCCCAATATAATAAATTCTACAATTTACAGAACAAAGAGCAAAATAAAAAGCAATCTACTTTGAGAAGGAATTACTAAAGGTATGATTAAATAAACAAAATGCAGCCACAAAAATAATAACAAACACTTAAATAAATAATCATATATTCATGTGTATATCATCAGTTTATTATTATTTTATATTACTCCCTCGATCGTAATTTTACAAATTATGTTATATTTAATTATTCTGTACAATTCAGTAACGAAAAAGGATTGTTTGCATCATAAAATTTTGATTCGAAAGTATCTTCGTCCGCGCTAAAATATTCTGTATCATTATCGTCTGTATTTTGGTCGGCCTTTGCGTGTTTGGACTTTGCTCTTTGTTTCTTACGGGGATTGATATCATTTTGAAGATATGACGCGAACAAAGGCGTTACCGTCGACAAAAGTGTAAAAAACACCCTCCATAGGCTTGGAGAATTTTCGAGAATTGTATTTATATAACCTTCCATGTCGTACCGTGTTTTAAAATTATTAGCTATATTGTACAACAGAGTACCATTGAATAAATTGGCCATTTCAATCTGTGGATAAGGGTAGCCTAATAATGCATTCAAATTCATACCGTGTCTCAAACAATTTTGAAATACCGCAAACGCATGAACGATACATCTGTTAAATTTTTTTGTATTTGTATACAATTTTCGATCCATCTCGAAATGGGAAATAAAAAATGGTGCTGCCATAAAACAATCATCAGGATCAACATTTTTACAAGCTTCATCGAGTGTACCAACATCTGTTGAATCATGTGGTTTACACGTACTCGTTTTTCTTTTCTGCCTTATATTTTCAATTTTTGTACCATATTTATTTTGAAAATTATGTATAATTCTATGTTTCCCAATTTTTGTATCGATTATATTGAATAATAAACAGACAAATACAGAATACACCAAACATTTATCTGATTTGTATAACTCATCCTGTTTTATCCAATACCGAGCACATGCAATATACAACATCCATTCTGGTGGTAGTCCATATATACATTCTATGTTTCTAATCTCTAATGTATCATTTAAAATTTCTCTACGAATCGTCAATGGTACATCTCTAAGATTAGATAGAGACAGTAATGGGGAAGAAAATTTAGCGTCAGTGCCTTCTAGTTCGTAACATTTAAGCTTTTTGTTACAGTCTCTCATCATGTATTTCATGAAACCTCTCCTTCTATTCATTCCTGATTGCAGAAATGCATATATATTTCTAATAATTTTTAAACTTATTAAATTGCTCGATGGATAGGAATAATCCTCTATTTGTACAGGACAAATATATAAACGTCTAACCAACAAGTCCATAAAATATGCAGGATAATTGCCCATAAGAAATTCATCTACAAACCATTTAGGTACATTAGCTAGTGCATTATTGGTAGCTGATTCTGACTCTTTAAGCATGTCTAATATTTCAACTTCGTTTTCTTCCTCTTCTTCTTCTTCGGATGATTCAAAGTCTCCATTTTTATCGGTTTCTTCTATGTACATTAGACTATTAACATCTCCGTCAAATTTGAAAATTCTGTTTATGGAATGTGTCGTGGCACGTGCTGCATATTCCTGCGAAAAACCCAATGGAACAAGTATTTCTGCAGATGCATTCGTATAGCCATTTATATTGGTTTCTATTATGCTTAATATTTTTTGTCTTATGGCTTTAGGCGATCTACATAGTATTCCAATGACTGCTTTGTCCAAGGTGTATCCGCTCAACCATTGTAAAGTTGCTTCTATACAATACTGTCGATTACTATACCTTTTTCTTGTTATTCGTCGTAACTTCAAATAACGAAAGAAGTTTCTAAATGTACCACGTTTTACATAATCATTGCCTAGTAATATTGCAGCTAACGGCAGCGTAGATTGACTTAAACCTCTATAAGAATTTAATAAATGTTCAACTTTATAAATTTTACAACGTTTCGTGTAACCATTTCCAGTTGAACTTTTCACCGTGTAATTGTCCAATGTATCGAACGGTACGTACAATGTCCCGAACACATAAAAATCTGAATCATAACTCAATACAGGACAATTCAATATCCTCGCTACAGCAGCTATAGTATTATCAGCTTCGAATAAACATTGCACATGACGAATAGTCTTCTTTCTCATAACATCTTTGAAAACTTCCTTAATATGTAAAGGAAAGAATTTCATTTTCTGTTGACTGATCGGAGAAAATGATGATGCTGTACGAATCTTTTCTTTCGTTCTAGATATAACTGTTTGCAGTTTCTTATCCTCGCAACCGCCGTCGATCAAAACTAATGGTACTACATTGCACTTTAACAAATCGTCAAAAAAATCCGATACTCGTTGAGCGTATTTATCGTAATCGCCGCCAAAAACACAATTGCACTTGCACGAATTATATATTTGACAGCTAATGCTATTACCATCAATAACTAAATACGTATCACGCAGCTCGAAATGTTCCAAATAACGATCCGAACGATTGTTTATAAAAGTTGTTAAACCTGGTATACCCATTTTGAAACCTATTAATTTACACTTTTCTTAATGTTTCATATCACAAACTAAGTTCGTTATGCGTATATCAATATTAGTTTTTATGCATTTATACATAGGTTGCGTGTAACAGGTACTCAAACTTTGTGTCATTCGTTGTTTTATTTGAATCAAAAGTTTGTCAAATATTATACTTTGACTACTTGGATAAATCAAAGAAATACAAGAACTGTGCATAATATTTTTTCATTGATCTTTACGATATTACAAACCGGTATAATAATGAATAAAATTAGATAGTATACTGATCTTGCATAATTAAGTGCATTGACGGGCGACAATACTAACGACGAATTTCCTTAGCGTTCAACAGAGTGGTGGGAAAAAGCCGACATATCTTACCGTACGAGCCACATGTAACACCAGGAAAGCACTTCATTCGACTTCGGGAAAACGATAAAGAACGCGAATGGGATCCATTTCAGAACATTTCTGCATCTTTAAAACATTGTAACTTCCGAACGGATTGGAGGATTTTAATGTTTCAAATTGCAAACAACGCGTATTTTGGTGAAGAATATGTAGAAATTCTAAGAATATTCGAAAAGTTGTTCCTTAACGTTGTAAAGTGAGAAAATGCTCAGAGAAATTGTCAATTTTCAAACGATCACAACTTTTACAATAGTAAAACTTATCTCATTGAAATTTTTTCTAGAAGATGGGCTCATGAATACCTATAAAAAAGTATTAGACAATCTATTATCTATTAGTCATCTAGAAATTGATCTGGTAAAAAAACTAAAATAAAAATTAATAGTTATACAAGAAAAATAAAATTAATTCAACGAATATATACAAATAATATAACCTAGATAAATAATTAAAAACTAATTGTTTGAAATAATGGATTGGACAACCCAACGAAGTAAAATAAAGAAAGGAACCATTAGAAAAAGAACAAACCAACGATGTAATACAGATAAAAGCTGAATGGCAAATAATTGTATTAATTAACGAGAGGAACAACCCAAATATTACATCACCTATATATATATATAAATGAAAAAGACAATATTGGGATTAGTTATATTAATAGTAGTTATGTCTATACCAAATGGTGATTCTTCCTGGTAAGCATCGCAGAAGATATCTGAAACAGAAAATACGCGTGACAGTACCCCTGGCGGTTCCGGGAGTACTGAAAAGAATTGGTCAGTTGTGGTCACTTTTATGCAGTCGAAGAAAAGAAATCGCTAGCCAATCAGCAGCCAGTCCGCTGGGGGCGACACTTTATTAACAAAGGTTATAAGAGACCCCCAACCGCCAAGCAAGACGGACCGTATCGAGATGAAGAATTTAATTGAAGATTTCCATTCGATCAAAATCGAAGATGGCCAAGAAGATGGTTCACGAGCAGCGGCCAAGGGGCAAACCGGTCTTTTTAAAGACCAAGAAAATCTCATTTGTGGGAACAACTAAACTGAACAACTTTTATATTTAACAACTCGGAGACTTTACATCTCTGTTATGGAACAACTTATGCAATAAACTGAACATGGTATATTTGCCTATATAGGCGAAAAATATACAAATACAAATTGAATTTATTGAATTTACATGCGGCTCGTGGTGGTAAGGTATGTCTTGTTTTCCCACCAGTCCGTTGGACGCTAAAAAAGTTCGTCGTCACTATTGTCGATTTCGATTCGTTAAATTACCACCAAAATTTATTCATAAACGAACTTCCGTTTACGTTTAATTTAGAGATTTGAATCTATCAACAAATATTTCAAACCGTTATCCGGATGTACAAATAAATATCAAATTTTTCTTGTTAATTTATATCAATTGCCTTCGATTATAAGCTTTTTCTTTCGTAAAGGAATTAAATTAACAGTTCGAAGAAAAACACAATATTTGAAATGGATTTATAACTGTTTTATTCACAAATTTTTATATACATTTCATTTTTCAATAACCAATAAGATTGGTCATCTCTCTAAACGTACCGTTTTTATACATGGTCTTCCGTATCTGTGTTTGGCTTCTTCGAGAAAGGCGTTCTCCATTTGCCTTACAATTTCATTAAAAAATAAGTTCGATAAATGCGAATGGATAATCGATTTAAATTCAAATGATAATGAAAAATCAATTACGCATGTTTGTACATTATTTTTTAATCCTGGACTGAATAACCACAGCGTGTTTAAATGATTGAATAATTTGCCGTCTGTGCACTCGGCCTTTACCAAACGTGGCCGTATCATTGTCACTTTCGATGTGTAGCTTTCATGTATAGGTGGAAATCCTATTACTAAATTAGCTTTGAGAATGTCATCGTTTTTCGATATAACATCAGATTTTTTACAAAACGGCACGAAATCTTTGTAATTGCCTACATCTGTTACAACATCGTATATTTGCTCCATCGAAAACCTATATATGTATAATAAAACGATGTTTTGCTCATTTCCAATAACGTGATCTATCGTGAGATATTCAATCCTTATATATATAACTTACCCTATTAATTTACGACCTTCGTACTCTTTCATTTTTGAAGTTTCAGCCATGTACATTCTTTCTGTATATTGTTTATTAAGATTGTTTTTATTATGTAGTATAACATTTTCTAATAATAAAACGCGCCTGAAAATAGTATCGATTTTTTCGATTTTAAAATCAATTGAAAAAATGTACGACATTACTAAAGTTTAAATAATGTTAAAAATGATAAATCTATGCAGCATGACAATGTACTCGTTTCTTATTGAATTTACAAATTATTTTAACGAACAATGACAATAATTTCCGATAATAAGTAGTAATGATGCACAGAAAAATGGAAAAATGACGATTAAATTTATATAAATTAGGTTATATACATTGTGTTCATGGTCCTTGCGCCGTAAATAGTCTGGCTATTAGAATTTTATACATATATTCTAAATTATGCGTTATATCGGATGAAAGTTCAAAGATACGGTACATAATTACAAAATGACACGAAACATAACCTACAGAAATAGTGACTTTGAATTCGTAACAATAATGTAATTACTAGAAATACATCGATAATACATTACCTATACATGATGAAATAGTTTGTCGAATTCACTATTACGTGATGTCAGTAAAATTTACATGTACAAACAATCTTCATATAAAAATTTGGGACTCTTGGATATTATAGATTTTCATAGGTACACTTTATTGTTTTTAGACTAATTCTAAGTATTGTATTTGCGTAGAATCTATTTTACAATATATATGCTTAAACATACGAAAATGAGTTTATAAAATCGTACAAAGGACAAATACGTATACACAAAGTATAAGTGCTTATATGCTGTAATTTCGTTTAAAAATAATATGGTATTTTTATAGATAAATATCGCATGATGGTATATAACGTGTACGAGACATTCATTTTGCGTAATGAAACGGATATTTATTTATATCAAATCGTTATTAATAATATATCGTTGAATTCCTCAATTTTGTTACATATGCGTTTAGTTACACAATGTTCATTACATTTAAAAAATAGCGACAAACTTAACGATATTTATACGTGATCGGGTTTAAGCAATTTTTGCACGTTTATAGACGTCGAAGGAAATTTTTGACAATGGTTTAAGCATTCGCGTTCGTTCTCGCATGCGAAGCAAAGTTACGGTAAGGTTGGTACTGTCACGTGTAAAAATTACATAACACAGGTACCGCAAAACGTTTTCACTTTAAATCTATTTAAAAAAAAATGGCTGGTATCGGTCCGCAGGCTTGCAGAAATGCATTCCGACAAGTAAGTATACGTTAAAGCGTATTACTTGATAATAATGGAATTTTTTTACCGCAATATACTGTTTCTATTATTGCGACGTATTATGCAAAAGATCGATAACAAAAACAACTTACTGAATTTCGTTACTAATGTCAGATCTCTTGTACTTACTTGTATATTTTGACATTCGGTGATAAACGTAGACAAAATTTTGTTAACGCCCTAATTTAGGAATACTGTTAATATGGAATAATATTTAGTAGTTTACACATGCTACAATGCAAGTGTAATAAATGCAACCAATTATAATTATATAATTTTAGTTTCTCGTTTTTACTTATCGAAAACTTAATGAAACGATATTTCGTAATTAATGTATGTTATCGTACACATTTCTCACAAAATTACGAAGTTCGTTATGTACCGACACTGATTTAATTGCGTAAGATTAAATATCCATGCACCTTTAATTTAGTAAGGTTTTTTGAATTAATTGTTTGTCCAAATTTAGTATTACGCTAATCTCTATTCGTGTAATTGTAAATTTAGGTTAGAGGTTTGCATACCTCTGCTAGTCAAAATGCCGAAGCCAGGTTGAAAACTTTCTCTGTATATCGTTGGAATCCTGACAAACCAGATGAAAAACCATACATGCAAGACTATAAACTGGATTTAAACACGTAAGTTTAAAGATAAAATTTTCTTCTATGATTTTTATTGTCCATATTTTATATGCGCAATTTTAGTTGCGGCCCGATGGTTTTGGATGCATTGATTAAAATTAAGAACGAGATGGATCCGACATTGACTTTCCGTCGCTCTTGCCGCGAAGGCATTTGTGGTTCTTGTGCTATGAACATTGGCGGCACAAACACGTTGGCTTGTATCAGGTAATCGATAATTGTTATTTAAATTGTAGTGGGAATTGAATTCGACTCATAAATAATAATACTTTTAATTGTTTCAGCAAAATTGATACTAATTTAAGTTCACCGAGTAAAATCTATCCTTTACCACATATGTATATAGTGAAAGACTTGGTACCGGATCTAACCAACTTTTATAATCAATACAAGAGCATACAGCCATGGTTGCAACGTGGTGATGGGCAAAAAGCTGGATCCAAGCAATATTTACAAAGCGTTGATGACCGTAAAAAATTGGTAATTTTTTATATTATGCGTCTGTATATTTTCAAGAAGAACACATTACAGTTTTAACTTTAAATATAATTTTTAACGCAGGATGGTCTCTACGAATGTATCTTATGTGCTTGCTGCAGTACCTCTTGTCCATCGTATTGGTGGAACGGTGATAAGTATTTAGGACCTGCAGTACTTATGCAGGCTTACAGGTGGATAATTGATTCACGAGACAATACAGCAACAGAGCGCCTCGAAAAATTGAGAGATCCGTTTTCGGTGTATCGTTGCCACACTATTATGAATTGTACGCGCACTTGTCCAAAAGTAAGTCTCCGAATAATAATTTAATAATTATAGCATTAGCTTGAAACTAATATCTTTCTTTAAATAGGGTTTAAACCCTGGAAAAGCAATTGCGGAAATAAAGAAACTGTTAGCCAATATTAGTGAGAAGAAAAAGCCAGGTCTTGATGCTGCTGTATAAGTAAGTAGAAGAATCTAAAAGAGATTAGTCAACCATGTGTATTTTTTGTTCAACTTGGTTACATATAAACGTACGTTTCAACGAATAAAACTGCATAATGAACCACTCGAAGTATTTGGTAAAACAGCGTCCGCTGAATCCAAAAGAAATTTTTATGCAATAAATTCTATATATTTAAATTATATCTGACGTTTTTTTTTACTGTAAATAAAACTCAATACCCTGATAAAATAGATAGATATTTATATTTGTATTGGAATTATTTATTTTATGTACATTTAACACGAAAATAAAACGTAATATATTAAAACCCGTTCAATGGATACAATGTAGTATGATTAAATACTTTATATTACATATTTTATATATTTATGGTAACACAATATTCTTAATATAAATTTGTTGAAACATGTAATAAGTTTTCAACGAGTAAAACATTCTTTGGATATGTATTTTTCTCATTCCTTGCATTTAAAACAAATATATTGTTTGTTCTTCTGATATTTAATCAAGAGGATCAATTCTTAGCATCAAAAATATATGCGCATATTATGCTGTTATTAGAAACTCATACATTACGGTTGATAGAATCGTAGGAAATTATGTGATTATTAGATATGTTGGATAACTGCTACCAGCAGTAGTAGTATTTAAATATTTTCAAAATTTTAATGTTTGCTCATAGTCTGCGGTAAACATGCATGATATGCATAATTGAAAACTATCTACAAATTGTTTATAACTTTTGAAGATTATGCGCGTTACAATATCTAAGGCTCTGCAGCCATTCTGCTTCTTGCTGTTTCCCTCGATCGATTGTGCACTTCTGCCGTTCGTAGAGTGATACCAAATATATCCTCGTGATAGCGGTTTTCATCCTGAAACGATATAAATCTCCTTAAATATTTGGAATCTATTACTTAATTATGTTCCAGTGTACGACTCACGCGTAGTGATAACATATACGCTTCGACTTGCTTATCCGTCATTTCACCATGAGTTTGTATTATGTGTTTTAAAGTTTGATAAACATCCTCCGCCATTGTACAATCACCGCATACGTAAAAATGACCTCGTTCGTACACTAACATATCATAAATTTGTGGAGCTTCTGCTAGAATTAAATCTTGTACGTACGTCTGTAAAAAAAAAAAATAATTTTATAATATTAAACGATTCGTATTTCTCGTCAATACGAATTAAAAAGATTCTGTTCAATTTTTAGATGAAATCAATGGTCGAAACGTTTAAGTAATACAAGAATCTTGATTGTTTCAAGTACAGTACCTTCTTTAATCCAGGTTCTCGCGAAAGGGCTAGAAAGACCTTATCTAAAACTCCGCCTTCTATCATTTCTTCTTTCTCCTGCCTATACAAGTCCAAGTTTCTTTGGCGACAACCAAAGAATAACCAAACTTTCCCATATTCAAGATCTACAAATATCTAATTATGCATATCGTTTATTTATAATGGTACTGATAAATAAAAAATAATACCTGGATTACGCCTTATTTCCGCAAGTCTGTGATGCCAAAAGCCACGGAAGGGAGCAATTCCGGTACCAGGACCGACTAATATCATAGGTGCTTTCGATGCGATTGGCATATAAAAATTAGGCGCACTAAATACACAAAAGAATAATTAATATCTCTTCTATAATGTGAAAGTCAACTTTTAAAGAAATGAAATCATACAAAACAATTTAATTCCTCGTTTTCGAATGCATGAATGTTCTTTTGCATTAAAAAATCAGTATGTATCAACTTACCTACGTACAAAAACATAGAGAGGTTCTCCGTCTGATATCTCGCGTAGATAATTAGAACAGACTCCATAATGATCCAGTCCTGAACCACCTATAATAGATGTATTCTAAATAATTAATTTCCGATCGAGGCATATTCTAAAATGATGTGAAAAATCAAGAACCTTGTGTTTTGTATTGTACAACGGCGACAGTAAGATGTATCTGTCCTTGATGTACATCAGGAGATGAAGAGATGCTGTAAAATCGAGGTTGCAAAGGGGTCAAATGAAGCAGTAACAATGGCGCAAGTGGTTTCACGGATGCAAATTCATCCAGTACTTCTACCAAATTCGGAAATTTCCAATGTCTCCAATCTTCGTAAGCTGCTGGGTCCTGTATTAATAAAAACATTACTTAAAATCTGTTACAACGTTGAAAATCAGCTATTTTTTTTAGCTGGATTACTAATAGGATATTTACAGAAGCCAGAAGATTCAGTTGTGCTTGTTCTTTTGCATTAGTAGCTATAGATGCAAAGTATCTGAGAAGATTTGGCGTCGGTGGTGTTGTGATGTCCAAAAATCTGGTTAATAACATTCTCAGAGAATTGGGTAAATATCGATCGTGTGCTACCCATGTTTTTACAATACCTGTATAAGAAAAAAAAAAGATGTAAAGAATATTAAGATCACCAACGAACGATAATTTAATAACATCCATGCAAACCATTAGGCGTATGCGATTGTTTCTGCATTTGCAATTCGATCGGTACATCTGGATCAAAAGGAGTTTGTACTCGTTTCAAAATTCCATCTACAAGTTCCTGCCTGTTGCATGCAAACACCCCCAAATGATCACCAGGTTTATACGATATCTCCATGCTTGCTATATCATCTAGCTCCAAAAGTAACGTGGTTCCACTATAAAAAAAAAGGGGGAATGTAAGCTTAACACTTATCATAATGCTGTAAAATGATCAATCGAATATGTATGATCACCTTGACGAGTCGCCGCTTAAATTTTTCTTTTGGAACATATTACAGGTAGTTACGTTTCTATTGTGGCATTTGCTCAATGCTGAAAGAATGTAATCACAAAGATTAATTTAATATCAATTGATGTGGAAACGATAAGTGTACCTTTCACGATTGGTTGAGGATCAGCTTCTACGAAGCGAACAGTTGTAGCTGACAGTGCTTCCGATCCTAAAGACAGAGCGACTTCTAGCAAAGTATCGTCATCGTCTAAGCAAAAGGTCTCGCACGCAACCTGAAATACAATTTGTAAGAAATATAAAAAGGCTTTTGCTCGTAAAAATAGCAATGAATGCGAACCGCGAACGTATCGTGTGCCCACTTTCGGAAAGTTTGTTCCTGCCCGCACATTTCGTCCCCTTGCGCCAGTCGCAACAATCGTTCCCCGCCTAGTTCCCCTAATAAGTTGTCCACGTAGCGACCGAACGCACAAAAATTCGGATACGCTGACGATCCCAACGCGAAAACAGCAAATCTGTGAATAATCAATTATTTTTATTAATACATTTATAATAGTAATCTGCAATTTGACCAATTTCGACCTCGAGTAGTATATACCTAACATTGCTCAGCGGTCCGAAAGTGTCTTCCGTTTGAGAATCGGTAGTCGATCCACGAAGAGAATCCAATCGGTCCAGTTTCTTAGAATTGTTTACTTCTGTCTGACTGTTTGCTTTGATAAACGACTTCGAAGTTGCCAAACTATAATTATAAAATAAAATCTAACAGATTGGAAAAGATTGATGCGAGTGTATGCAGTTACCTGATCTTGTTACCGCTATTGATGTACGTTTCATTCATTTTCATCGCGTACAAGTTTTGTGCAAAGGCCTGGAAACGAGTAGCAAGCGTGAAATAAGAATGGGAGCCTCGAATTATTGTATAAAAAGAAAATTTTACTTCGCCGTTTTCCGGAGGATCGCCATTCCCGAAAGTAGACGTTATAACCAGTAGTAAAGCTTCGTGTTCAATGTTGCTGATGTCATAGTCTGACATGGAGAGCACCTGAAATTTATAGCTTCAGGTATTTCTCAGGCACAATTTCTCCAAAAGGAACTAACAGACAGTAAAGCTTCTATAAAGTTTAAGAAGTGAATTGAATACCTGAGAATGGAAAGCATGTCCTAATAATTCGCCAAGCTTCTCAGCGTACATTTGCGACGTTCCAGTCTCTGTAGCGAACAGCACCGTAGCTTTAATCCTTCGGGACAAAGCTCTTCCGAACAACTTGGACGTGAATTTCACGGCTCTGAAATTATTAAAAATCTGATAAATTTAAAGCTTGTATACAATGTTCTGCTCAACATAGAAATGTTTAAAACCATACAATATAGTTATCTATTAAAAAGAATACAAAAATTCAAAGTATAAGATGCTTTTCACGCAAAAAACGTCGAAAAAATCGGTTTTTGATTTTTCCTACTACGGCGCGCCCTACCAAAAAATCTGAAAAAATTCAGGGAGATAACCAATGGCAATACGCATTTACAGTAATTATAGAAATCTAGTGTCTCGAAAGCCTCAATACGAAATCCGTATTTTCCTGTGTTTTTTTGCGTTTTCAATTTTTCACGCCTAAGATTTGGAATCGAAAAATCGAAAAAAATTCTCAAACACGTATCTCAATAACCACGGTGCACCAGATTTTTTTCATAATTTTTGTACTCGATTAAATAGGGGAAATAGGCAGAAATTCGTTAATCCGAATTTTCTCAATAACTACCCTTCCAAACAAGATGGAGGGTTAAAATTTGGCACAGAACGTTTTTTCTTGATGCTCTATCGATGGATCCATCGTATGTCACATTTCGTTCAAGGGCACATTTGACCCCCTTATTCGGCTATACCCTTTCATTGGATACTTCATTGCTTTTAAATAAACATACAATTCAATGGTTTTGCTTTTGTACTCGGGTGGCGATTTACCTTGCAATTTGCTTGAAATGGAATTTACGTCTCGGTTTCTTGGATGTTGCCTTCTTATCCCGACCTTTTTTCCAGACATGCGTTTTCCAAGCAGGGTCCTGAAAATGTGTGATAAAAATCGTATTACAAATATGCAACATGTTCTCTTTGACGCGTAGCGGGATCCCTCATAAGTGTATATGGATATTTGATAATAAGAAAATAGTTTTCGCGACTAGGTAATCCCCTTTCTAATTTTGTAATGAAGACCTGAGCGTCATAGGATGGTTTCAAATGGTACAGAGCCATCTCCTGATGAAACACGGGCGTAGCTGATCCCGATATCGGTGGCACGATCCACAACCAATCGGCTGGACAACCGTTCCTTAATCGCATTTCGTTCTCATAGTGTTTCATGAAAGATTCCGAAGCGGTATGATGATCTACGATCGTCACGTTCTTCATCTAAAAAAACACCTCAATTTATTATTACTTTTCGTAACGAATCTTGAACGATGAATAATATATGTACTTGAAAACTGTGCAGCACAGCAACGTTAACTTCTATCATAGCTTTGTCTTTCCACAGGGAGGTCGATGTCCTTGTGTCCAGTCCCATGTGCGTCGCTATTGGCTGCGAGGAATGTCTGTTTCAGCATATTTGGATAACAATGAAAAAGATATCATAATTCTGTGTAAATAAACCTCTAATAAATTGTATCGTTGAACATCGCACAGATCTCTTGCTCCAATTTCAGTGCTCATGTACCATCCGTTGAATGGTGCAGCTGTGAATTCCAAACCCCCGCAATCGAACACCATTCCTGACACAGCGGGAACAGCAAACCATTTCAACTCCAACTTTTCGAACCACTCGTATCTGTTGCGAACGAATAAAGGTCGTGTTAAATACAGTATATTCAAGGGGAAAAGAAAAATCAGTTTTAAGTGGCAAAGAGGAACTTGAATAGTATCGAGTAATTTTTGCTTGGTTGCAGTCTCACGAAGATCGACTGAAATGTCTGACCCAACATGACTCTCTCTACTTCTTTTGAGGCTGACTTTTCTTCCTAGAATACAAAGTAACACGTTAATGGCAATAATACTTACGTAGGATGACTAAGAGGTACTTCGAGAACAAGTTCGCTTGGAATGTCGAAGTAATCAGGATCGTGACCATTCGCCGATAGTACCAATGGTAGTACATCGAAACGAGTACGTGCACATTTCCAGCCAAGTTTTATGCAGAGCTGTACAAATAACACGACGTGAAGCAAATGGTTTCAGCTATAAAAATGTTAACGGGTTCAAAATTCTTCACCTCGGTGAACTCGACATTGGCAGGGTCCCCGATCACGGTACCATCAGGATTCTTGTAACCGGCGTAACTTATCAATTGCTGATTCCAGACTCTGTAATCGTGTTTTCCATCCGTGCGTTGCGGAAATATCGTTATCGCGGACCTGAAAGTTCAGTGCATAGTCATACTTTTCTCGAGAATTATAACGTTTCCGTGTATACCTGATATTTCCCTTATTCGTGCTGTACTTAATGTGGTTGCACAAAGCTTCGAACATACCACTCGTCGTGGTTACGTAACGGCAGTCAAACACCTGCAAGCATATCCATAAATTTTAAAACTGTAATTTTGGAAGATAAAAAGAATCTTGAAGACGGCTGCTTACTTGCAATTTGGACCATTGAATGCGACCGATGCACCTTGCAGCGTTACGCCATGCCAGTTTAGCACCAAAAACCAATTCTGTTTCGGTGAGTTGATAGGTGCCTGTAACCAGGACTTCCTTCTGAACGCAATCCCAGCGGGAATGATGAGCGTCGCTGTTCAACCTGCGATCATACGAATACCCAGAATGGTACTCAATTGTTGTAACATCAGATATAAATTAAAAATGCGCGAGCAACCAAATACACGCAAGCAGAACGCAGAAGTGGTTTTGAACGGCCATTCGAGTTTAACGCTATTTTTACTTAACATATTTTTGTAGAGAATATTATTCAAACATAACAATTTTAAACGTTATACTAATGCCCGCACATCCGAGCATTTTGGATGTTTACATGTTCTTGAATTCATTTTCATCAGTACCTTCTGATGGATGAAAAATACTGTTCGAGGAACTCTTTTGCCTGCACGAGGATTTCTTCCTTGGAACGGCACTCGGTCCCGTGCGTTGGTAGCTGCATAACGCTGCCCAGGCACACTTGACCCGAACACAGCGTTCTCTGAAAGAACAGATTCCATTATCGTCAATTATATTTTCTATTACTGAAACAGTTGGAGATTTTCAGGGTGTGATGTTTCATTTTTAGTCTTATGGACATTCGTAACGGCGCCTCAGCTTTTTCGTTGGCTGAACGACAGTGACGTCTATATACTTTTGAAGATAATACCTCCGGGATGATCGAACGTTTCTGACGAAAGTGCCGATACGGGCCAATCCTTTACAGCCTCCCGCGATCTTAAATTCTAATTTTCTTCGTTCCTAAAAGTCGTCTTTCGCTACACGTAAAATACGAGAACACGCATGCCTGTGTGATAGCGCAATATATTTGCGACTGGAAAAAAAGAAATAAATAAAATTGTTAATTTACTACAAGGATAATTTCTTTTCGACAATGTTCCCAAAGATTTTTGGAAAAACGCTCTGGAGACAAGGATCACCATTTTTAAAAATAGGCCTTACGAGACAAGATTTTTTAAATAATTAGCTAGAATGATCTTAAAATTTTCATATATATATAAATATATAATTTTTTAAACAGAAAGTGGAGAGTCGATCGTTCTATTTTATTTCAACTTTTACGAATAATAAGAATTTCGTGATTCAAATCGGGACTTATTGCTCCGATAGTAATACGATTAAAGGATCTAGCACCCCGCGATTACCAGAACGATCACCGTTCGTAGTAATATGACAGATATACGAAATGATCCAATATTCGATGCAAATTGGACTGTTCGTAAAAAGTATTTCGATATTTCATTCGTTAGATTCCTTTACGGGTAAAAGGCATTCGAGTTGTTTCGAGCAGCGTATCGTCCCTATCCGTGCAACTAGTGGGCCACCAAAACTCACACTCGTTCCTCGATAGTATCGACTCGGTTCGTCAGAAATTTTCCCACACTCGAAGTTTTTCTCGTACTCCCACGCTGCCCTCCCCGCGATTCAAGAAATAAACGAACGGCAAATATTTGGCAACCTCGAGATGTTTATTTCACGCACCTCCGCATTCCTCGCGTGCAGAGAATCAAAAGCCTCGGTCTTGTAGATGAGGTTCCTCAGTTTCGTCGGTTTCCTCTGGCCAGTTGCCGCTGTCTCGAGTTCCTTCATCTCGGCCACCTCGTCGTCGTATGATCGTTGCTGGTGATCGCGCCCCTGGCTCGTCCGTCACTACCGGACAACCTGTGTATTCTGCCGCGGCACGCACACTACCAATTCAGTTTTCCTTCGCGAGCCACCCCCACCCCCCCACCCCCTCTGCGAAGAGCAAGGAATATGCACGCAATGGGCGAGAGAAGGACGCCAGATGCACTACAGAGTACGGAGATGCCACATGCGCTATGGAGATGCGCCATCGATTTAGCGCGCCCAATGTTTCGGCGATCATTCTCGCGCATCGTTAATCTTTTTACCTCCGGGGTACACGTTAGGGCTGGGATTTACGTTTTCTCAACTTGCATGTTGAGAATTTACTTGTTTCGCGTTTAGAGCTAGTCGGGAAATTAAGCATAGACATCAGGATAATACGAGCGTAAACTTCCCACGATTCATCCCTCTCAATCATTCCTCGGGCACCGTCTGGAGCTCAACGAAATCCGATCCGGTAGAAAAGGAAAGAGAATCGGTAAAACGAACCGAGTTTAAGTTTATGGAAGAGTTTAAAGTAATACGAGAGTAATCGAAACTACTCAGAAGTAGAAATCTTGCACGCTATAGTGACGCCATCGATCAGCTAGATACCGAAACATTTCGACGATCACTCTCGTGCATCGTAAATTTTTTTATTGTCGACGTATCAACTATCCAAACAAACGTCGCTCGATAACTCGGTCAACAAGTTGATTGCAATTTTTTAACATCGGAAAATAACTTTCGAGTCTGTTGGAAATCCCGAGACGACATTTTGATATCCAGTTTCTCAAGTAGTACGGTCTAAGATTCGACGATACATTGGACATTTAAATCCTGTAGAATTCATTGTAAAATATCATCGATTGTTTACGTTTCAACGCAGATAAACGCGATAATGGAACAAGAAGAGGATCTTCGCGAAGCTGGCTTAGCGTCCTGCAACGCGACACCAAAAAAATCACAAAGGACGCCGCGAGATAGCGGTAAACTTTATCGTTTACTTCTATTGCCCTGCCATGCGGATAATAATGTTTTCGTAATTGTTCCATAGGGTCCAACAGAAGGGAGAAGAACTCGCGTTCGCAGGAGCACAGATCTAGAATTCATTATACTCCTGATAACAGCCCTGACAAATACAAGACGTTACAAAATAGCGGTACATCCGTGAAAATGAACAATGTTATATATATATATGTTACCGTGAATGACCGAAATTGGAGAATGTCAACTTTCACCGGTGAATGTCAACAGATACCAAATACGTCGGTGAAAGATCGAATATTTCATAACATTGTTGTACATTCGGACCCTCTCCGGTGTGTGTCGACAATCGCAGATATGCTCTGGTGGAGGTCCAAAACAGAAGAGTCAAAAAACAAGCGACTGGCTCTCTCCCGCCAAATCCTTTGTTCTGCTCGGTGACAATCAGCTTTGTCTGTCTTATGCAAGCTTTGATAACGCGAGCAACGTTTTCTTAATTTTTTTTCCGATACCCTAATTTATACTAAATGGATACTGCAGTAAATCGTGATCTTTTTCTAACCCAGACCTAACCCAGACCTAATCCAGACCTAACCCAGACCTAACCCAGACCTAACCCAGACTTAATTCAGACTTATTCCAGACCTAACCCAGACCTAACTAAGATCTAACTCAGATCTAATCCAGACCTAACCCAGACCTAACTCAAATCTAATCCAGACCTAACCCAGACCTAACCCAGACCTAACTCAGATCTAATCCAGACCTAACCCAGACCTAACCCAGACCTAACCCAGACCTAACTCAGATCTAATCCAGACCTAACCCAGACCTAACCCAAATCTAGGGTCTGGGTCAGGTCTGGATTAGGTCTGGATTAGATTTCGGTTAGGTCTGGGTTAGGTCTGGATTAGATTTCGGTTAGGTCTGGGTTAGGTCTGGATTAGATCTGGGTTAGGTCTGGATTAGATCTCGGTTAGGTCTGGGTTAGGTCTGGGTTAGATCTGGATTAGATCTCGGTTAGGTCTGGGTTAGGTCTGGGTTAGATATGGATTAGATCTCGGTTAGGTCTGGGTTAGATCTGGGTTAGGTCTGGGTTAGGTCTGGGTTAGATCCTTTCAGAAAGAGAGGCGAAAAATTTACGTCACCCTTGTGACGTTTTATAGCGACTGAATTACGGAGAAGAAAATATAAATCTCCAACATGTTCAACACTCACCATTAGTGCATGGTGAATGTCAACATTTACCGGCGTAAGTCAGAAATAAGGGTGTTTAGCAAATATTTCGGACATACACTAAGGGACTATGTGAATGTTGACATTCACCGGTGAAAGTCTACATTCTCCAGATTTCGGTGTTTCACTGTAACATATACATATATATAAAGAAAAATTTTACACTTTTAATGCGTGATAAATCTTGTTGCAGGGTCTTTTATAAGGGGCGCGAAGTTACAACCCGAGACTGCTTCCAGCAAACGGAAAGCCCAATCGTCTCACGATGAAAATCAGGATAAAATTCAAAGAACGTGCCCGAGCGGTAAATTCGTAAACGCTTTGATAGGGCAATGGTCGAAGCATATGGGAGTACAGACTCCTCTGTCGCAGACGGTAGGGGTACGATCGTTCCCGCAATTCCATTTCACTAAAAAAAAAAAACAACCGTACCGCGAACTTTTTTAAGGAGCGTATATTTATGTGTAATATCATGTAGGAAAATCCAGTTATGGAAGAGATGAAATGGAAACACGCAATGGAAGAACGGAAGATACAAATGTTGCAGAAGAAACTGCAGACTGCCGAGGAGACTATATCTTCGCTCTCAGCGTCGCGCGATGCCGAATTGCAAACCAAGGAGGAGATACTGAGACAGTAACGTATCATTTCTACTATCGATTCGAACGAATCAGAACCGCTAAGTACTACTAATGGAGTTCTTTAGAATAGACAGCGACTGGGAATCAATTACTAAATATTATTATCAAATATCGGAGAGCCTGAAGGAATTCCAGCAGCACAAAGACAATTTATCCGCGTTGTACAATAACGTTATTCTTATGCAACAATCGACGGTGAAGACTTTGCAACAGGCATTAAGTAACGTAAAATTGAAAGGCAAGTATAAAAATGAAGTAAAAAATGAGTAAAAAAAAAAACACATTCGTTTTTATTTTAATTAGTATATTTGTCATTAATTGGTTGTATTTGGTATGGTTTTTTACAGACGAGGAACAGAGGAACCTCGTTGCTGCGGCTGAAAGTAAAATTGTGAATCAGGAAAAAAGGTATCCGTGCAAATCATTCGTTAAAGGGTTCAATGTTTGATTATTATGTTGATTTTTAGAATACAGGAAATGACGATTATGGAGGCCGAATTAAAGAAAAAATTCGAGGACGTTAAATATCAAGCGATTTCGGAGAAGAATCGTTTAAATAGCGTTCATATGGAAGAAAAATTAGAATTAACAAAAGTATAGAAGATAATGTCTTAGATATTTTTTTAAGTAGTAAGACGTGTATTATCTTTTTTTTTTTTTAAAAAAACTAAACTACTTCGTCTTCGTTATCGCTACACGTTGTTATCGTATGTGCAACGAACACGTGAAATATATTGTAAATGGATGATTTCAGAAACAAGAAAATCTCACATCGGCGAACAAAGAATTACAACTGCAATTAAACACGATTATAAAGGAGAAGGAAAATGTAACAAACTTATTCGAAGAAAAAAATAAAGAATTCTCGAAATTACAAGAAGAGATTTTTACATGCAAGTGAGTATTTTCGCGAACGAACGATTCATGCAAGTATTTAAAAATTAACGTGTCATTTTACGTTTGAGGAATAAAATCGAGAATCTGGTATGTCAGAACGCAGAATTAAACGTAAAATATGAAAGAACGGTTATCGAGGATGCGGAATTGACGAAGCAATTAGAGTCAAAAGAGCAAGAAGTATAGTATAATAACTTTTCCTCGTAATTTAGAAAATATACATAAGGATTAATAATATTTTTTAAATAGATCGGTAGACTGCGAGAGAATTTAAATACGAGACAACAAATAGAATCAAGTTTAGCTAATGATCTTGAGATGATTGGTGATAAATATAAGAAAATGCTGAACGATTTTGAAACCATGGAAAATAAATTAAAGGGAACGGAAGTTCGTAATTCGGATCTTGAGAAGTCCTTGCAAGAAATGAAAAACATTAACGAGTATAAACAGACAGAGCTAAACAAAAGGATCGAAAGCTTGGAAAAAGAAAAGGAAAAAATACTTTCAGAAAAACGTAAAAAAATTCAGGTATATTTTTTAAGAACAAATTGCACTTGGTGAAAAAATTCATGTTACAGAGATTTATATAAATTGTTAAACTGATAAATTTTAATTGGTTTTTGTCAAATAGAATCTAGAGAATTCGCGTAAATTATTAGAAGAAAAGTATGAAATAGAAGTAACGACTTTGAAGAAAGACTTCGATGCCAAACTGTCCGAAATGAAGAAGACAATAGCCACGAAAAATTCTGCTTTCATAGAGTTAAACGATACCTTAAATAAAATGAAGGAACAAAATCAGAATAAACGAATGAAACATGACGAGGTAAAAGAAAATCAAAGTAGCGCGAAGAGAACGACGCAAACAAATATAAATGAAATCTATGAAACAGAGGAACAAGAATTTCAAAGTGAAGCAATTGTTGGTACATCAAAGATTACACATCAGGATAAAGATGAAACATCGAATCAGAAACAACAAGATATATATAATTTTAACGTGGCTGAAATTAACAGGAAGGTGGATAAAGTAAGTTATAATGTAACAGTATAGTATATTATAAAATTTTATTACTCCTTTTAATGAGAAAAAAAATTACAAGTTTCCGAATACACTCAAAATTATTCTACCCCTGCTCGAAATAAAAATATAATGCAATCAAATGTAATGTTACAGATAAACCAAGAAAGGGAAGACAAGGTATTATTTTTAAAAGATATTTCTCTATATTCCTTGTACACTGTTTATTTAATTGGAAAACCGGACCTAATTGAATAATTTGAATATTATTTTTTATAAATAGAATGTTACATCGCAGAAGAATAAAATCTTTAAAACACGTAATACCGGATTTAGACAATATGGAAGTTCGCGAAAGGGCAAGTAAGAAGCAGTTTCCCAGATATTATAAAAATTTAATTTACTCGCTTAAATCTGTATCTTTCAATCCATTTTTCTTTTTTATTTTTTTGTACCGAGACAAATATCGAGACAACGATTTAAGGAGATTTATTCATAAATACGTATATTATTTTTAATAATGGCACATTTACTTAAGACATGAATTAATGTGAAACAATGATTATTCCCAAAAGAGCCAACAATAACTTTCTTTAATAAGAAATAACAACATTTGTAACAATACATAATTAACATATTTACCAATAAAACATATGTAACAATTTCTAAATGGATACAAGTTATTTCCATTTTTTACATACATGTTATACATATTTAAAAATTTTTATATACTACGTACATATTATTGGGCCCTCCGTTTGTGTTTGACCTTAAAACTGATTGTAACATTTACATACTATAGTATGTTATGCTCGATAGCTACGCAGTTGCGTTTAATAATCGAATGATTCTATATACAGATATTTCAATTAAATCTAAGAAAATGGTATTTATTATACACACTATTTTCATTAAAGTTTATATACTTTTTATCGTTTATACTTACATTTTATTTTAGTTTCAATTAAGTATTAAAAGAAGAGGATGAATTATCCCACTTCATTGATCTATCTATAGCCATTTTCCATTTAGAATACCTCAAATCTCGTTCTGAAATATAAATACACAGAATTACATATCAATATTATTCTTCTTATATCGTTATATCATCTAAAAAAAATATTACCATCCTCTCCAATATCAGGTGCAAACTTTGTGACCTGTGATGCATCCACATCATTAATATCAATGATACCTGTACCGACACCAGCTAATATAGCTGCTCCTAACGCCGTTGTTTCCACCATATTGGGCCTCACTATAAAAAACGACGGCGTTAAAATACAAATAAACATCTATACTAAATTTAAACACACACTTAACTATTACAGATGCCTTAATGTTAATTAAAATTGACACATACCAACATTTATTCCAGTGATATCGGCTTGTAGTTGCATAAGTAAGTTATTTACAGTCATTCCACCATCGACTAGTAATGTAGTTAATTTCGTTCCAGAATCTTTCACCATTGCTTCTAGAATATCTCTTGTTTGGAAACAGACAGCTTCTAACGCTGCTCGAACAATATGGTAGTGTTGTGTATCCTCAGTGATACCACAAATTACCCTAATGAATTTTAATTTTTTACGTATAACATCAAATAACGGTAATCATGGATTCCTCTATATATTACTGCTGAAATTTATTTACCCTCGTGCATCCTGTTGCCAATACGGCGCGTATAAACCAGAAAACGCAGGTACAAAATATACGTCCCCGGAGCATCTTACACTTTCTGCCATGCCTTGTGATTGAGCAATGTCGCTAAACAGTTCCATATTATCTCGCAACCATGAAAAAGCTGCACCAGCTACAGCAACAGAACCTTCCAATGCATAAATTGCTGGCGATTTACCCAGTTTATATGCAATAGTTGTTATAAGGCCTTGATGCGAATCTACTTTCTGAAATAATCGAAGAACAATATTAACAAACAGCAGGCTTTAATTTTATGGACTGATTTTGAATGGCTACTGAAATTATAATAATAAAAGATGGACACATACGACATTTCCTGTATTGTAGAGTAAGAAACATCCGGTTCCATAAGTAGCTTTTGCTTGTCCAGGCTTTAAACACAGCTGACCAAGCAGAGCTCCTTGTTGATCACCTACACACTATATGTATAAAAAGATCAGTATACGGAGTAAATTAATAACGATTATCATGTGAAACAACTTCTTATTTAGATCCAATAATATTGTTTAAATTGTTTACCCCTGCTATTGGTACACCTGCAAGAACCACAGGATTTGAAATTATTCCATATACTTCAGCACTAGACCGTATTTCAGGGAGGATATGTTGTGGAATTCCAAAAAATCGACACAACAAAGGATCCCACTTTAACGATTCTATGTTCATTAACATGGTCCGGGATGCGTTTGAAACATCCGTTACATGTAGCTGGCCTTTCGTAAGATTCTGCATAGAGAAATTATAGCAAATTAAAAATATAAACATAATTTTCTAATAAATTAATTAACTAACCCAAATCAGCCATGTATCGACTGTTCCAAAAGCACATTTCTCTGCATCTACCGCTTGCTTGACACGCGGTATATTGTCAATAAGCCAACGTATCTTAAGAGCACTGAAATATGGTGACATTGGGAGTCCGCAAAGTGGTTTTAAATAATTTTTGTTCCTGGTTTTATTAGGTATACTGTCTAATATATCTTCTAAAGTTGTAGTTGTTCTCATATCAAGCCACACTGTAATATTGACATCGATTAATTAATACGTACAAGTATCATCTAGATAGAATAGACAGTATACTTTACCAATTGCATTATGCAGCGGTTCCCCTGTTTCTTTATCCCATACTAAAGTAGTTTCTCGCTGATTTGTGATTCCAACTGCTTTAATGTCCGACACGCTCAAGCCAATGTCATGTAATTTCTCTACTGTCTTTTTTATGCAGTCTATAACGGCTTGTAAAATTTCTTTCGGATCTTGTTCTACCCATCCTTCTTGCGGATATCTTTGTTTAATTTCAATCTGATGCGACGCTACTACTTTCCTGCGTAATACATCAAATACCTAAACCACAATACAGAAACTATACGTAATACCTGAATTTTCATTAATTATTTCATACAATTGTTGTCGGTCCGATTAAATTAAATTTGACGAATTATTTTATTTCTTGAATATTATAAAATAAACACAATCATGTGATTGGGCTTCGACCATGTAAGGTTCAACTGTCATTCGGGTACTTTTTCTGGTTGACTGTTGTTTTCATTATCTTCGAACATAAACATAAAAGAAAGGCAAATGTTTACTTACTAAAAATCTAGCGCTGCTTGTTCCTTCGTCTATCGCTCCTACGAACGGTCCCGAACGATTAATGATCTCAGGCATATTTTTTTACTACTTGGAAATCAATATTCAAAAAAGCATTTAAGTGTACTTGAAAGATGACCTACGTTTAACCTTCGCCCTAATCTGTTATGCAATGATACAGATATAATATAAAAGATGATCAGTTGATTTTTCTATTATTTTCCTTTGATGCATTTCTTCACCGAACACATCTCAATATAATTTCTCGTTAAATGATGCTACAAGGCACGATGCTTTAAAAATAATTGGGAAATAATTACGGGTGAAAAATCTTTTATTGCAATCTGACAGCTTATCTTACGGGTCACATTTTGAAACGGACATTCGACATACTACAAATACGTGTCCAATTAGTCCCTCGAAATTGCATGTACATATTCGCATTTCTGTTCTTACATTTTAATTAAACATATGCTATGCGAATATATTAACTTTTAAATAAATTTAATGTTTGTTCTCCTACATATGATAATTTGATACATAAGTTTTATTAACTCTTCTAGGTAGGATATACGATATAAAAATACATTGGTCGAAACTAATATTTTTATTTTTACGGTTGGTGCGCTTACTCGTACATATCGATCGTAATTATTTTACATATTATAAAAGCAATTAAACAAAATAAAATATTATTGCTATGAACCCTAATATTTGTTCAGACTGAAGGACCTACACCATGTAGCCTCACTCACACCATGTAGATATGGTAGTTCCATGAACTAATGGCGAATACCCCCCTTATTGATAAAAAAGATTTATTTGAATTTTCATCGTACCAAGCGATTTTTATTCGCTTTATTCGCTGATAAATATTGACCAATCATCGGGACTATAATATTTCAATTTCTATTTATGATTGCCAAGGGTTCGATTTGTAAATCCTCGAAATCTCGAATTTTTTGTTATCCTTCACCTTTCAGCTCTTTGAGATCCATCGCCTATCACTACTATCGTGGAACTTTAATGCTTCTATGATCTATCGCAAGTGTTACTTCTGTTGAATGTTGAACGAAGTATAGATGCAACTTTGTTAGTATGTTCGCGCTACAGGGTTTGCAATGAAAAGTTCACTTCATTATCCCTATATCATAGTAACTTTCTACACGGAGCAGTATTTATCTCATTTCTCTTTGCGTTACCGGTAAGGAAAGACGTTCATTTGTGGAAGTAGTGAACAATTACTTGCTCGATGATAATTGAATTAGATTAGTGCTGGCTAGTGTCTAATACGCGTGGATTTTCTAATGTTTCAGGCAAATCACTGTTAAACTGGCTTCGTAATACACGTTTATTACTTGGCCGGATTTCTTTATTACGGTAGAGTGAGTATCGTTTCGTGATATATCGTGATTGTCCATACGAATCTCTCTCTCTCTCTCTCTCTCTCTGTCCCTCTTCCTCTTTCTCTTTCTCTCTTTTCCTCTGTGTTTCTGCCTCTGAACATAACGGCACTAGCCTTGGATTACGGGTATCTTATATTTCGATATAGAAATTCACGAGCACTATTTTCGATCCGTGCAACGTGCACGCATTCATTTCGGGAGAGGTTAGCGATCGTGTGACGTGTCAAGTGAATACTTCATTCCATATGGTGGTCACTGCCTCAATCACTCGTTGGTCATTGACATGTTGGCATTTAACTTGAATCTGTTTTCCTCCTTTCCTGTTTAGAATACCCAGATTGTTACAAATTATTATTGATAATCGACGCATTAAATCATATGTGTCGAGCACGAAACCATTGATCGAAATTTACGTCGAGAGAATTCCATTAAACGGGGTTTTACATTGCAGATATAGCATGACTATCGATTCCCATTAAAATTTTTCGTATCTTTCGTTCCCTATTTTTTTTGCAATTTCTTATTGTTGCAATTGCAATTTTACCAGCTCTTGGTATTATCAATGGATTTGATTTAATTAATAAAGCAACAATGTAAGAACAGAATACATTTCAAATTTATTTAATTCATTTAATACATATATCACGAGTATAAAGATTAATAAACGTTATGCAATAAAAAAAAAGATTGTCTTTGAATACTTCAAGTTTCATAATGCTCCGAAAACAATTATGCTCTCGAGTCATTGCGAATATTGTCTATAATGTGTTACGTAAAAATTTTGAATATGTATATTTTGGTTGATCGAAGTACTTTTTGCAATTTAAGATATTAAATGTACATTGATTCGTATCACAGTGCTACTGTAAGGACTTGGCACGAAACAGGACAACCCCATCATGCAGCAGCAGTCAGTAATGGAAGAGGGAACGGCCTATGAGCCACCTACCTACGATGAAACATTCCCAGTTCTTCCCGAGTCAGCCAGTTCAAGTTCAGGAAAATTGAATATTTTCTCCATAAATAATAATTTACAACTTGGACGCATAACTATTACACAGGTACAAATTGTTTGTATCCAAAGCGTCCCGGTGCACAAGTTCCTCTTCGTAAATTTTTTATACGTTTCTTCCAATCGTATTCAGATGTTCCGTGTACCTGGCGAAGAACGCAAATTTGATCACAGCGACAAATTTGGCGAACGTGAATCCATACGCACGTGTAAAACAATAATGAAAGAGACAAATACGATCATTGAAATAGCATCGTCGAAGGATCAATCTCTTACATTCCTAATAACCGGCAAACAAAATCAAGTTTTGGAAGCCAAGCGCCGAATTTTAACAACATTTCAGACTCAGGTTTGATTTAAAATTTGATATCCGAAACAACGATTTTAAATAAACATTTTAATCATCTTATTTCTTTGCTACAGGCGAGTAAACAAATCAGCATTCCTAAGGACCACCACCGTTGGATTCTGGGAAAGCAAGGGCAGCGTCTGAAAGATCTGGAAAAGACAACTGCCACAAAGATAAACGTTCCACCTGTACAAGACCAATCAGACACAATAATAATCACAGGAACGAAAGAGGGAATAGAAAAAGCTGAACATGAGATTAGAGTAATTTCGGACGAACAGGTTAGCGAATAACTATCTTCGTTTGTCGAATTACGATGTATGAAAACCCTTATATGTATGCTGGTTTCCGTTATAGTCAAGGAAGGCGTTTGAACGAGTATCTGTGCCAAAAATATATCATCCGTTTATACACGGTGCGCATAATGAAAATCTCAATGCCATGATGGCAGAAACTGGAGCTCGAATTAATATACCTCCTGCTTCTGTACAAGAAGATGAAATAACTATTGCCGGGGAAAAAGAGGGTGTGTTGGCTGCAAAACAAAAGATTGAAGCCATCTATAGAGATATGGTAAAAGTTCATTAAAATGGTAATTGTGTTATTATTTATGTTTCGGAATTAATGTTACTTTCTTATTAATTTAGGAAAAGAGATGTACTACGGTATCTGTCGAAGTTCCAAAATCCCAACACAAATATGTAATTGGACCTCGCGGTAGTACAATAGCAGAAATATTGCAAGTAACTGGTGTAAGTGTAGAAATGCCTGCACCCGATTCACCTACAGGAACTATCACTCTTCGCGGGCCTCAAGGAAAGCTTGGTCAAGGTAATAATCCTGATTAGCAGATATTTCAATATTCAGACATACCGTGTCAACATATTAATGTTTCTATCGAATATTGTAGCACTCAATAAAGTATACGAAAAAGCGAACAGCGTTCGAACGGCCGTAGTGAAAGCACCTGTTTGGATTCACAAGTACATAATAGGACGGAAGGGCGTCAATATTAAACGTATTACACAGGAAATGCCAAAAGTGAATGTAGAGTTTACCGGAAAGGAAGATAAAATTAAAATCGAAGGTCCTCCCGAAGAAGTAGAGAAAGCACAAAACGAACTACAATTAATGGCTACTGATCTTATAGCCAAACTTACTTTTACCGAATTAAATGTTGATCCCAGATTTTATAAACATATTATTGGAAAGAATGGATGTAACGGTGAGCTCTTCGATATAATTTCATTTTTATATTAAAACTATTAATTATAAAATACATATTACACGTATATTGTTTTTCCGTTCAGTAAACCGTGTGAAAGAAGGAACAGGTGTTGTTATTAACATTTCTGAGAACGACGGTAGTAACATTATTCGTATCGAAGGGAATCTTGCTGGTGTAATGAAAGCTCAAACGGTTTGCGATATTTATTTATTATATATATATATATATGCATAATACAGTTTAAACTTTCCGTCTTTTTACGTTTCAAATCTATTATAGGAATTAATGGAAATGGTGAAGAAATTGGAGAATGAAAAAGAAAAAGATGTAATAATAGATCATCGTCATTATCCTAATATTATCGGAAATAAGGGTGATAATATTAAAGAAATTCGCGATAAATTTAATCAAGTACAGATTACTATTCCTGGTCCAGGTATGTAGTATGATATATGCAATAACTAGAACTCGGATTTATGCCAGGTACAAACAGTTGAGAGACCTCGGCCCTTGTTGGCATTTAGCCAATGGGAGCTCGGTATGCATTTTTAGAGTGCAGGTCGCGTCTCTCGCTTTGCATTGTTATATACTCTCATTCTCTCGAATTATGAACAAAATTATTACATAGAGAACATGAAAATTCATTATTTATTTGTAGGTGAAAAGGGAGATGTAGTAAAAATTAGAGGGCCTAAAGAGGACGTAGACAAGTGCCATAAGTATTTGATGAAGTTGGTAAAAGAACTGAATGAAAATAACTATGTGCTAGAGGTTCCCTTTTATAAACAATTCCATAAATTTGTAATTGGAAAGGGAGGAGTAAATATTCGTAAGGTTTGTATTGAAATAAATATTAGAAAATTGATTACAATTATTTAAAATTTAGTATTGCGTAATCGTTCGCTTTCCTTTTGCCGTTTAGATTAGAGAGGAAACGCAGACAAAGATCGATTTGCCTGCCGAGGGCGAGAAAAGTGATGTCATAACTATCACAGGGAAAAAAGAAAATGTAGATAAAGCTAAAGAAATGATTCAAAAAATACAAATTGAATTGGTATTTTGGTTTTTACGTTATTATAATATTTCTGTAGAAAATCATATTCTATTTATTAAATGCATCTTTTGTATTAGGCCAACATTGTTTTGGATGAAATAGTAATTCCACCAAAGTTTTATAACTCGCTTATTGGTACCGGTGGAAAACTGATTCATTCTATTATGGAAGATTGTGGCGGTGTCGCAATTAAATTTCCCACCGCGGAAAGTCAAAGTGATAAAGTAAATAGTTGTAATTTTTTAGCGCTGAGACCTAAAATGGTTAGTGCCGTATCTGTATATTATAAACCTGCCATGTTTAGGTGACTATCAGGGGGCCAAAAGAAGATGTTGAAAAGGCAAAGCAGCAATTACGTGAACTTACAAACGAAAAGCAATTGTCTAGTTACTCGGCTGAAGTTCGTGCCAAAGTACAACATCACAAATTCCTCATTGGAAAGAATGGTGCCAATATTAAAAAGGTCTGTATTAAAATTACTCGATCATGCATTTTATGACGTGTAATCGTATCTGTACCTGATCCACTTTTCACTTTTACTAGATAAGAGAATCTACTGGAGCGCGTATCATATTTCCAACGGACAGCGATCACGACAAGGAAGTAATTACTATTATGGGAAAGAAAGATGCCGTTGAGAAGGCTAAGGCTGAATTAGAAGCAACGATCAAGGAAATTGTAATTATTTCCTTTGATTGAAATAGTATTAAGGTGGCGTATTGTACTGTATTTGTCTTTGTTAATTTTAATTTGTTATTTCTCTATAGGATAACATTACCGAAGGTGAAATCCGCATAGATCCAAAGCATCACAGACATTTTGTAGCACGTAGGGGTGGGGTATTACATCGTATCGCGGATGAGTGTGGAGGGGTGCAAATCTCATTTCCTCGGGCCGGCATCGACAGTGATCGCGTAATTTTGAAAGGATCGCACGAATGCATAGAGGCAGCGAAACAACGAATGCGAGAAATCGTGCAGGAACGGGTACACTTTCTTGATCGGTACTCATTTCTCATTTCTCGTAGATACGAATTGTATATATTTGCTTTAACGTTTAGGAATCAATGGTGACCGAAGAATGCATAATTTCTCAAAAACTTCACCGTACAGTTATGGGGGCAAAGGGACGTAAAGTGCAAATGATTACGTCCGAATACGATGTACAAATTAAATTTCCAGATCGTGACACATATGGTTTGTATACCGCGATTAAAGTCCCATTCGCGCAATTTTACAGAAGCGTTTAATATGCGTGTATTTTAGATGAACACCGCGTGTCGGAAGAAATGAACGGTGAAAATGGAGAAATTGCAGAATCCGTTCCAGCCTGTGATATTATTCGCATTACTGGACAACCAGAAAACGTTGCAGCTGCTAAACAAGCACTGCTCGATCTAGTACCGATTACAATAGAAGTTAGTCGAACCATTAATGATTTTAAACAATATTAAATAATTCTATAATCGAATGTCGAGTAAAAAAATGAACTGTTGTCAACTTTAGGTAGAGGTACCGTTTGATCTTCATCGTTCTATAATAGGACACAAAGGTCGTGACGTGCGGGAATTAATGAGCACATATGATGTTTATATTACCTTGTCTCCAGCAGAAGAGAAACTTGATTATATCAAGGTATATACACTTTTATTAACCGATATACTTCGATGCCAAAGAATGATATTATTTCCTTCGTAGATCTCTGGAACACCTCCGTGCGTTGAAAATGCAAAGCAAGCTATACTTGATAAATGTAAAGCTTTGGAAGCTGAACGGCAAGACAGAGCACTAAAATCATTCGAACTAAAGGTAACATATATATCTTTACGAATTATTATTAAATATTACTTCATTTCATACACGTACGATTAAAATAAATTTTATGTTAGATCGAAGTTGAACCGGAATATCAACCAAAAATAATTGGACGTAAGGGAGCCGTGATTAATAAAATACGTAGTGATCATGATGTTCAAATAAACTTTCCACGTAAAGGTGATCCCGAAGAACATATCATTACAATCACCGGCTATGAAAAGAATGCTTATAGCGCGCGAGATGATATCATGAAAATTGTTAATGAATTAGTAAGTTAACTTAGTTCGCGACAATTGACGTTATATATTCTAACGAACGTTAATTTTTTTATATAAAATTTTGATCATAATATAGAACGGCTTGACGAAAGACGAAGTGAACATAAATGCTGCTGTACATTCGCGTTTAATTGGTTCGAAAGGTAGAAATATTCGTAAAATAATGGATGAATTTAAAGTCGATATTAAATTCCCAAGAAAAACTGATTCCGATCCTAATATTGTAACGATCGTGGGCACGGAGGATAATGTAGCCGACGCGAAGGATCGTTTATTGAATCTAGCAGAAGAATATGTGAGTATTTTAAATCGAATGTTCGAAATTCACAATTTTAGTACTTTGATTTGTCAATTGTTAAACTAATTAATTGATTACCCGATGTGATTATTGTTAAGAAAAAGGACGAGATTATTTCACAGGCACTGGATACATGTACTTTCATTGCCTGCTGAGAATGTTTCGTTGCGACGAGCGACCCCGTCGCAGTACATATTTTGTTCGTTTTGTGTCTATGTTTATTATTTTATATCCTGACCTCGTCAGCAATTATTTTAAAAAATATTTAATGCCCGTTCGATTTTAGATTCAAGACGTCTTAGAGAACGAATATCGTGAAAGTTTACGTTCACCTCAACGGGATGAAAGAAATTCTGGAAATTCTGGCTTCGTGGTGAAAGGGGGCCCTTGGGAACAGCAACCGCAAAGCGCTCCGAACACCGCCAGTGTCGAAGAATTTCCACAATTCGCTGGGTACTCTCATGTACCTGTGACCAATCCCGATGGTCCCTGGGGTGTTAAACGTTAAAAAATTTTATCCAGTAAAATCGATGAAACGTGTAAGGTAATAACGTATAATAACTTTCCTCTGACAAACAATACAAAAGGGTACATACATTAGTACTAGGTGGTTCCCTGTTCCATTACTGATGTTGCTGCATACGACCTGGCCACTCTATTGGACTTTGACACTGGTTTACTACATAACGTTTGACGATGGTGTTTATATTTACAGTTCATATACCAATATCCTATGTATCTGTAACTGTAACGCATGATATTTTAAGTTTATTGCCATGTTAGGAAAACACACACACACGTACACATACACATACAGTCAGACGTAAGATGGCGGGCGGATTTCATTCGTAACGAAACATCTAATTTCATGAGTTTTATTTCTGCTGATATGCCTTTCAGGTACAGATATGTTGTACTTAAGACTGTGGCTTCGTAGGAACTAATTTTTTTGTGTATTATATATTTCTCAGATTGTCTCTATCCGTATAGATTGTACGGCTAAACGTTCTACCGTTTAACCGGGCATAATATTTTGTTAATTTATTTATATTTTTTTGTACATAAATTGCATTTTTTTTTTTTTGTTGCGTTGGACTTAAGTGGAATTCGATTACGAACCACATCATGATATTAGAGTCTATACAAAACCTTTGTGAAACGTGAAGCTTTAAGGTCTTTCTAAGGAAAACGTTCCTAGATATAATTTCCTGCTTTTTAAACTAGCTAGTATAATAATAAGGTCGCTTTATACTCCTGAAATTACCCAGTGCACTATAAAGCGGACAAATCTGCCAACAAACTAAGCGGTCATGTATATTATTAAATACTGGATTTAAGAAAAAGCAGAAGCGTTTAATGATGACGAATACACATTGGGGGAACATAATCTTTAGAAGGCCTTGGTATTTTTGTACTGCGTTTATGCAGTCATCAATGACGAGACACAGAATCATTGGGGTCATTAAAGGGAAAGAATAATGAATATTTGTAATTTAAAAGCTACGCGTAATATTCTTTGAACAGCCGAATTTATTTATTCTTTCTATTTTATTGTTTGCTGTACGATGTGCAAATCTTTGCATTCTACTATTTATGAGGCCAACTAGCTAAGAAAAAGATATTCGGTTCAAGTGCCTTGTCTATTTTCTTCGAGACAGCTCATTTCAATTGTTGGAGGAATGTGAATATTAGATTATATATTACTATAAAAAAATATATATATATACATATATACATATATGTATATACGTGTGTGTATATATATATATATACGTACATATGTATATATATATACACCTATATAAATATTGATAATAATTATATTACTATACATATATATAATCGATATGATAGATACTGTACTACAGGTACGATAAATATACTACTATCACGAAAATAAAATAATAGATCATGTATACAGAAATTCACTTATATTTTTTAGATTTACAGTAATTTTTATAAAACTACTTGGTACGACGACCTACATGTCATCTCCAGTGCATGGTTTATACAAGAACGCCAGAAATAGCAGTCGTAATATGCTTAGTATTGGCTAAGAATTTAATAGATGCTGTGCATGAATGTACCTTTTCTAATGAATTATAAATACGAAATATTGTAATTACAAATTAATATTCTCTGTACACATAATGTCATATAATACATGAATTCTATTGTAACAATATATACATAATTAATCTATTGTTAAAACAATGGTGTTATTTTCTTTCCTCCGTTACTTTCCAGCGGTATTCCACAAGAAAGTTACAAATATGAATGTTTTCTTTTATTAATTATAACATTTTTAATTGTTTCACAAATCCTTCGTTCGGTTTAATGCAATTTCTCAATTTTTTTACTTTATTATATGCGTCATCGTACGATAATTTTTCACAAAGCGTCAAGTAAGAAATAACAATAGTCGGTGAACGAGACACGCCAGCATTGCAATGTACAAGGATATTTTTACAACGACATTCGTCTATGATTTTGTAACATTTTTCTATTGCCACGGATATATCGGATTCGGGTAAATCTAACAAATCGCAATAATAATATTCAATACCATCAAATTTTACTGCCGCCTCAATGCCAATACTTAATACATTACGAATGTTATGTTCTTGTAAAATTTCTATATTCGCAATAGGGTCTTGCGAGCTTAAAAATAATCCTGGTATTATACACGCAATTTGTAAGTCAGGTTTGTCATCTACAACAAACGGTATGCTGGGAGATAATTCTTTCGTTTCTCCATTAGCTTCTTCATATCTTTGACCAATCATATTTGTTACAATGGTCGTGCAAGATTTTAAATGTAATCTTTTACTTTTTATCAGATCTGCTAGACTCATTGTTAATAAACGAATAACGTTAAGCAAGAGTAAAAAAAAAATAAATTTATTAAAACCTTAATTTATTTAGTTTTTATTTCTGTACGTTTATTATGCTTCCTTATCTACATTACTGGCACTACTACCTTGCTCTCAAGAGGTATTTCTTCGTGTTTTATAGTGTGTTCATTTAATTCTTCTTGACAATACTCTACATTCGCTAGATATAAACCATGTGGTGGAGCTAGTTTTATTTGACCAGGCCAATTCTTATGGGTAGGCACTTGTAACATAGTAGTTATATCTTTTTCTGTTATTACTCCCATGCCTAAGCATAGCAAGGATCCTACTATTCGTCTGACCTACAAAATAGTTGTTGCCGTTTAGCATATATTTTATATATTCATTCAAACAATATACTATGTAGGAATATCGCAATAAATGTTTTTTACATACTGATATGTTGTAGTAACATCCACACTTTAGTATAATTATAGTAAATTATAATATATGTACAATAGGGAATTAATAAAATTAACATGTATTTATTATTACATACCTGGTTATACAAGAAGGATCTTGAACTGCATATAATATTCCAATAATTAAAATGTTGTGCTAAAGGGTCAACTAACATAAAGGGCTGGCTGTCCTCTACGCATAACTTTTGTAGCGACCGTACATAAATCTTTCGGTCCTTCAATTTCGTCTGTGCGCAAAATGTTGTAAAGTCTTTTGTTCCCATAAATAACGACGTTGCACATTTTATTTTTTCTATATCAAAATATTCCGTTCTAATGAAACGTTCGCACAAAGCAATAAAGACGCATTAAACATTGTTTATGAAAGAATAAATGTTTTTTTCAATGAAAATATGATCAATACCGAAGAAAGTGGGTTCGATTTCTTTCTGCTATAGGAATTCTCTGCTCATTGGAATCCTTAGCTACCATAAATCTATAAATGTAAGTTCTAGATTTTGCAAAGTATCTAGCGTGAAACTTTTGCGTCACAGGAATAACCTCCAATAGTCTTGAAAGAATATATGTATCTATTAGAAATCGCTGTAGACCAAAAGATATTACAGTATCAAAATGTTAATTACCTAATGTCATGGTCGCATTTAGATAGGTAGCGATTTACAAACATAAGCACTTCGTTGGAATTACGGATACAATCATACTTGTTTTCTAAGTCAACATGAGCCGAAGCATACAAAGCATGTACACCACTATCGGTCCTATAAATAACAAGATCATATTTAACTAAATAACACATGTAGAATATTAATTTTAATTAAAACAATTTACCTGCTAGAGGGAGTTACTTTTGGCCAACTTGCACACTTTGGTAGCAATGTTGAAAAAGCACATTCTAAAGCTCCCTGAATAGTGTCTGGGTCTTGCAGCATAAAATTGTTTCGCATTACATTCTTTTGCATTCCGCTAAAATTCGAACATAATTGGTATATTAACGTTATAACTCGAGATTCTATAAGAGTTATGTTGAATATTCGAAACGTTTATCATACTAAGTTTCATTTGTGATATTTAGTATAGCGTAAAAAACATTTTCAAAAATATTAACGCTATCAAGAAAAAATGACAAATATATGTATATATTTTCTATTATACCTGTACTGCGTACCAAGATAAGAAAACCTAATAAAATATCTGTTCATGTTCTGCTTGCAATTATAAATATACTAATTCTTTGCAAATCTCATTCAAGACCACTGTGGCCATTTCGAGGGAATCGAAATCGACAATAGCGACGACGAACATCCTTAGCGTCTAAGCTTCGTCGTCGATGCACTCAATTACGCCGAATCTAGCCACACTGGTGAACTGCGAGTCGATGTAAAGAATATAGCACGATGTATGTGTTTATCTTTTTGTGATCACTTATCGTACAATCTGGACTTGAAATAATATCGTTCTTGAGTAGTTCGGTTCCATCGATTTCAGGTATCAACGCCGTGTGTTTCCATACTGTCGTATGATTGTAACTTTTCCAGTAAAATATTGATAATTAAAGGGCCAATCGGTATTGTACAACGAACATGACGGTTACAGTATTCGCCAGTCAGGCGATTTTAATCCCGCGGGAAATGATGTGTTTCGGTAGAAATATATCACGGCTTTACCATCGCCATCGAAAACTATGTCGTGTGAACAGCATTCTGTTAGGAAAATGTTTGTCTCCCTCGTTTGTCATTGATACCTGGGCTGTACAAAGGACATGTCATAGCAATAAAAGTAAAGTAGAAAGTTTCCCGGGTACCTTAACGAAGCAGCAAGCTAAAGAATTGGCCTTGAAGCTCACTTCGGAAGAACGAGAGCACTTTTCAAGCGCTCTTCAAGAATGTAAATCTGAAGAAGATAAGGCTGGATATCAACGTAATTAATTTCTATCAGGATTAAGTATCATTAAAATCAATTGTTTTTTTGTAGACTTTACTTTTTCCTATTATTAAATTGATAACTTTTTTTATTACATATCTGTTACACAGATGCGATTGGTAAAATTTTACATTTCTTACTAAACGTGCTTGTTATGTCGTTTTAAGGTCAATTAGCAGGTTTCCGGTGGTCTACTACGCTTGGAAAACCTTCAAAAATTCCATCCTTGGGAGACGTGGATGCCACGGGGCAATATTGTACCGTACCAGACGATTGGCTTATGCGCAAGTATGGTAGGAACATCAAAACATTGACTACTTCTTAAATCATTAACAGCAATTCATACTATTAAGTTGACATAATAATATTTATAATATTTTGATAATAACTCGGATAATAACAACTCTGAACGATATAAATCTACTAATAGTTTCAATCTTAAAAGTGAAAATATTTTTTTCATATCGTATTGTAATTCAGTATAATAGTCATTATTCTTTAACAGTATAAAATCTTTTCCTTCCATCGCATTCTACATGGACATCTTGTTGTAAGTCTAATATGCGTTAAACTATATATTTCATCAATCTGAGTGTTTTAATTCTTTTACTTGCTTCTTCTACTTTAACTGAACTCTATGGATGCAATAAAAAGATAACTACAGAGCAACTCTTAGGTAATATATTATTTTAGATATACCTATCTACTATTGTCTTTAACATCATATATTAATTTAAAAGTAATTGAAATTTTGCATAGAAACTATAGTTGTTCTTCTTGGATAAGAATGTAGAATATAATGATAAATATTTGTTAATATCATAATAGATATGTTTTATACAATTAGTCATAAAGTAGTTACATGTTATTTTACAAATAATACACTTTGAATATGTACCATATTTTCTAAAAGAATTAATAATATTTTTGAAAATAAGAATCCATATAATTCTGCTAAGTAACTAGACCATGCTTATAGTATTTACAATTAATTTAACAATAAACACAATGCAACAAGAATCCTGCTTAAATAAGCACATAAAAATTGCTTGAGGATTTAGGTAAATAATTTTAGAAATTTTCACTTTATAAAAAATTGTTAAAATACTTTTTTCAAACTTGATTTTCGTTATTTGAGTTAATCTCTATGTTCTATATTATTGTAATTTTTGCATGGTTCAAATAATGCTTTTTTCATAGTTTGAAATATGTTGCTGAGAATATTTCATAAAACACATCCCGTTTATTAATATATGTTACACCATTTAGTAAACTTTAATGTAAATATTTTTTAGGTAAAAAGATGTACCTTTATTTGAATAAAGTTTTATTTCTCGAAATCTTGTGTATTTAATTAATTAGTTAATTGTCCTAAGTGATTTTTTAAACTTTTTATTAAACTTCAAAGAAAAATTCAAAATTATTATTCAAAAATGTAAAAAAAAGATTAATGGATGAATGTTCATTACTTTATGTTTTGTAAGTAACATAAAGATCATGTTTTTTCAATTAAGTAACTCCTTGTTAGACTTCTCGTTAGTTATGTTTTTTTAACTATCTTTTATTTCATAAAAGGACAGACATTTATATTTTGCTCTTTCCATTACAGTTGAAAAAGTTCCAGGACCAACAACAAAAACTCTAGTATTAGGTACGAAATATAATATTTTTCATATATTAAAATTTCTAATTGTATTTAAAACTTTATAATCTCATATTTGAGCATTTATTATTAAAATAATAATTATATCCATCTGTCAATTAAAACTACCAAAGTTGTTAAATTAGTGGCAATACTATAGTAATAATGTTAGGAAATATTTTTGCAGTTGCAATTGCGAATGCAATTCCATTCATTGGCTTTGGTTTTCTTGACAACTTCATCATGATTATCGCTGTACGTACCATAGTCCTATGCAATTTATTTTTCAGTGTGTAATATGCTAATTTCAGGGTGACCAGATTGAAACGATATTAAATAAAAGATTTCCAGTATCGACTATGGCAGCTGCAGCGTTAGGAAACACTGTTTCTGATATAATAGGAATTGGATCTGTACATTATGTAGAAATATTTGCTCATAAAATTGGATTTCAGGCACCAAAACTTACTTCTATAGAATTAAATCTGCCTAAAACGAAACGAGCTGCAAATGTGGTATGATATGCTTAGCCTTATATTGTATTTAAAATGCTATATAAATAATTTAGTTTGACCGAAAGAAAAATGAAAAATAATTTGTCATGATTTAGGGACGAGTTATTGGAGTTACAGTTGGTTGTTTTATTGGAATGACACCTATTCCTCTTTTTTCGTATCTTCATGATAGCGATTGAACTTGTGAGTATTAAATGCTCCAAATTTTATTGTTCGTTCGAAGATATTAATTTCTATCGTTGCATCGAACAAATGTGTAATAGTAGAAACAAAAAAAACATCTTATAGCCTGTATAATATAAACAAAGCTTTTATAATTGTTTGCAGTTTTAATTTATGACAATCATAGTGTTCGTGTAACATAGTATAATGTATGTAATAATTGATGTATTTAATGTAGGTATATGTATAAAGCAATGTACTATCAAAATTATACCAACAACATTAATAATAGATGCACTATTGGTGTCTTATATTCTTTATTACTTTTCTTACCATTATTTTTATCTAAGAATTTTCATAAAAGGGTAGTAATTAAAAAAAATAATACACACGTATGTACCTCATATTATTTATTGAAAAAATTACTTTGTTAATATAGAGGTTACTTGCGAGTTTACAAGTTAGTACAAAAAATATATATACTTCTTTTCTTGTAAATCTTAATAAAGACGCTATGTTTTATTAATTTGGAAAGAAGTAGATGTTTAATCTTCAATGTTGATGATAAAGAGTTATTTTTGTAACATGGTATGCACACAGTACGTAAAAAGAAGATAGCACATCTTGAAAATATACTGTTTCTTTATTTGAAAACAATATATTACTTTGTTTTGTATGTTTGTAGTATGTAATAGGCATAACGAATTATTTTTGTAAAAGGACGAGAAGAGCGGTGATCACTTCTGTTAATGTATTGAGCTTACCATGAAATTTACTGTTTACAATACGAATAAAAATAATTTCAGCCAATATTTACAACTAGCACACTATACCAAAAAATAATATTTTTCAATGATGTATATATTATTTACTGATATTAAGGGGTGTACTATCTTTTTGCCGCATACTGTAATACCTCCAATCGCGTAAACGAAGGTTTAAATCTATACCCAGGATTTGCTTCCAATTCATATCCATTATAAATTCATCCGTATCTTGTATTAAGGTTGTAGCATCGAGTACAAATTTACTAGCTGTTATTAATGCGTCCGTATGTTCAGTTTCATCGTTTAATACATGCAACGTTTCCTTTGATTCTAAACTTGAGTATTCTGGTAACCAAAGCATAACTGAATTCAACCACCATTTCCAGCACTCATTTACGATCTTTTTCGGTTCGATATTTTCACTATCCTGTTGAGTTTCATTACAACTCGGTGAAATAGGCATAAAGTCTGTTGTTAAAACATTTTCAGATACACTTTCGATGGCCGTTGAGGGGACATCCACCAGTGGATTCAAATCTATTTTAGTAATATCTGAAGAATTTGTTATTTGTCGCGGGCTAAGTACCGTTCCTGGGAAATAGCTAGCGACTAAAGCAGAACCCAAGAGAGTGACTATTCCTGCTGTATATGTTGCCAAACAAATAGACGATACGTTTATTACAGAATGCGCCACCGTTATCAATTGTACAGAATTCATTAGACAACTTAATTCCGTGTATGAAAACCAGCCCCTTTTTTGTGCTTCTTTATAAGCTATATCTTTTTCTAGTCTTTGTAATCTCTCCCAAAAATCTTGATTGTGAACAAAAACAGTCCAATCCTAAACGATTTATAGAATTTAACGAGGAACTATTGACGGCAAATAATAATTATTTATTATAAAATACATAACAGTAGTAGTCTACTTACAATAGCATTGAGAAATTCTTTCTCTAATTGATTCATATGCGATATACTTAAATCGGCAGACTGTGCCCATTCGGTATTGAAAACCTCATCTTTTTCTCCTTCGTCGTTCAAAAATTTACTTGCCACCATCTATAAAATAGAAAATGTTATGCTTTAAATAACAATATTTTTCTCGAAGTGATATCGATTAATGCTTGCGTCGACAAAAATGTTTAATTATTACAGTTGGCTTGTATTTTGAACAATTTAATAATTTCATACGTAGGATGAATGAAATCAACGTAATACCAAAGAAACAAGAAATAGTTCAGAAGGTGCGACTCTCTGTAGATATTCTGGATTACAATCTTTCAGTCTTTCCAAGTATAGTAAAGCCAAGACAAGAGAGCATGGCGAAACACACGCATTTCTAGAAATTCTACTTGCTTCCTCCACATCTAGCCGTTCTAGCGTGTGGCCGCTCTTTACTTCGGTGAAGAGGTCTGCTGCCAATTCTAAGAATAAATTTTAATTACATAATCGAACGTGCTAAAAAGTATTCAATTAACTATATGTTATTACTAAAAGAATAAGCGAGAAAATACTATACACATTCCATATCAAATAAATGAAATGTAATAATTTAAATGTCTAAATGCCCGAAGAAGGTATAAATTATTTGCGGAAGTAAACAATTTTTGTTATTGTTAATTTGCATTTACTTGCATATAAGAACACACAAGTTGTAAAGCATCTTTTCCTTTTGTAATTCCATTAATGGCTAAGTTAATCGGTAAAGGTATACAGATAAAAGAAATTAAAATGTTTATTTATACTAACCAGTAACAGGCAAACTAAGACAATCGGTCATCGGTAATTTTGAATAATAAAGTGATTTTGTTATACGGTTTAAAAATTCGTCGTGATTACCCATGCTCTGTAATCAGATGTTTAAATGTAAGAAAAAACATTCTTCTATTTTGGTAAAAAAACGTGACAAATAGCTACCTTACCTTAAGTTTTGCTGGGACTTTCCTCCTTCTCGAAATGTTCGTCATATTAAAATGTTAATGGATCGAACAGCTTATCCGTGTAATTTCGAATCCGTACGTTGAAAAATAGAAGCAACAAATAATTTTTTTAATTTAAAAATATTGCATACGCAGTAAGAGTATACAAAATCCTGACTCGTGATGATTTATGTTCGCTGTGCATAACGAATAGGGCCAATCAGCCAATGGCCAATGCTCGATCCCCGATAGTCCAATAGTAGAGTGTCATTTGTACCACCGCAAATAAAAATCAGCTGACTCGAAGAACATTATAATATTTGTTCGTCAAACTATAACATAGAAAAGTTATTTTTGCGCGAAGAGGGAACGGAAGAATAATATAACACTAATTTTACCATTAATTTAACAACATTTACATCACGATCGTGTATATTTCTATTGTTGGCATAACTGCGAGGCAATGAACTCGTAATTGAATTACCAAAATCGAACAAGTAGAGTGAGTGAATAGAAAACTTTAATTTAAATCGGTAAAAAGGAAAAAGGTGATTGGATTTTCTTTTTAAATCTCGTAAATACATTGTTTCGTGTTTGGTGAAAGTATTTCTGACGCACGATTCTCAAGTCGAACTCGTTAATTATTTTTTAGGTGTGGTGCGAGTATACATATTTATTAGTGATTCTCTTGTAGCTACTTTCATACATTAAACAGGTTAATTGACATATGTCAGATTTCTTATTACCATATTAGTGACTAAGTGGTATGATTAAAAAAGGGATGAACCGAACGGAAAGTGGTATCTAACGATAATAAATTAATTAAATAATAAATTACGTGAAAATGCGGTGGTAGTGATGCGTTTAAAAGGAAAGAATAATACAAAATCGTTTCATAGCGTCTATAAGGTGCTTTCGCGTATATGCCGTAAGTATTTTGCATTTCAATTTTTAATTATAGCGTGTCAAAGTAATAAAAGCGATTCGAGACTCGAAGATATGGTATTACCACATTTTCACTTCAACTTGTTGATAATTACATTTTTGAAGAATAAAAATCGTTTGTTTTGTTGTAAATTAACTATAAATTAATTACATAATTTGTTCATGGTTATGTAAAATTGGAAAGTGCCATTTGTATAAAGTATTGTAATAGATGCGGTATTGGGCACAGCGAAAGTAATAATTTATTTGTTAGGAACTGCAGATAAAGGACAGTTTGATGGTTTCATGGCGGATGGTGCAGTGCCACCAATAAAGAATGGCCATAACTGTAATAACATGGGTTTCGCGACACAAGTTGTAAAACAATCCGCTGACGTTTCTAATATTGTTTATGCTGTGGGACAATATGCTCCTAAAGTATTAAGGAATTTGAATGCCCAAAGATTAAAGAATCAGTTCAGCGATGTGGGCCTGGTTGCCGGTGGTAGCGTCATCAGAGCACATAGATCGGTCTTAGCGGCAGGAAGTGCATATTTCAATGCTATGTTCACCGGTGGTCTTGTCGAAGAGCAACAGGAGTTAGTAGAGATTCATTCTGTATCAGCTGATATTCTTGCGCTCTTAGTGGATTTCATATACACTGGTAATGTGGATATCACCCAGGACAATGTTCAAGAATTATTTGCAGCTGCTGATATGTTAGAGTTGGATGAAGTTGTATCTGGTTGCATTACTTATTTAAAACAGCAACTTCACTACTCCAATGCTCTTGGAATTTATAGGTGAGTTCTTCGGCTATTGATTTTAGTACTACTTAAGAAACATTATTAAAAGCAGAGAATTCTTTCTCTTCCTCTTACATTTTTCATGTAACACAATGTTTCTTGAGAAGAACAAAAATCCACGATCGAAACATTAAATTGCAATGAATTCTAAGTAAAATAGAAGATCTATTATTAATTTGTTCTTGCTCCCTAGACCAAATAGAAATTGTATTGTATATTTATTAAATATTGATAATAGATTTGCAGAAGCACATCACAGATCAGATCTTTTAGGGAGTGCTCTACGCTTTATACAAGTCAACTTTCCCCAAGTATCTCAAGAGGAAGAATTCTTAGATTTGCAAAAAGAACATCTTGTTCATTTCCTCAGTAGCGATTATATTCATATTGATACTGAATTTCAGGTTTGTACTTTCATATATTCTTTGAAGAACTACGAGGAAATATTACGGATGCTATTTATATTTGATGTCTTTCACTTTTGATTATTTTCATTCACAATGGGTGATATCTTGTTATGTAAATAGGTCTTCCAAGCTGCATATAATTGGATTATCCATGATATACCAACAAGAAGGTGTTACGTATTTGACGTACTACGTCACGTACGTTTACGCCTGTGTTCATTAGCAAGATTGGAGCACATTATTTTGGAATGTAAAGATGCGAGTCTTATCGTTGCATTAAGATCTATACAAAAAGATTTAGTGTCGAATAAAGGATGTCTTGTGCCTCTTCATGCACAACCTAGACTTTGCGCCAAGAAGAATATTTTAGTGATAGGTGGTTCAAGACGCGAACACTCGGACAGTTGGGGCAGAGCAGCTGAAAGCACTTATGAAACAATTGAGAAATATGACACATTTACGGGGTATAATTGCTTTCTAATTTTATATTTATACAGTATTAGCTGTATATGCTAGGCCATAATTTAATGCTATTACAATTTTTATAAATTTTTGTAGCGAATGGAGCGAAGTAGCGCCAATCGGAATAGGACGTATATTACCGGGTGTTGCATTGCTAGATGGTAAAGTGTACGTTGTCGGTGGGGAACTTGAATCATGCATCATTGCCAATTGTGAATGTTACGATCCACGTGATAATGTGTGGACTTCGATTGCCTGTATGGAGGAACCCCGGTGTGAATTTGGACTTTGTGCCTTGGATAATAACTTATATGCATTTGGCGGTTGGGTGGGCAAAGATTTCGGCGGATCGATAGAAATATATGATCCGATAACTAATTCTTGGACACTGGATGGACAACTACCAGAACCTCGATTCAGTATGGGAGTAGTCGCGTACGAAGGTAGGTCGATTTAATAAAATCATAAAATTTCAAATTTAATCAAGATATATGTGAAAAACGTAGGTAACGGGCAATATTATATCGTTAATGATTTGTTTAGGATTAATATACATAGTGGGTGGTTGTACGCAAGAAAGCAGACATCGTCAAGATGTGATGAGTTATAATCCAGTAACTAGAGAATGGACTTATTTAGCACCAATGCTCACACCGCGATCGCAAATGGGAATCACCATTCTGGATGGATACATTTATGTTGTCGGTGGTACTAATAAAAATCAAGAGGTATTAACATCCGTTGAACGATATTCCTTCGAAAAGGTAACTTTTTTACTGTGTGCCCCTAGTAGAGTTCCTTGTCCCATGTTCGTTTTTTTTGTGTATTTTACCGTTTATTATATTACAGAATAAATGGAGTACCGTTGCGCCTATGAATATAGGCAGATCGTACCCCGCGGTTGCAGCAGCCGATAGTCGGCTTTATGTTATAGGGGGTGATCAATCTCAGGAAATTAATTTTTATCGAATGCAAATAACAATTTCCACTGTTGAATGTTACGATCCCCGTTCGAACAAATGGCACGAATGTGCTTCATTGCCGACAAGTAGGGGCGAAGCGGCGGCGATTGTCGCACCTTTTTGATTGAAATGTCTTTTCAACGTAAGAATTTTATGCAGCGTGTTAAGGATATTTTATATCACTATATATCCGTATGCGTTACTTTTCGCATTCTAGAATATTCGAACATCTACTTAAAATTGCTTAGTCGTAAATTATGATATCAAACGAGAAACATACGTTTTTTGACTATCGTCTTTTATGTCGTATATACAAAACCATGATTTAAACGCATATAAGCTAGAATGTATTTTTTTATAGATCACAATTGTAAACTATTTAAACGTCAACGGCATTTTTCTTTTTTTAACGAACATAAAATGCAACAGGATTTGAGAAGGGATGTTTCGCTATAAGAATAGTACAGTGTTATTTTCTGTACCCTCAAATATTAACTTAAGTACGATGATTTTGAAGACGAGTTCGTTATATGTATTTACCGATGAAAATAGTACATTACGACTTTCAGATGTTTTAAAAACTTATTAGCATTACAATTTTTATTAATTTTGTAGTAATGACTGACAGCCTTCACATTCTATAGTCATTTACCAAAGTTATTGAGAATACAAGATACGATAATCTATTGTAAATTTTGATCACGTTACAACGAGTTACATGGAGAGCATATTTCTATGTAACTTGTACAAAAAAGTCGTTTCTTACAAGGAATATCCATTAATTACCCCCTTTCTTTCCGATTTTGGCAAAACGTTGAATATTTATAGCGGTCAAAAATGAAGGATGTGTATTACCGATTAAAAATCTAAAATGAGTAACCGTGATCATCCCCTTTAGACGATATAGTCTTGCATACGTAACGCAGACAACAGTGTTTACAAATGATTTTTATTATTTTCCGTACAAAAACCATAATTTGTTTAAAAAACTTCCTTGTATATCCAACAGTTTTTGCAATAAGATCAGAAGGCTGAAAGTTTAAAGGATAATTTTATTCCTTGAACTTAAATCACCACTGCTAAAAAATACGTATACCTTACTTTTGACCACTCTAGAAATTTACAAGGTTTCATAAATATCGAGGAAAGATGCTCGATGGAGGTTCCTTGTTAATGCAAAGAATGCAAGTGAGATATACCTAGCTTTCATCGAGAATTGTATATTATAATTACGTGTGCTTGTGATATTTATAAACTTTTGGTTTGAATTAATTACTTTTTGTTATAACCGTGTACGTATGTTTCATTACTTATTAATTTTTACTGCTACAAGAAGTAAAAAAATACTTAATATTATACTGATATTATCTCTTTTAATTGCCTGTTTTTAACTTGGTAAAAGTGTTTTTTATATTGTGAAATCATATTTTATAGAATCACGTGCATTTGTAAGTTACGCGATTACATTTTATATTAGTAGGTTTTATAGAGAAATATTATTGCAGTTAAATTTCAGTTTTTTTTAAAGTGTGCCTGGTGCTATGTTGGAATTAAAATTGAAAAACTCCTTTTTATATATTGTAAATGTTCGGAAACCTTATTTTTTAATTCTACAACTAAGAGTCTTAAATTGATAGAAAAGATACAATTAAGTGAAAAGTATGTTTTTAAAAAGGTAGTAAGAGTTGCTTCTCGTAATACATAAATTGCACTTGAAAAATCATAAACAATAATAATAACAAGTACTTAGTTTGAAAATCATTTTTACAGAGTGTATACATTATATTGTATCAATGTGATTCTATAAGCAGCTGCATTTTACGTTTTCATTATAGTTACAATATCTATTATACCGAGTAACAATTTTATGTACTTCTTATACCAAAGTATCTTTTTGTAACGAAAAAGTTTCTATAAATTGATATATTATTATGGAATAATTAATATAATAACAGCTTATATATTATGTTTTAATTTGGCTGCTTTCATCTTATATAGGCCTTCGGTTGTTATAAACGTATTGTCATTTAAACAAACGTGAAATATTATTTATGCATTTTGTAACGAATATAAGGAAAATATACTAATTTGAAATAAGGCTATACACGCTAAAGAGATTGTTAAGGCATATCGTAAATTAGTTACAAATTTTGTTACATTGAAATATAATGTAATGATTAGCTTTAATTTTTCAAAAGTCGTAAATTAATTTACATTTATAGTATATTTTGTTATACATATACAAATACTTAATTTTAATTATATATTACCACGTAATTTAGTAGTTGTCACTTTACGATCTTTGTCTAATGAAATGTTGCAGGAAACATTCAGTTTAATTTAATTGTTTTGTCGTATTGGTACGAGATATATATTTCTTATTGTTATGTTTTACGGATACGTACGTATACGTATACGTTATGATGTGTGCTATTAGGTAAATGGCCTTTGTGTATAATTTAAATGTTTTAACGATAGCAAGGGCTTAAAGTTAAAATTTTTCTTGGTTTTAAATTTGAAAGTGTGCGTAAAAGTGGCCCGTGTTATATACTTGTCAGGACCGAAACTAAAGGAATTGCATCCAATTCATAAATAATTGAGAGACGTTATAAATACGGTGATATGTATGCGTTTATATAACTTCGCATATGTGCTTTATGTCAGTTTTCAAATAAAATCTATTTGGAAATGCAGACATTTCACATACAATTTTTATACAAAAAATTGCTACAATTAATAAATATATAAATGTTTCATAGAAGAAAAGATATTACGTATAACAAATATAACTGTATTCTCCAATGATACTTAAAAATTGTAATATACATACGCAAGTTCAGTGCGTGGACATTTTACACACTATGCACTATTAAATATTGAACTATCTTGAAGAATTAAAAATAAATTTTTGAAAATACATTGGCACTACTCTTATTTAGTCGTTTAATAATTAAATTTTAAGAATTGTTTAACTTAAAAAGAAAAATTATTCCCGCATACATACAGTGATCGTCGTTGCTAAAATTATAAATTGAGAAAATCTATTTTATGCAAGTTAAAATAATTACTTTCCGTTTTATTGATGTACTAATCGATTGCAAGGGAACAACTAAATAGAAGTTACAATGAATGTTACAAAATAAATTCATTATCGTTTATGATATGAAGTTTTTTATTAGTATAAGGACTGACATATTTATCAAGCAAGTCTTTGATTAGAACCAATTTTTAATTCAACGTGATTTATGTATAAGTTGTTTAAAAAAGTCAAAGAAATAAATACCTTCAATATTCATTGCCGTGTCCATTTTATGAGATACGGTACACACAACTACTAAGCGGGTTTTTGTAAACAATAATAAGCGGATGATGCTAACTTTTCTGAAGATTATATAAATGTATAGTACACATTTTTTGTATATACTTAAACTATTACAAAACATAGTCCAATTCGTATCTAATATATTGATTCTTTGGATCATTCATAATTCGAGGATAACCAGCTACAAGAGCATCTTGTCCACCTATGTAAAGAGAATTATAAATTTTCCAATATACATCGCGCACTTTTCGTGCTGGATGAAATAATCCCTGCAATTTGAAAAGAGTTATTATCAAATGATGCCTAAACTGCGAGTTAGAAAATTCTCCAAGAATTTGATAAAATTCAATAAAAACATATCTTTTATATATACAATAACGAAATCTTTATATTTAGGTTTATATACTTATATAAATCACATACCTGTAAGGTATACTGTAATATTTTAATTGGTCCAAGAGCGACACGTAAACCATCCACAGCATCCATAAATGCTTGTACTAAATGTGGTGAAGTTTCAAAAACATTGGGCCAGACATGATTCAATAAATGTATCAGTGCATCCTCGCAACCGAACCCATAGACACCTAACGCCATATGCTTAATGGCAGCACATGCAGTTTGCCTATGTACTAAATCCCTAAAATAATAATAATTCCATTAAATTTCATTTACATATTGATTATAATTTCCTATAGAAAGTAACAAATATTTTTTTACCTATCCATAAGCGCGTCTTCCAATAATGGGCTAACAGCATAAATGTAATCCTTTCCCATTTCTCCAATGTATTCGAATAAGAAGGATAAAGATTTTAAAACGCCGTTCTGTACATTTAATTCTGGCACTCTGTATTCGTTCATCAATGCAGGAAGTACCGTAAACGGACTACACGTTTCAGCAACGATAGCTATAGCTACAGTAGTACATACACGATTTTGACGTTCTTGTACTTTCAAATTATTCAGTAGCGTTGCCAACACGTCGTGAGGCCTATACAAAAGTAATTTATCTGTTTAAAATATTATTGAGGTATAATGCATAATGAAAATATTATATTTGAGTATGCACTTACCCTATCGCTTTTGCGATGTAACCGAATGTGTTTACTGTTGCTCTCCTAATTGCTTTCTTGTGAGCTTTAAGTAATTCCAGAAGTTCGAAACATATTCTCATCCATTCTCTGGCAGATACATATTCAGGACCTCTATCCGCGATTCTACCTACGAGGTCAATACAGTTTTCTTGTACCTGAAAAATGAAAATTTAGATCAAAAGAAATTATGCATTTAGAACATATAGTTTGCAGAGAGGCGCGTATTTTTATATAAAACGGTTCGAAAAATTAACCTTTTCGTGTCTGTTTTTCAGTATAGGCGTAAGTCGTGGCAGTAAATCTTTAATAGGTGGTGTCATTTTTGTCATTCCTATGACATTAACAATAGCTTTTAATGCACCTAAAATGCTCCCTAATACTTCAGGGTATTCTTCACCTAAATATTCGTAAAGAACAACACCTAAATGGCCCATTAGTTTTTCCTGTTGACGCAATAAAAATATTTTATTATTATTACCAGGCAACAGGAAATATTTTTCATAATGAAATCAACAAAAAATGAAAAGTTTACCTCTTGACAGGTCTTCATGACAACGGCAATTCGTGAAATTAAATCAGCTGCTTGTTGTCTCACTTTTGCAGATTTATTATTTAATCTCCACAATATCGTACCGCATATTTGTGGAAGATACGCTTTTACCCTTTTTCCTAGCGTGTTTACTATAGTACCAAAACCATTCAGCATTACAACATCCTGTAATGAAATGAAATCATTATATCATATACATGCATTTAATTTATAATCAACTACAATATTAATTTATAATACTACAAACCTCTGTAGTTTGCTCCTGGAAGGCGTACAAAATACCATCTATGAGCTGTTCTTCTAAACGAGAATCAACATCTGCAGCTCCCAAATTACCCATTATTTTTTCAATAGTTTCCATAACCATTTTTCTATATTGTTCATTTTCATCCTTCAGGTCATCCACCACGCGATTTATAATTTCTGATGCACCAACTTTGTTCGCGATTTCTACTGTTGTGTCCACAAGCTACAGAATTAAGATTTATAAGGCTTATTCTTTCTAATCTTCGTTTCTATATTTCAGTACACAAAGAATACACATACCTGTCTATAATTTCTACGATCCAAAGCCATTCGATGATTCCAAAAGTGTTTAAAAAAATGTGGAAGAATCTCGTCTTTAATGTACTGCGCTTCTACACCATCTGTTCCGCAACATTGTTTTACTACCTATCAAGTACATTTATTTATTATTTTTACTTCAATAAACACTCTATATTGTTATCGTTTAAGGCACATACTTTCAAAACAATCTTTTTCATTTCTTCGTCGGGGGACTGGAATTCACGTATGAGGATCAACATTACTTCACGAGTATAGTAATTGGCGTATTCAGCATCCATAAGAGGAATTAAATAACCAATTGCTTTCAAGAACGCAGCAAGACCTTTTCCTCTATGTGTACGAATACCTTTCCAAAGTGGTTTAAGAACCGAGTCGAAACTTTCAATACCATAAGGCGTTGCTGCTTCAGCCAACGCAGCAATAGCCAAAGCGGTAATAGTACGAACTTTCTGTTGCTCATCAACCAAACCTACAAATAAATTAATGTTCTTTACCTGTTATTTTAAACCATAACAACATAGTAGTCTGATTCAATTCAATTACCGTGTTCTATGATTTCGACTAAACTCTTTAGATGCGGCAATATAGCGCATCCCATGAGAATAGCAATTTGCTGTACAATCTTAATGCCCGTGTGACGAGCTTGCCATGACTTTTTACTGCGACACACAGCTTTAAGAAACGGAAGTAAAGAAGGAATCCCCAACGCTGACGCGACCACGGCGAACGCTCTAGCTGTCGTATTACGCACGTACTCATCGATATTATCGATATCTGGTCTCATTGTGGATATCATCGTCGCTAAACCAGCTGCTTTCGCTAGATTAGAAATAATTTCTCTACCTTCTACACGAGCGTAGTAATCTTCATCAATAAGTAAAGGTTCAATGACGACCAAAATCTAAAATAAAAATTGTATTTTTACATTTACTATGTCCTACTACTGAAGTGAGACCTACATGTTAAAATATATCCTGAATAAAACGTAGAGACTTACCTTATGTACATAAGGCCTGACCAAATCGTCAAGTTTATACAGAATACGATCAATGACTTTTACAAGAAGATGACGCTCTTGATCTTCTAATGTAGGAGACATAAGGAGGGGGAGTATCTGATTGAATAATGGTCCCGCGCCAAATTCTCTAGCTTTGTCAGTAATTTGTCTTAGAGCCGCTTTCCTCATCGGCGGTGTACCATTTTTTATTTTCAAAAGCAACTTCATAATTTTCCTTTCCTTCTGCTCCTCGGGGCTGAGCGTTTCCTCGTCAACGTCAACCAACAATTTATCAAAATACTGTGCGTCCTCTGGCTTCATAAAAGGCAAATTTCCTTTTGGTTGATTATCTACGAATTTTGCAGTTTTATCTTCAGTTTGGATGAAGAATCCCTGCGGTGTGCCCGCGATCGGTGTTGGCGTAGCAGTGAGCTTTCTTGCAGGGGTACGAATTGGAATGTACCCTGTAACAAGAGAATACATAATTAAATGTTTTATTAATATTACTTTAAATTTCTTTAAGTTTTAAGGTGTACAATGTTTATATTTTTTACCTGCCGGTGGTTGCAGAACTTTGTATCCAGGTGGGAACAGGGCATCTAATTCATCGTCTGAAAGTGGTCTATTTCTTTCATCGATTTCTCGTTCCCAGCGATACGCTTGAAGCTGTTCCGGCGTCATTGACATTAAATGTCCAGGCGTTGGAGTAGCCAGTCCCATAGCTTTAGGCCCTGTTGGCGTTACTCCACTAGGTGTTAAAATAGAAGTCTGATGGGGTGTAGTAAGGGGGGTTGCCGGTGTTTGCGGTGTCATGGATCCAGGTGTCTGATTTGATGGTGTTTCGTCCCATCGACTTCGACGCTTGCTAGCAGACGGTGTGGGTGTTTCTTGAATTAAGTCGCCCGCAACACGATCGGTTCTTGGAGTCTCAGCCCAACCGCTACTGTGCCCGGGAGTCTCTATTATGTATAAATATAAAATTAGTTTTTAATTCAATGTTAGTTCCCTTTTTCTCGTCGTTTCAATAGATATAAAATATATTTTAAACTCACCGCGTTCTGTTTTCGGTGTTTCATCCCAACGATTTCTACGACTTGAAACAGCTTTTTCGTGAGATGGAGTTTCTCTACCAGGAGTAACTGCACCAGGTGTTGCATGCCCCGGAGTAGCATCCCACATTCTTGTACTTACGCCTGGTGTCGCACCAGGAGTTTCTCCACCTTTACCATGGCCAGGTGTTTCATCCCATCTAATTGCAGCCGGCGTTACCTGATAAATTTTTTAAAATAAACAATTATATTTCGTCAACTTTCGTGTTAGAAAAATAACATCTACTTCTGTACGTACATCCGCATTATCCCAGGATGTCGGCGTTGCAGTAGCACCAGTTAGCTTTTTAGGTGTCGGGGCATCGTCTGTTTGATCCCAACGACCTCTTTTCTTAGGTGCAGGCTTGGGTTCGCCATTTGCTTTCAGAGTTCCCTCTTTGGCTTTTTCTGCGAGTTTTTTTCTTAACTGCAAGTAAACATAAAAATCATCGATTAAATCTCTGCGAACAATAAGAAGAGAATTTTAATCAAAACTTAAATATACCTCAGTTTCTTCTCCTTTTAGCAATTGCTCCCGCATAATCTCAGTGTACGTCCTAGAACCAATGTCGGGAGTCTTACCACCTGTAATCAAGAATCAAAAGTCACGCAAAGCGCAACTATTAGATAATTGTTCAAAAAATGCTCAAACTTTCAAAAACTTCTGAACATACCTAGTCATTTTATTATAATACTGATTATTAAAATGCCCTTAGAATATTTGGCTATATTCTAAGTAAACTACTGAATTCACTCTCATTTCCACGTTGCATATATCATCAAATTAAATGATAATAAAGCAGTTTTACAAATGCAGACAAAAGTACAAATCGTAAGATATCACATTAATTGCACAATGGATTCGAGGAGAGCTGCAACAGTAGATGGCATATAACATACGTACGTGCAATATTGGTACCACAGGGAGCACTGTCCTGCTCAAGTCTTCCACATCGAAAAATACTTTAGCCATCTAAAAATCAACTCATTCTTGTTATTAATAATATTTGCACACCAATCACTCATACTATTTTTCAATATTTACGATCTCACGGAAAATGTATGATACAATGAGAATTTAATGGCATATTATGTATAGGTCTAAATTAAGCTATTGGAATAAAAAAAAGTCTATGAAAAGAGAGATGAGCGAGAATTCATAAACTTAAAGCGTGATGTAGAAAGTCTCATTGTATCATTTATAGGACGCGACTGTAATGCTGTGACAATTCAATCTCGCTTAACCTTCGACATAGTATCCTCGGTAAGCAGATGATTCCAAATGTGCAGACCGTCACTAAGATTGGAAAAAAATGTATACATTAGTATGTATTTGAAAGAATCGCATTCACTCTCTCCACTCAAGCCAGTTTTCTCTACTTCACATTGCTTCCACAATCTGAGTACAAAGAAATCTTAAATCTATTTAACTACTAACAACTGAGGTATCATCCAAAGTGATTCTTTTGTACCATATCAAATGGAAACACTGTATGATAAAATGGGACGTGTAGTTTAGCTTACTTAAGAACCATTTTCAAAAACCTAATTAAAATTAAATCTAACAAAACCATGTAAACCATTCTATTCCTTCCTCAGTTATTGTAGCCAGTAATACCACAGCAGTATAGAAATATATGAATTATTTAAACATTCAAATGAAATGTTCATGACATAAATTTTTTAATCTAGAACTTTTAAATATTAAAAATAGTTTGTGTTTGCTGTAATATTGACATACTTAATATCTTCACTCAATATATACATAGGCTTATTTAACATACAATTCTATGAGTCGTGTAAAGGGTCCAATTTTATGAAAATATTTAGATAATTAAAGATGTCAAAGATGCAATGCATGGATATATGATTTAAATCATACTGCAACTAATTTTAAATAAAATCTTCACACTAAGTGTTTACTTATAAATTATTGAGAAGATTAAAAAAACACAATCTTACAGAATAAACAAACTTGAATATTTTTCTATCATATACTTATAATTTTGCTTTTTTGATCAAACTTTATGTTTTATATCATAAAGGTGAATCGATAAAAACAATAATAGCAAAGTATAGAAAAAAATAATTGAATGATATTGTCATTTAACTATTAAAATTTTCATGAAATATTGTTTTTTGATCATGTATGTAGTATTGTTATCCAACTTGAAAAAGGCAACTTAATTTATTTTTATTTTTAATTCACACAAACATTGAACCTTGTTATGTTTACCATTAAAAAAAAAGATAACGTATTTGTTTACGAAATATTTATGCATAAAATTTAAGGTTTGTTGTATTAAAATCAGGTTGACTTTTTCTTTGCGATATGTTGCAATATATGTATTACGAGTTTATTTCCTTACAAACTGTAGTGACAAAAGCTTTATTGTGCGTATATTTTGTTGCAATATAATTAGGTATGTAATAATGTATATTTGATAATTTCAATACAAATATTTCAAGCACTTTTCGAAATAAATATAATGTAAAATTATTGCAAAATTTATTTTTTTTAATAATAAAAAAAAACGATGGCAGTGGCTAATAATTTATTATATTGCTTCAAAATATCAACAAGAATAATAATATTTAAACACACTTAACATCTAATTACCTGTTTTGGTTTTATAATTCTTAACTTAGAAGAGAAAAATACCAACCTTCTGCGAAGGGATCAACACGCTCAGGAGATATAATCATTCTGCGCCTTTTCTGTCTATATTCATCTTCCCTATCTGCTATGGTGGGTCGTCGTCTGTCTGCAAAGGGATCGTAGTCTTTTTCGCTCTGATCAATAAAACAAATAAAAGTTATTCGTGTTAATTGCATTAATAACTTCAATAATGATATATTCCCTCTTAAATTTCTTACCTGTGCAACATCATTGAGCAATGCTGCTGGTGCATTGTAACCTGGTCTCTTGTTAGTACTAAATGTAGTTGGTTCATAATCTTCATCCTTAAAGGATTAAAATCAATATATCAACTATCGTACTGTTATGTTTAGTTAAAAATGAAAACTATGGATAAAAAAAAATTACCTCAATTTCATCATTTGCTGCAATTGATGTGACATAGCCTTCGTATTTATTATTACTTCCATCATAAATATCTTGATCGTAAAACCCAGTTTTTCCTAAACCTACTTGATCTTTCTCTGCTGATGCATTTTGAATCTCTTTTTTCTTTGATTGTATTTCCCTTATTTGTGCTTCGATATCTATACATCGTGCAGAAATATAAGTAATAAAGAGTTACTAAATGTTATATAAAATTAATAGCATACAAATTAATGACCGATAAAATAATGAATTCGTTCGAGAAAATTTTAGATAAGAGCCGTTAAATATTAAGGATTTTATGTACATATGATGAATATATACTTGAACAATTACGATTGTATGTAGTGTTTTAACATAATATATAATTCTTAGTTAGAACATCCGGACTTAAATTCATAACAAACCTTCGTGTGTTCTGGGAATGGAATCCATCGTGGATGTTGAAACCTAACAGTAGGTTTCTTTCGAGAATTCCGTCAGAATTTTACCCGACTTTATTCCTGGTATTTGAGGGCACGTATTATCTTTATACCATCACATAAGCGGTGCACGTCAACGATAACATTCGATTAAATATGAAAAAAATGGCAACGCGTTAAATTCTGTTCCTTATCAATCTTTACATTGGTAATATTATAGGACGACATACTATGCATTATTTCTAAATCATAAAGGTACATTTACATTAATACTGCGTTTACAATGAATGGATTCATGGTAACTAAGATTTAACCCTAGTAATAATAGATAGCGCTGCTCGTCTTGGTTACCGACAAATTAGTAAAAATTTTGGTCTCATGGAAACGTTCCCTAGGGCTAGTAATATTTAGTTATTCACAAAATGTAACTAGATTGTCACTTTCTCTAAAAGCCCGCCACTTTATCTGTGTTCCATATAAGTACTATGTATGTACTCATAAAATAGAATTTTATTAGAAATGTAATTTGTGTAACGTGTCTGTCTATTACTCGTTATTTATATTTACGTTCTGTGTTTACAATTATTGACAAAATGCAGTTTTTCCTTTGTTTCGTCATTGGTTATTGAATGCCCAAGAACTATGGTCTACGTGAAAGTTTTAATGTAAGAGCAAACCACGATAGTCATTACAAGTTTGTTAATCACCGTGATTACTGCCTTCACCGTCCATGCTCAGGGTTATCGTTTGTTTGTACCTCGTCCATTTCGCAAACCTTACTCATCTATAAATTCTTTCGAATCGTTCGTTTGAATCATTCGATTTTGAGGAATATTAACTGGATAGGGGTTTCTTCCTTATGTCACAAGTTATCACATTTCTGTCTCAATTTACATTACATATTTGGAGTGTTTAGTCATTTCATAAATATCTAATTTTTTTCAATTTTTAAATTACAGCTAGAATACGGTTGTACATGTCCCTGGGGATTTGTGGATTACTCGACTTTGTTTCTTATAATTCCTCGTAATACTCGCGGAATACGTGGAATTTCTATTTCTAAGAAACGTACACCTTAAAGTAATTAAAGCTTAAGGTACAGGTCAGGGTATGTGTCGGACGAGATTTTGCGTCACCGTTGATCATCGAGGCGGACGCGTTTACAAGCGTTGTTCGTTCGCTATACAGAGTTATCGACTGTCCACTTCCGTGGGAGCGGCTTATCAGTGGAATATTGGATGGGGTTAAAAATAGAAGATACGTTTATTATGTGCGGCAGATGACCTCAGTATGTACATACGTTTCGCGATATTATCTGTATTCGAAGCTCGAGATCATCGGCAGATACTGGGAAGTCGTATGCGGTATAATCGTCTTACTACAGACAAGGTGTAAAGTTATATCTGATCGAATGTATGTGTATCTTGTGAATAGGTTAATGGAAGAGCGGGGAATCAAATTATCGGAACGACTACCAAAATACATAAAAGTAAAAGGTGGACATAATAACAATACATTCAGATAAATGATTCTTCAAATTTGATCAATAACCTCGATTAATTTTGTATAACATTGATTTAACCTGTGTTGGTATACAATTAATTTTAGTCATATTTCTTCGAAATAGAAAGTATATAGACAACATTTTTACTTTCCGAATTCATAGATTCTTGTTTGTGCCGCTATTGACAGTCTGTTATCTGGAAGAGTTTAATAATAGAAGAGCCGGTAGATGTTTTTTATGCGCTGCAATCGATGTATTATTGGAACGACATAAAAATGCGGGTTTTTCGATACAAATAAGTACCGAGGTTAATGTCACTAAATACTGAAAATGTCTGATAAAGTACAAGATTACTTACGAAATGTACGATAGTTTCGAGGTTAGTTACAGTGAGTATTCTAATTAACTTTCACTTAACACTGAAAGTTTTGTTAGTTTTGTTTCAAACATATATTATAGTGCTACGAATACTTTTGTATTACAATTATTGAATTTTCCTAATACATACGTATAATTTAATAATATAAGTTTCCTTACCTCTAAACAGGTACCAATACCATCGACTGTGATTAATTCCTGTTAATCCCTGGAGATATCGATAATAAATAATTCCCCGAATAATCAACCTGCTTCAACAAAACATGCAGATAATCATTTTATTTTTAATAATACATTTTAATAAAATAAGACGATAGCCATAATTGTCTTATCGTTCAAAGTCGTGTTTTATCAGTTTCCGATGAAATTATCGTAAACAAGAGGGAGACGTTTTTTTTCACACACAATTTTGGGGTAATCTGATCAACGGTGAAGTGGTCAACGATATCAGGTTTTTTGATGGATCGGATACAGTATTTTGAGTAATTTGTTATTTTTAGGACATATACATTTCCGCGCCATCGTTAATATGGCAGAGTACATGAAACGTACTGACATTCGGGTCACTAGTTACTCTTTGTACTTCGCGTGTTTCATAGAATAAGAAGCGAGTTTTTTAGGTTAAACATTTACATAGGCGGTGTAAAAAATGTTGGCGGTCAACATAAATCAGTTTAACATTTAAATCTTTTCGTATCGTAGAGATCAAAATATCGTTCCAAAACAAATGTTTTACAATTGGCAAAGGTAAATGGTAATTGTAATTGTTAGTATTTCAAAGTGTAATGTATGAAGGTGGCGCTGCGGTTAGAAACCAATGGCCAGGCACCGCGATTTTTGTACATGTTTTTACACTAAAAAGCTAAACAACGAGAATTAAGTGTGCAAGCTAGTTACGTTACAAACAAGATACGCGATGAGTTGATGTTTTTGTCGCATCGTGTTTAAGTGTCAGGCGCCGTTGAAAATCCCCGTATCCAGTTCGTCGGGAGCTAATGAGATTCTTATACCACGATCTGAAATGATTTCTATTATCTTATGGCACGAGCAGAAATGATTTGTACTATCTTGTTATATGATCCGTCGTGATTTCTTTCCTCTCACAGATACAACGCTTTATAAAGGAACTCTGCTATCTTTTATTACCGATCTACCCAAAAGTATAAAAATCATACGATCAATGACCTACGCCAATGATTGCCGAACTTGTTTAATCGTGGAACATTTTTTTATCTCGCGATATATATACACGGTAACATTTATTTTTGAAAACATTAAACTTCGAATTTCGATTCTTTTACGTAACTTTCTCGGTACGTTCGTTGAAGGAAGATGATCGTGGAGAGCGATTTGTTAAAAAGCGCATCATCGTTTGTTAAACGGGTTCCCAGCGTTTGCATTAAATTTTATATCGTTGCCTGACATTATCATCTCTGCTTCTTTATACTTTTTAAAAACATCGTCGTGGCTAAATATAACTCTCTTGAAATGCAGACTTTTGTTGTGGAGTTTCACAGT